ATTTTGGAGAAATACTGAGAGCATGACAAGAAAATTTGCAATAAACAAGATCCAGCACACTCATTCAATAAACACCAGACTGATTTTTTTCTCTAATCGGTCCTCTCACACTTTACCACTCTGTCAATCCTTACCTTGGCTTCCTGCATCCTATAGGAGTCAATTCAAAGTGCTAACCCATACCTATAAAGCACTGAACAATTCTAGCCCGTCTTATATCTCTTCACAGATCCATAGGTATGCCCCTTCTCGGTCTCTCTGCTCTGCCAGTGACCTTCACCTGTCCGCTTCTCGCACCCATACGGCCAGCTCACACTTGCAGGACTTCTCGCGGGCGGCTCCCTTCCTATGGAATAGCCTGCCTACCCCCATTAGACTCTCCCCTAGTCTTCGATCATTTAAGAAGTGCCTTAAAACCCATCTCTTTAGGGAAGTTTATGGCCTCCCAGAGTAACCTCTACCTTACATACCTGTCTCGTGCTCTCTCCTAAAGGGCAGCACTCTACTCTTTCCTCCAGCTCTGCTTCACTCCCGCCTTATTTGATTGCTATTTCCTGTCCTAATGTGTTTTACACCCCACCTCCTATAGACTTTTGAGCAGGGTCTTCTTCAACCTATCGTTCCTGTAAGTTTTCTTGTAATTGTCCTATTTATAGTTAAATCCCCCTCTCATAATATTGTAAAGCGCTACGGAATCTGTTGGCGCTATATAAACAGTAATAATAATAATACCCCAAAAATAATGGGGGTTTAGTTACATTATAAGATCATACATTGCATAAGCCTGCCACCACGTCAATATATCCCATTCTTGGCAGGTCCTACTCTATCAGCCTAATGTCTGTTATTATAAGATTAACCCACTTACTTGGGGAAAAACCTTCATCTGGGGCTCTCTGCAGTACAAGGCTAAATAGGGCCCTGAAAATGATTCCCTGGGCTGACAAGGAAGGGGAGACATGACTGCTGCCCATAGTAGGGGAGGGTTAAATGGGGATTCAATGTTAAAAAAAAGGGTACAAGATAAAAGGGGCTCAGATGGAAGAAGGAGCCTTGTAAGAAGGAGCCTAAGGTTTAAGAAGCATCCCACTCTACCTTGATTTTGGTGGTTGTTGTTTGTTTTTGGTGTTGTTTATGTTCTTCCTTTTGTCACCGCATGCAGTTTTTCCTGGCCAGTGCATGTGATGGAAGTGCCAAATCAGCTTGGGACATCGCAGCCTGTCTAGGACTCTGGAAAACATGGATTTTCTGTCTGTTGGGCAATCACCCCAACAGCTGACAGGTAAAAGTAATGCTGGTGCATTGATTGATTTGAATAAAGCTGTGGGAGTTGCTCTTATCCAATATCCACTCCAGGTGTCTTGTCATTATTGGGGCAAATGTGTTCTGGGTCAGCAGTCATGAGGCACCTTTGACAGGGAGAGGTGCATAACCAGGTACTTGGCCCAGACTCACAAATATCTATCTATCTATCTATCTATATATATATGAAACCAAGAGGGCTGCACTCACCTGTACATGCATACTTAAAAAGGTGCTGGGGCCCATTAATACTACAACATACAAGATCCAGCACCTTACTCAATCACTAAACACTCCAAAGATCTCCAAATTTTATAGCTTTTAAAAAACACCTGACTTAGGCAATAAGAATTTGCATCAGTGGGCCATCTGATTACCCTGCTCACCGACATCCTGCTTCACTGGATGCTGCTGTTATGAGGTATGGATTTGCGTGAGAGATGAAAGAGAGAGATTAGCATAGGGTATATGTTTTCTTATGGCTGCATCCTGTGACTTGCTGTTTTGGAGATGCCAATCGTCTAGCCATCACTAACAGGTCCTTGTTAAAGTACCTAAGATCTTTTTGCTTGCCCAATCACTACTTCCAACACATGACATGCATGAACTGACTGTTCATTTACTGCCTGATATATCTCACCCCTTGAGAGATGCCATTGTAACAATATAATCAATATTATTCACTTCACCTGTCAGTGAAGTTTAAATGTTGTGGCGTGGCAGTGTACAAGTGCCAGTATTACTAATACATTTGTATTATATTAAAGTGTATGTCAAATAAGTGTATATTAAAGAGTTTAAATTCCGTCTGTACATTGTGCTAGCAAAAAATGCTAGCAAATGCATAGATTTGAATTTAAAGCTCTTTAGAAATATGGTCCCTCCCCAACTGTCAATGAAATCATCAACATTAGGCACTGGCACACAGTTTGTCTGCCTAAGCAGGGCCAATCACTCTACACACAGCCAAAGCACATATACAATAACACTCAGCGAACCAACACAATCACACTCAGCCAAGCCCCAAACACAATCACACTCAACCAACCATCACACTATCACACTCAACCACCACACACATCTCAATCAGGTATATTACTTAGGGGGGACTAAAGAGGGTGGTGAGGGGGGCCATTCTTTGATTCTTGTACTAGGGCCCTATGGTTCCTAGTTAGACCCCTAGAGGTAAATAGGGGAAGGGCAGGTGGGGTTTGAGCTTTCAATCAGCAAGAGGAGAAGGTTGAGTAATACAACCTCTTTAGTCAAATTTAAACCTCTTTAGTTTAGAAAAAAGTCTCCTTAGTGGGGATATGATACATTATACAGATATACCCAATACAAACCATTGTGTGGAAATCTATTCACAAATAGGACTATACATGGGTCATGAGGTCATGCGTTTAGACTGGAAGAAAGAAGATTTAGTCCAAGGCAATGGAAAGGTTTTTTTTACTGTAAGAACAATAAGGATGTGGAATTCTCTGACTGAAGAAGTGGTTTTATTAGATTCTATGCAGATGTTTAAACAGATGCATACTTGTAAAGAAAATAACATTCAATGCTATCATTTTTCATCTGTGGAGTAATAGATTCTAGATCCAAGGATAAATCTATCTGCCATTCTGGGGTCAATAAAGATTTTTTTTCCTAGTATGTTGCAAAATCGGAAGTGCTTCAAACTGGGTTTCCCCCCCCACCCCCCCCTTCTTTTGGATCAACAGGAAATAATGTAAGGAAGGCTGAACTTGATGGACACGTCTATTTTCAGCATATGTAACTATAAATCCAATAATACATTTCTTTACAGAGATCGCCAAAAAGGGGGTTACAAACAGGATTACAAATGTGGAGTTCAGTTATCTGCACACATTGATATTGCATTAAACATCCGAGGAATACAAACTATAAACAGAGATTTGGACTACACAGCATATCTTTCGACTAACAGCGTGGACACAATTTATGTATAAGACCATATATACTATTATAAACAATGCACTTTTACTGCGTACCTCGCTGCGCTTGCCAAGGGGTGCACTTAAACTTTAGGAAACCTCAGTGACAATTGCCTTCGCACAAGGTGCTGCTGGCTTGCTTTGCATCTGAATGCTGAGTCACAGAGCTTTTTGCCTCCAAAACTAGAGGAAGGAGGGGGTCTGCTGCTCAAACATTCCCCGGGAAAACAAGAGAAAGGCAGAAAGCAGTCAGTCAGTGCTAAACAAAGATTTAAAGTATTAAGCCGATTGTGTATTCTTTATTTTAAGCATTATGTGCGTGTCCGAAGATTCCGCAATTGAGTAATCATTTTAGGTGTAGTTCTATATATGTTGGGGTACGCATTTAGGTGCAAAAATAGCAAGTGTCTAACATATGCATCTAAATTATTTTGTTGAGAGAATTTTGCCATAAGGCATAAAAACAAGACTAGCTACTATAGATGTCAACATTTTGCCTGACAACCTCTACAATAACTTTCCAAAAATTAAAGGGACACTTTTTGTGCAAAGCTTTCTTATTTTCTTAAATGCTGCAGTTAAAGGTATGGTGGCATAACTTTTGATATAATGAATGTACTGGTCTGGCACAATGTCTGCAATGTTGTATTTAAAGGAGCACTATAGGGTCAGGAACACAAACATGTATTCCTGACCCTATAGTGTTAAAACCACAATCTAGTCCCCTTGACCCCCTTTGACTCCCTAAAGATAGTAAAATCTTACTTGTATTCAAGTCTGAAGCTTCTGTCTCTGCCTGTGAACTTCCTCTGATCTCTGACATAATCAGAAGTGGTAGCTTGATCCAATCACAATGCTTTCCCATAGGATTGGCTGAGACTGACAAGAAGGCAGATCAGGGGCAGAGCCAGCATGATTCAAACACAACCCTGGCCAATCAACATCTCCTCATAGAGATGAATTTAATCAATGAATCTCTATGAGGAAAGTTCAGTGTCTGCATGCAGAGGGAGGAGACACTGAATGTTTGGATGCATTTTAGGCAGCCGTGACCCAGGAAGGATCTTTAATAGCTATCTGAGGAGTGGCCAGTGAAGTTATCACTAGGCTGTAATGTAAACACAGCATTTTCTCTGATTTTGTGTTTACAGCAAAAAGCCTGAAGGTAATGATTCTACTCACCAGAACAAATTGAATAAGCTGTAGTTGTTCTGGTGACTACAGTGTCCATTTAAAAAGCTGGGTACATTTCATAGACAACCAACAATTTCTCATGCTACTTAACTAACCACCACTGGGAGGCAGCAAACATGTGAGCAATCTACCAATGACAATGCTATATTACTGATCAAGGGTATGGTGAAAACTGTAAGAAATTCCTATGATAAAATAAATGCAAGGTTATTACCCTTGATTTTCTCACCCTAGCAAAAAAGTAGTTTGTGAATTAAAATTAAGAATTTTAAATACATTTTCTTGCATGTATCAATTGCAAACTTGATTATATGCCTGCAAAAAGTATACGGAGAGTTCATTATGAAGGAGACATTATTAATCATGACTGTAGCTATTACTATTAAATATCACTGTAGCTCTATATATTATGTTTATTTTGCATTTTAATGTGTGTTGGCAGCCAAAGAGTTAAGTCAACCAGAAGTTGCCTGTGTCACCATAGCAAGAGAGAAGAGGCGGAAAAACGACTGATATTGTGGCTTTCTTAATTTCCTGTTTCAGAGGGTGAAAACACAACACACTACATACTGACAAGGGATAATAGAGTTAAAACATCTTGAATGACATCTCTTCTTGACCCCATTCAAAGACAGACGATCCTTCTACATAGGCCTTGGATTCACTTGGTTTGTGAGCCAACTGCACAGGTAACAAATAATACATTTGAAGATCATTGTAGTATAGATTGTGTAACCGTGGATTACATGGGTTTTGACGCAAGGTGGAAACATTTCTTCTGCTCTCAAGCAGATCCTCGTTATACCTCAGTCAATATTAACCTTTCTACCCTACATATTTAACTACCTTTCCTCAACCAGCGATATGTAGTTGTGCATGGGTTTTCTATTGTATTAATAACTAGAATGAGTTCGGTATTTTATTTTTTTTGTGCAATGAATGAGTGGAGCAAAAAAACTATTGAATGCTAATCTAACTTGGAGATAAATTGCCTTTATGCCATGTGTTGAGGCAGGAGAATTAGAAGCACCATACTGTGCTGATAAATGTAACATGATAAAAATAATATATGAATGATACCATATTTATGTGCCTAGCTCTATATATAGAGAGAGCAAGGCACAGAAATATGTTATATATATATGTCTGTAAAGGCTGAGCAAGTTTGGGTTTATTTTATGACTCATTATATGTATAAACATACACATACATACATACATACATACATATGGAACGCTTTGAAGTAATACACAGAATATCTCCCCAGTTCAACGAAAGCTGTCTGTCTTGCTCCTCCCATTAATGGAAACTTAATTTATTACATGTTACAGATGTGTTTGAACTGATAGACGGTGCTACATGGCATAACTCATAAGTGTCCCTATTTAGGTCGGACAGTCCCTATTTGGGGCTCAAATCACTCTTTTCTATCCGTATGTCACTCTTTTCTATAAGCTCCATATTGTTGGTGTGTCTGAGTCTATAACAGACCTTCACAGTCATAATACTTACAATAATGTGTCTTTAAAGTACAATAAATGTGTTTAGGAATCAGTCTGTGTAAGTAAGATATACTGAGTTTTTTACACTACAGTTGCATTAATTGTTATTATTATTAAGTTGCCTACATTACTCAGAACAACCCAATCAGCCCATGCTACACATCCACTCACACCCCTAAAATGAAACTGTCCCACTTTGTTTATTTGAAGTGTTGGGAGGTATGCTATGGGCCAATCAAACTCTGCTATGCTAGGTGGTAAATTCTGCTACTCCTCTATACTGACCTTTATATTGCGCTCACTCATAAGATCACTGTTAGTAAGAAGATCTAAACACTTAAATTCTCAAGGACAAATGACAAACATCTTAAAAGGAAAGGAGCTTTGTAAAAATAGATTGTGCAGATTTTAAGGAAGCAAAAATAAAACAAACAAAAAAGAATATATATTTATTAGTAGTGGCTCTGTAATTCCTTAATGAAAAGTGACATTGTATACGGTTACTACAGTCTGGCCCTTAACCCTTAAGGACACATGACATGTGTGACATGTCATGATTCCCTTTTATTCCAGAAGTTTGGTCCTTAAGGGGTTAAAGTCATTGCGGCAAAGTGGATTGTGAACTTATTGCAGCTGTATTGCTATTACATGACGGAGACTATCAGTTCTAGAACAGGATCATTAAAATGTTAAAGTGTTAGGGATACATACCTTTATTTCCCTTTCTCTAGTTATAGAGCCCAACCCCTTTTAAAAATAAAAAATAATAAAACAACTTAGCTTTATCTAACGCCTTCGACGCAGCTTATCTCTCCTCATCCTGCAACATCATGGAGGAGGCACGGTGTCCTCCACGATGGTCCGTTCCAATGTAATGTTCCTCTTAGAGGAGCATTGGTGACCTGATGAGCATTTGCAGAGAGTGAATCCAATCTTCCCCTTAGAAAAGCATTGAATCAATTGGTCAGTTACCTGCCTCTTGTGGCTGCCATACCTATAGAGGCACTTCCATGAAATTGTTGAGTAAAACTCTGCATTGGATTTGCTGAGATCATTAACATTGATAATCTCATCCAAAGAGGCGGAGCTTCATCGAGGAGACTGGAGCTGCCAGGGAGAAAATGTAAGTAAAATTCACATTTTAACCCTGATAGCGCTTACCCGGTCATCTAATCAGTGAGCAGGGCACTATAGCGTTAGGAATACATATTTTTATTCCTAATGGTATAGTGTTCCTTTAAAGGAACAATGCATCTCTATGATGAACGTTCAGTGTCTGCATGCAGAGGGTGGGGACACTGAATGGCAGCGCTGCACACTGTGGCAGGAGTGGCCAGTGGAGGTATCCCTAGGCTGTAATGTAAACAATGCAATTTGTCTGGAAAGACAGTGTTTACTACAAAAAGCTTAAAGGGGATGATTATTAGACATGTGCAATTTGTTTCGGGCCGAATATGTATTCGGACGTATTTTGGGCAATTCGGACATTCGGGTACTTCCGAATGTCCGAATAGACGAAGTGCTGAATTACCGAGGTCCCAAAGTTCCGAAATTACCGAATTTCCGAAGTGTCGACGTTTCGAAACACAGTTTTGCCTAAGTACTAATATACTTACCCAGTGGAAGAAGAAGAATGTTACACTGTATACAATTTTAAATAAAAAGTATACAAACATAGCCAGGATTCAGCTGTAAGCATTTGCAACACTTACAACAATCAATAACACACATTCATATAGAATGTAAGTAACTTAGCCTGTCAATGTAATGACAGGAATGAATAAGTAGATAACTCCCTAATTCCCACGGTATTAGGGAGCTATCTATTAAAAAGCTGAAAGAACTAAATTGGTATTTCAGCCAAATTTACTAATACTAAGTAAACAACATTACTTAGTATTAGTAAATTATGCCCCTACTCGCTATACCGTGTGGCTGCTCACTGTAAAAAAACAACAACAAAAAAGAACAACACGTCCCCCCTCCCCCTCCTAACCTGAAGGGGGGACCTATTTCCCCCCCCGGCCCCCACCCCTGAATGGCGGGTGGGGGCCCTAAAGTAAAATAAGGGGGGGGACTTATTGTCCTCCCCCTGACCGGTGGGTGGGGGCCCTAAATACTAATTAGGGGGGGACATAATGTCCTCCACCCTGGCCCCCACCCCTGAACGTTGGGTGGGGGCCCTAAATAAAAAAAAATAACCTCACTCCTGCAGTTGACTAGGGGTCACCAAACCCCTGGTCATCCCCCTCCCCCCAAAAATTAACCCCTACCCTCACCCTAAAAATAATGAGGGGGGACCATTTAACTAAGTACCTGTAAAAAAAATAAAAATAAACTTACCATTTGATGTTTTCTTTCTTCTAAAATCTTCCTTTTTCAGCCCCAAAAAAGGCCAAATAAAAAGCCATAATAAGCGACACAATTTAAAAAAAAAAAAAAACTAACGCAAAAAAAATAATCAATTTTTACCCGGCGAGGGCTCCGTGCAGACTGATCTCTGCAGGGACGGGGGAAGGCTAGACCAATTTAGGTCTATCAGCCATGGGCATCCGCAGGAATTTTTCCAGGGGGGGGCAAAATTGTAATGACATCCATGCTTGGCCCCTTTTTGACAGTGTCATGAAAGGGAAGGGGCATAGCCATTATCACATAAAGCCAGGGTGGATAGCGTTTTCACAACTATGGTGTAAGAAATATATGTTTGTATTCCTGACACTATAGTGTTCCTTTAAGCAAATTAAAGGACATTTCTGGTCACCATAACAACTTCACCTAAATGAAAATGCTATGATGCCAGGAAGCCCCTGGGTGCTCGCTTTCCTTTAAGGGGTTAAATCGCTCTCAAATGGTTTAACCCCAAAGGCTTCCTCCAGCTCCAAGTGGCTCAGTGGTATTTGGCTTCTGAAACAGAGTGTCAGGAAGTGCAGATTGACGTCAGGCATGGGTGCCGCTGATTGGCTAGAGTGGTCAGTTGACGCTCTAAGCCAATCGCTAGTTCCCGGTTCATAAAATATTTTTACTTTTTTATGAATGGGGAGCTACTGATTGGCTTAGAGTGCCAGCTGACCGCTCTAGCCAATCAGCAACACCCCTACCCAACGGCACTCTGTGCTTCCTGACACTCAGTAAATAAAAGTGAACACATTAACACCGATATTTTTTTACCTTTGGAGATGAGAAGGTCCAGCGTTTCCCTGCCAGGCCCAGGTACCAAAGCCTTATGATGTGGTTTCCAGAATAAAGTGGAGGGTTCACTTCATTTTTCCTTCCTGCTCCAATCTCCTTTTCCTCTCCTTCATTTGACAGTCTTTTTTTTTCTTCTGACACTGTTTTCTATCCTTGGCCCCTTCTGCTCTTTTACCTTTCTGCTACTTTCTGCTTATTTTGCGCCCTTCTGCTCCTTTCTCATTCTGATCCCTTTCTGCTCCCTTTTCTACTTTACCTTTGTTCTCCTTGCTGTCCCTTTCTGCTCTTTCTCCTACTCTACCTTTGTGCTCCTTCTGATTCTTTCTGCTCCTTTACCTTTGTGCTCCTTGCTGTCCCTTTGTGCTCCTTCCTGCTCCTTGCAGGCTCTTCCTGCTCATTCTCCTACTTTATGTTTGTGCTCCTTCTGCCCCTTCCAGCTCATTTCTGCCCCTTTCTGCTCCTTCCTGCTCCTTGCAGGCCCTTCCTGCTCATTCTCCTACTTTATGTTTGTGCTCCTTCTGCCCCTTCCAGCTCATTTCTGACCCTTTCTGCTCCTTCTACTTTACCTTTGTGCTGCTTTACCTTCCAGCTCCTTGCTGACCCTTCCTGTTCATTTCTATATATCTATAGGCTGCTGCCCCCCCAAAACCTTCAAGCTCCTTGCTGACCCTTCCTGTTCATTTCTATATATCTATAGGCTGCTGCCCCCCCAAATCTATGGGCTGCTGCCCCCCAAATCTATGGGCTGCTGCCCCCTAATTTATGGGCTGCTGCCCCCCAAATCTATGGGCTGCTGCCCCCAAATCTAAAGGCTGCTGCCCCCCCAAATCTATAGGCTGCTGCCCCCAAATCTATGGGCTGCTGCCCCCCTCCCCAAATCTATGGGCACCCACCCCCAAATCTATGGGCTGCTGCCCCCAAATCTAAAGGCTGCTGCTGCCCTCAAATCTATAGGCTGCTGCCCCCCCCCAAATCTATGGGCTGCTGCCCCCAAATCTAAAGGCTGCTGCTGCAAAGGCTGCTGCCCCCCTAAAATCTCCATGGGCTGCTGCTGCCCCCCAAATTCCAAAGGCTGCTGCCCCCAAATCTATGGGGCTGCCCCCCACCTCCCCTAAATCATGGGCTATGCCCCCACCCATTCGCTGCTGCTCCCCCCAAATCTATAGGCTGCTGCCCCCCTCTCAAACCCTCCCCCCATCCCTCACTTACCTGGTCTGTAGGCTGTCTCTGGCTGCATGTGTTGCTCCCCTGCGGTTTCAATCAGCAGAGAGAAGCAGGGATAAGATGCAGCTTCCTATCCCTGTCTCTGCCTGGCCTTCAAACGTAAAGCCTTCTATCACTTTTCCGCTATCAGCCTTTTGGTAGATAACTCCCTAATACAGTGGGACCAAGCGGCTGCAAGACAAGTTCCGAAATTCCAAAGTTGCCGAAGTTCCGAAGTGTCGAAGTGCCTAAGTTACAGAACTTCCGCAGTGCCGAAGTTCCGAAGTTGCTGAAGTTCCATAGTGTCGAAGTGCTGAATTGCTGAAGTGCCGAATTGCCGAAGTCCCAAATTTCGGAATGCCGAACCGAACCGAAAATTTTTCCCATGCACATGCCTAATGATTATACTCACCAGAACAAATACAGTTATGTTTCCAGCACAAATTGAAAACCGAAATGCTAAATTTAGACACAAAGTTCTGTTTTTAAAAAAACAAACCTCTCAATCATCACAGCTTGGCTGTTCTTAAATGTTGAAGTTCAGTTTTAATTCACTGCAGTTTATGGTTTAGTGCAGGGGTAACCAAAAGGTAGATGCCCAGTTGTTTTGAAACTACAGCTTCCATGATGCGTTGTCATTCTAAAGGCTCACTCCAGGGAGCCCGGGCGCCCTGCTGATCCCTGCAGCTGCCGAAGGTGGGGATGCTGAGGGGAGCCCTCTCACAGGGGGCCCAGGAGGTACCCCTGAATCAGCTCTTACCCAGTGAGGTAGAGTAGGCACCTGGATAGCAGGTGCCTACTCTGCCTCTATATACCAGAAGGGTGTGGGAGGAAAGGATGCAGATGAGGTAGGCTGATCTGGCAGTTCCTCCCTCCTCCCTCGCGCGCCCTCTGTGATGCCGGTCGCCAGAATATGAAGTCATTCCGGCCTTGGCATACTAAACAGTGTGCGGGGGGAGAAAGGAACTGTCAGATTACAGCACAACCCCACACTGTCTATCAGTCAGTGTGAGTGTTTGTCAGTGTGTGTGTGTGAGTCAGTGTGTGTGTGTGTGAGTCAGTGTGTGTGTGTCAGTCAGCAGGGACGTTTTAGCCGCGAGGCAAACAAGGCATTTGCCTTGGGTGGCATTTTCCAGGGGGCGGCAAAAAAAGCCGCCCCCAAATGCCCAGGGCAAATATCTTGTTAGCCTTGCGGCTGACATGCCGGTCGGGCTGCTGAGCTGGCAGCGCTGGCGCGGGAGCACTTTCCCCTGAGCACTCTGCTCAGCTCCCTCGCACGCCGCCCGCAGAGAGAGGCTGGGAGCTGGAATATGACGTTGTATTCTGGCTCCCGGCATCACTCTGCGGCGCACGAGGGAGCTGAGCAGACAGCTCAGGGTAAAGTGCTCCCTCACCAGCGCCGCCCGCCCATCAGCCCGCCCGGCAGCCCCAGGGAGAGGGAGAACCCCCCCCCAGCATTCCTAAAGGTAAGGAGGCTGGGGGAGGGGTTTAAATTAAAAAAAAAAAGTGAGTGTTAATGTGAGTGAGTGTGTTTGTCTGCTAGTGTGTGTGTCTGTTAGTGTGTGTCTGTTAGTGAGTGTGTTTGCCTGTTAGTGTGTGTCTGTTAGTGAGTGTGTTTGCCTGTTAGTGTGTGTCTGTTAGTGAGTGTGAGTGTGTTTGCCTGTAAGTGTGTGTCTGTTAGTGAGTGTTAGTGTGTTTGTCTGTTAGTGAGTGTGTGTCTGTTAGTGAGTGAGTTTGTGTGTGTCTGTTAGTGAGTGTGTGTGTCTGTTAGTGAGTGTGCGTGTCTGTTAGTGAGTATGTGGGGGGATGAGTTTTGTCCTGCCTATGGCAGCACAAAACCAGGATACACCACTGTCAGTCAGTGTGTGTGTCTGTCAGTGCATTGTTATGTGTCTGTCAGTGCATTGTTATGTGTCAATGCGTGTGTGTGTCTGTCAGTGCATGTGTGTGTCTGTCTGTCACAAATGTATGGGGGTGGGAGAGACATGTGGAGGGGGTGGGTGGGAGAGACACATAAGGGGCTTGGGTAGAAACATGTAGGGATTGGGGGGGGACAAGGAGAAGTGTGGAGGGGCTGGCAGAGGGAGTTGAGATGTGTGGAGGGGCTGGTGGAGGATGAGACACATGGGGGGGAGGGCAGTGCAATTTTCGCAACTGGGCTCAGTGGTATTTAGTTACGCCTCTGCCTGGATTAGTGTATTTAGGCCAAGTGAGGAAAAGCCACCTAAATGATAGTTTTAACACAATAGGGTCAGGAATACATGTTTGTGTTTCTGAGCCTATAGTGTTCCTTTAATAGAAGAGCTGCAGAATCAGTTATAGAGGGTGTAAAACTCAGTGCTGCCCCAGTTCCTCTCAATGTCTGTGTGGGAGGTTGGACAGGAAGTGGAAGAGATCATTTCCCATGTGTCCACTAACAGCCTCTCACTCAGGAAGTGTCTTGCAGGAGGTGCACACAGTTCTTATGCTTTGCTTGCACTTATTGTAGGGTGAGTACTTTGCAAATAATCCTTAAAACTCCAAATGCCTGAACCCAAAACACCAATTTTCTCCTAAATTCAGCCCTAAAGTTACACTAAGCAACTCAATACTAAATCTAACCCCACTCTAATACTAAACCCAATAATTCTAAACACGGCTATACCACAAATGTAACTCTCTGAAGCACTCTAAATGCCCTTTGTAATCCAACTCTGACGTTTACCCCTCTGGAGACACTTTTATGACTTCTAGCTCTATCTTTTACCCTGCATATCTACTGTTATGCATGTCCAATATATGCATTTGTAAGTTTGAATATATTGTTTTTTAGACAAGGTATTGCCAGCAATGTACAGTGAATTTAATTAAAGGAACACTATAGGGTACATATTACAAAGTATTACTAACGCTGTAGTATTTGACCACCTCTTTCAGTGTCTCTCCCCTCCCCCCGTGTGAGGGTTTGAAAGCTGAGATTTTCTTACCTTTTAGCCTCTGCCACGCCTGTCCTGAATAAACTCTGAGGTACCCCCTAAATAAAAAATGTATTCATTGCCTACTTAGGTTATATCCCCTTTTCTTCCTATTGAAATAGTACTCATAAAAGTACACTCTTTAAAGCTATTGCAAACTTTACATACAAAAAATATCTGCATAAAGAAGAGTTAAAGGGACACTCCAGGCACCCAGACCACTTCAGCTAATTGAGGTGGTCTGGGTGCAGTGCCCCTATTGCACTTAGTGCTGCAATGTAAAACATTGCAGTTCCAGAGAACTGCAATGTTTACATTGCAGCTCTAAGTCTGCCCCCAGTGGCTATCTGCCAGTGGGGGCGCTTCCGGATTCGTAACAGACTTTTGGTCTGTTATCTGACACTGGACGTCTTCAGCTCATTGAAGTAGTCTGGGTACACTGTCCCAGATCCCTTAACCCTGAGCATGTTATTATTGCAGTTTTTAAGAAACTGCAATAATTACATGCTAAGGTTAATTCTACCTCTGGTGGCTGTCTACCAGGCTGTTAGGTAACTTTTGGTTGCCTAACTAACGCTGGAGGTCCTCATGCTATGCTTCCAGTGTCACCCGAATCCCCATAGGAAAACATTGAATAATGCTTTCCTATCGGGAAATCCTAATGCGATCACGGCCGCTGAGAGAAGCCGGACCCAAGCCAGCGCCAAAGGACATTGGAGCTGGATCCAGGTAAGTGACAGAAGGGTTTTTTAACCCCTTCTGCACCATAGGGGGGCCTTGATGGAGGTGGAAGCTATAGTGCCAGGAAAAAGAGTTTCCTGGCACTATAGTTTCCCATTAAGTAGACAATGCTTTTCAATGAGAAGCATTTGGTTGGACAAAATGGTAATCGAGCCATGGTCATGACCTCAACGTAGGTGTTCTGGGCTGCACAGAAAAGGCTGTCTTGGCGCTGGATAGCTTTCAAGTAACAGGTAAAAGGAACACTATAGTCACCTAAATTACTTTAGCTAAATAAAGCAGTTTTAGTGTATAGATCATTCCCCTACAATTTCACTGCTCAATTCACTGTCATTTAGGAGTTAAATCACTTTGTTTATGTTTATGCAGCCCTAGCCACACCTCCCCTGGCTATGATTGACAGAGCCTGCATGAAAAAAAAAACTGGTTTCACTTTCAAACAGATATAATTTACCTTAAATAATTGTATCTCAATCTCTAAATTGAACTTTAATCACATACAGGGCTCTGCAGGGTCTAGCAAGCTATTAACATAGCAGGGGATAAGAAAATCTTAATTAAACAGAACTTGCAATAAAGAAAGCCTAAATAGGGCTCTCTTTACAGGAAGTGTTTATGGAAGGCTGTGCAAGTCACATGCAGGGAGGTGTGACTAGGGTTCATAAACAAAGGGATTTAACTCCTAAATGGCAGAGGACTGAGCAGTGAGGCTGCAGGGGCATGTTCTATACACCAAAACTGCTTCATTAAGCTAAAGTTGTTCAGGTGACTATAGTGTCCCTTTAATGTAATGCTTTTTTGTAGCGAAAAATTTGGGACCAAAGAAAATTAAAAATTGCTTTAATGTCTGAAACAAGGCCATCACTCTTAAAGGGAACCTGTCATGCACAAAACTTGCGAGGAAAAGTTCTGGTAGATTACGAAAAATATATTCATACTTACTATAACATTTTCCTGATTAGATCCATAGGAGCATTCATGTTTAGCTATTAACATTAGGAATTTACTTATGAGAGAAAGCATCATAAGAAAACAATAATGTGTGATGAAGGTATTCGTTTAACACCGTGCTGCACCCAACAAAAGCTCTCGACTAGCAAATTAGCTGCTGCCATCCAGTAAGAGAAGAACTGTAGTCCCAACTATCACTGGACTTTCTTGAATCTCATAGGCAAGAGAGATGGCAGCACATATATGGCCATATACCAGACTGCTCAACTGTCCCGCTTTTGGCAGAATAGTCCCTATTTTGGGGTCTTGTTTCACCATCCCAATTTAGTTTCTTGTCATTGGGCAGCACAGTGTGAGCACATCATTAAATGCTCTCATGCTGTGTGGCAGACAGTAGTACCATGCAGCGAGTTTTTCAGCAATTTTGTCCGCATAAACCTGTATGTAAGGGGCCACCTGTCCCAATTCCATGCTTCTCAATGCTGGGAGGTATGAAATACTGAGGAAAAGAAAGGTGGAACAGCTTATATCCATTATGAAGAATTGCATTTTTAAAAGTTGTTGATAATGTTGAAATACCAAATATGGCCTATATGGGTGTAAGACCATATTTAAGGCATATAATTGTTTTACTACACCACAATCTAATTTATTGAACAAAGATTAAAAATTAGGACTTCTGAATGGCGACCTAAATCAGCTTCTGAATGGCGACCTTCATGGCAAGAGCTACTGGTATTACAAATCCAAGCTCTGAGTAGTACCGGTAATTTATAAAACCTCTTGCAGTGAGGTGAGAAGGGGAAATCCTACATGATGAGAGGGTAGCCAAGATTAAATTTGCTGGAGAGAGATCTGGAAAAGTCACCAAGCCCTTAGTATGAGAGTCCCAATAAAATGGTAAAGTGAGGCTGTAGAATATGACATCGTAGAACCCATTAAAGTCCTGGTATCCAGTTTATTGGTGTAATTTTGTGTGGTAAGAGTAGCCAAGACTCTCCTGATGTAGAAAGTCAGTTAGGGAGCATAAGGGAGATAACTGATTTGAAAATTACAAAAATATTAAAAGACAGGCCCTTTTTATTTGAAAGGTCATGTGGTATTTACTTAATAAGATGGCCCGCATTGGAGGCACTACATGGCAATTCTGTACTACACAAATACACCCCCACACAGAAATTAACATCCAAGGAGATGGGGTTCCAGTATAAATAGATTTCCTCCAATCTATTTGTTTCAGTGTATTCCAAAAGAGCTTTCGAAAAAAAGCGAGCTGCTAACGTGTAAAGCTGCTAGTGTCCATACTTTTTATGCTGCCTTCATAATAATTTTGTGGTTTGGCTGGATGCTTTTTAAATGATTCCAATAAACTAGATGTTATACTGAAGAACGTCACAATGTTGGCTTGATGATTGCCTTCAATGATTCTGTTAGTAAATACAGAAAAGCTTATACACATACTTGGACACTCATGCGTATCGCCAAATAATGGCATGTATGCAATCAGAACGGGTGGGTAGTCCTTCTAGGGATGTCACCAGTGACAACTTGTCAGCTGAAATTGGGACGGTTAAGAGCCCTGTTCATGCACACACACACACATACACAGGTAGGTTTATTTATGAACAGACATTCAGCTAATGGCAGCTGTGCAATTGCATACAAACATAGGTAGGAAATGTTCAGATAAAGGTATAAATCCCATCTGGCCCTATTTAGGAGGGATTGTCCGTATTTGATCTCAAATCCCCGTGTCCCTCTTTTCTATCCTAATGTCCCTTTTTTCCCTTTGAGTGTATAAACACTTACATATCTTTCAAATTCTGATACATTTGTTTAGAAAACAGTCTGTATAAATAAGATACATTGTACTTTAAACAACATTTAGTTTGTATTTTTTTGCATTTATATTTTTTCAGAACAGCCCAACCCCTAGCTGCACCCCCAGTTATACCCCTAAAATTACAATGTCCCGGTTTGTCCATTTAAAATGTTGGGGGTATGTCAGAGGCTTATAGACTGTGTGTATATATGCAAGTATTTGTACATGCAAAGGAAGCATAGTACCCCTGTAACATAGTTCAGTATAGGGGTGGATTTTTACTGTTGCAGATTTTTTGGGCAAATGCAGGAAGACAGGGCTCTCCCATATCATCCATTGTTCACTGGGAAGATTACCAGTTGTAGTAGCGCTTTGAAAAGTGCAAGCTCATGTTTGGTTTTAGCCTGTTGTGAACTGATAAGACATCGAAGGGAAACATGCTTGCTTTAAATGGCATTAAGACTTTATGAGTGACAAACAATGACTATATGTCCTCCTCGTCTGTGCTCTCTAAAGGTGAGTTACACTGTTTTGTTCTGCCAGGTTCTCAGCTTGGCCAAATAAAGTTAGAAAATGTTAAGCATAGTATGTGTTCTAGCTCTGACAGCTTTTAAAATAAAATTAACAAAAAAGTGCTTATATAGATAACAGGGGATTTGGGGATGCCTATGGTATAAGGATGTTTATTTTGCCAAAGGTAACGTGGAATTTGATGATTAGGATGATAAATATAGCAGAAAAGGGTTTTTTAAATGTGTTTTTATCTTCTGTCCTTCCAGACGTCTCTTCTTCTTATTATTTGGCTCTTTCAGTAAATTATGGTGTAGTTATACACTGCAGCACAGGTTTAGCTATGGTTACAGCATTTATGTTTGTGCTCTTGGGATTGAATATCCTTCAATAAAAGTGTGTTTTGAAATAGGTTTTAACTTCTTTGATTTGCCTGGCTTTCACAATTTAACCCCTTAAGGACACATGACATGTGTGACATGTCATGATTCCCTTTTATTCCAGAAGTTTGGTCCTTAAGGGGTTAAAGTCATTGCGGCAAAGTGGATTGTGAACTTATTGCAGCTGTATTGCTATTACATGACTGAGACTATCAGTTCTAGAACAGGATCCTTAAAATGTTAAAGTGTTAGGGATACATACCTTTATTTTCCCTTTCTCTAGTTATAGAGCCCAACCCCTTTTAAAAATAAAAAATAATAAAACAACTTAGCTTTATCTAACGCCTTCGACGCAGCTTATCTCTCCTCATCCTGCAACATCATGGAGGAGGCATGGTGTTCTCCACGATGGTCCGTTCCAATGTAATGTTCCTCTTAGAGGAGCATTGGTGACCTGATGAGCATTTGCAGAGAGTGAATCCAATCTTCCCCTTAGAAAAGCATTGAATCAATTGGTCAGTTAACCTGCCTCTTGTGGCTGCCATACCAATAGAGGCACTTCCATGAAATTGTTGAGTAAAAGGGAGACCATCTGATTGGTGCAGCATGGCAATTTGCTACCTATGCGCATTCGCTTCTCAATGAGAAAGCATTGGATTTGCTGAAATCATTAACATTGATAATCTCATCCACACTAACACTCATCGAGGAGACTGGAGCTGCCAGGGAGAAAATGTAAGTAAAATTCACCTTTTAACCCGGATAGCCCTGACCCAGTCATCTAATCAGTGAGCAGGGCACTATAGCGTTAGGAATACATATTTGTATTCCTAATGGTATAGTGTTCCTTTAAAGAAATCAATGCAACTTTATGATGAACGTTCAGTGTCTGCATGCTGAGGGTGCGGACACTGAATGGGCAATGCTGCACACTGTGCAGCACTGCCCCAGGAAGCAGCCATCTGAGGAGTGGCCAGTGGAGGTATCCCTAGGCTGTAATGTAAACAATGCAATTTGTCTGGAAAGACAGTGTTTACTACAAAAAGCTTGAAGGGGATGATTATTAGACATTTGCAATTCGTTTCGGGCCAAATATGTATTCGGACGAGTTTCTGGCAATTCGGACATTCGGGTACTTCCGAATGTCCGAATAGCCGAAGTTCCGAAATTACAGAATTTCCGAAGTGCTGAAGTTCCGAAGCTCAGAAGCTCAGTTTTGCCTAAGTACTAATATACTTACCCAGTGGAAGAAGAAGAATGTTACACTGTATACAATTTTAAATAAAAAGTATACAAACATAGCCAGGATTCAGCTGTAAGCATTTGCAACACTTACAACAATCAAGTAACACACATTCATATAAAATGTAAGTTACTTAGCCTGTCAATGTGATGACAGGAATGAATAAGTAGATAACTCCCTAATTCCCACGGTATTAGGGAGCTATCTACTAAAAGGCCAAAAGACCTAAATTGGCCAAATTTACTAATACTAAATAAACAACATTACTTAGTATTAGTAAATTATGCCCCTGGCTGCTCACTGTAAAAAAACAACAACAAAAAAGAACAACAACACTCCCTCCTAACCTAAAGGGGGGACCTATTGGCCCCCCCCCCGGCCTCCACCCTGAATGGCGGGTGGGGGCCCTAAAGTAAAATAAGGGGGGGAGACCTATTGTCCTCTCTCCAGGCCCCCACCCATGAGCGGTGGGTGGGGGCCCTAAATCAGAATGGGGGGGGACCTAATGTCCTCCCCCCTGGCCCCACCCCTGAGCGGTGGGTGGGGGCCCTAAATTTAGAATGAGGGGGGGGAGTACCTAATCTCCCTTGGGTGCAGTGGGACCTTTCCCTGGGGTCTAGTGTGGTGCTGCTTGAATCTTCTTGTTCTTCCTCACTGCTACCTCGCACGCCGTTTGTGACACTCAGTCACACTTACTTATGTGTGTATATACATGTTTGTATTCCTAAAGCTAGAGTATCCCTTTAAATCTCCATTTCTAGCACCTTACTGTTATTGGAAATCCGGGCAGGATAACAGGCTGGATTTGGACAGGGACAGTACACCCAGACTAGTGGTGTATCCTGGTTTTGTGCTGCCATATGCAGGACAAAACTCAGGCACCACCCCACCCTTCCCCCCTGCCCCGCCTTCTAAATACACACACATTCACTAACAGACACGCATACACGAGCTAACAGACATACACACTAACAGACACATACAGTCACTAGCAAACACACACTAACACACTCACAGTGACACACACACTCAGACTAACACTAACATACACACTCACTCGCTCACATTCACTTGCATTTTTTTTTTTAAATTCAACCCCCCTTACCTTTGGGAATGCTGGGGGGGTCCCCTTTCCCTGGGGGTCCAGTAGCTGCTGGGTGGCTCTGGCGATGGAGCACTTTTCCCTAAGCTGTCTGCTCAGCTCCCTCGCGCGCCGCAGAGTGATGCTGGGAGCCGGAATATGACAGCACATTGCGGCGCGCGAGGGAGCTGAGCAGACAGCTCAGGGGAAAGTGCTCCCTCGTCAGCGCCGCCTGCCTGCCTGCCTGCCTGGACTGTTAGCTGCAAGGCTAACAAGGCATTTGCCCTGGGCATTTGGGGGTGTTTTTTTTTTGCCGTCCCCTGGAAAATGCCGCCCAAGGCTGACCCAGACCACTTTAATGGGATGAAGTGATCTGGGTGTCTATAGTGTCCATTTAAAGTTTGACTACTTTAGCCTAAAATTTGAAATGTGCTTTGAATTCACTTTGAGTTCTCACTATAGTGAATAATCATTTGTGTGTATGTGAGAAAGAGAGACTCACTCAGTCATGGGCAGCTTATCTATATCTTATGGGGTTAGCATGATATGTGTACTGATATCTGACACAAAAGTAAGTAAGAAATGATTCCAACTGTTTGATTGACAGGCCAGGGAGGTTGTCTTACAAACAGAAAAAAAGGTGAATGGTAGGCCAGGGAGGTGGACTTAAAAACAGAAAAAAATGTGTGTTGATATGGTCCTTGCACCATGAGTAAAATTAAATGCCTATGGTGCTTGGTTTTTGTCATATTCGTACTAGGTAGCTCTACGAGACCTTACTGTTCTGAACTGCAGTCTAGCCTGAGATCTTGCAGCAAGATATTCCTTAGTAAACACAGGCCAATGTGTGTGTTACATAAACAGTCTGGCTAAGTTTCCTGAACCTGTGACAAGAGGAGACATGCATCTGTCACACCTACCTGTCAACAGCCTATCATCATTCACACAAAAAAACACAAGACCTTCCCCCCAAAAAAACACATATCTGTTATGTTCCCCAGGATTCACAAGCAGCGAGATAACTGGTTAGTAATATTTTTGTTGGTTTTCTTCATTAAAACTGATGCCTTGATCCTTAGAAGTGAGATCACGTACATCTTTTTTGTTACATATTTCATTCATAGATCTCTCGAAGAGGCTGTTGCATTAGAGTACGGGATGTCTTTATTTACAATACTATGGTGAACGGAAGCTGTCTGACCAGTTTTCCTTGTTTTGGTTGTTGATAGAAAAAGAGATCAGACATGATAATGCAGGTGCTACTCCGTTACTGCTCTTAACCCCTTAAGGACACATGACATGTGTGACATGTCATGATTCCCTGTTATTCCAGAAATTGGTCCTTAAGTATTGTTCATCACAATCTCTTAGGGATTTGTTTACTAAGTAATGAGCAAAACGTGGAGAACTTGCAAAGGAATATCTATAATAATCAAGCTTGAAAAATAGCTTAGCTGGAGAATTTTTCCATTTTGATTACTTTAGTCTAGAATTTGCAATTATCTTATCAATTCTTAATACTACTTCCCAAAGAATAGTATCCTCTGTGTTCTTAGCTGCCTTGTTTTCTCTTCCACATATAACAGTGATGATGAGAAATTACAATGTTTGTTTTTATAGAATGAGATCTCAGCAATCTGTTTTAAATAGATATCGCTTATTAGAGAGAAACTGCGTAAAATGATATAGTGCTAGAAATTTAATTATGCAATTAAATATCAAATTTAAATTATATAATATTTCTGCATAATGTCTACAGTGAACAATACATTTGAAGTCTGATTGCATTATATTTTAGAAAAAGCTCAAGACTATTTTACCCAAAGAAAGAAGAAAAAATATTCACTTAAGAGTTATGAGTTTGATTTTCTTTTTCTACAAAAGCTATGGTGTCATTAAATTATATACAGTATATTACTGCAGAAATATATACTTATAATGCCCCCAATGTGCCTTGAATGTGTTGGAACAGAGCAAAAACATAGCTGGAAAGTAATAGAATGGAAAAGTTAGCACTTAAAGGCATACTATAGTGCCAGTAATACAAAGCTGTATTACTGGCAATATAGCTCCCTCTGCCTCCTCCTCCTCGTGCCCTCCCATCGGCACAATGAAAAAGGGCTGAAAACCGCTTATTACTTACCCGATCCCAGCACTGATGTCCCTCGGCGCTGGGTCGCGGCTCCGCCTCCTTTGACATCGCTTGATGAGGGGTGTGCTAATGTGCAAGTAGCGCTTGCCGCATGCGCATTAGGCCCTCCACATAGGAAAGCAATGCTTTCCTGTGGGGAAATAGCTAACACTGGATGTCTTCATGCAGAGCGTGAGGACATCCAACGCCAGTTAGCGAACCAAAAGTCCGGTAACATTACGTAAGTGCCTCTAGTAGTTGTCTGTTTGACAGCCACTAGAGGCTGTCTTAGTGCTGCAATGTAAACATTGCAGTTTCTCCAAAACTCTATTGTTTTACATTGCAGCACTAGTGCAATATGGACACTGTCCTCAGACCACTTCAATGAGCTGAAGTGAGCCTATAGTGTCCCTTTAACCAATATTACATTATTAGAATTATTAAAATTATTTCAGAATTCTTTTCAGAATGTTATAGTATGTTGAATACATACACATACATTTAAATCTTGGCCTAGTACTGCTTTGGGATTTTTCCATAAAGTGCTTCTTCAGATGCTTATATCAATAGCAGTTATAGTTTTTTAAAAAGGCATTTGCGTATAACTAGCCTAATGAACTACTGCCTGCTGTGCTTTATTGTAAATGTCAATAACTATGCCATTAATTTAAGAAGCCAATCTAGAGTAGTGGGATATCATTAGCGCTGACTACAGTGGGATAAATATATAATAAATATCAGTGATCTACAATTATTCAGAAGACTATGATTTTAGAAAACTGCACATCCTGCTATGAAACTGGCACTCACATATCAACACGCTTTATATGTTTCCTTTCTTAGGTGGACACTGAATGGTGAGTCCAAATGTAAATGGTGTAAGAATAGACGTATTTTCTTCTGTGATACCAGCTATGCTTGCTAAAGCTACAATGTCACCCATAAACCAAAAACATTTCCAAGAAAGCTTTGAGGACAAACATGAAAGGAGGTTGGAATACCATGAAGCCTTGCGAAGCCGTCATAATGCTACCTCATGCCGCCAGAACAGTCCAGACTGGGGACGCGACCAAGAGAAGTTGCAAACATCCCCACGTCAACAGGAATTGTTCAGGAGGAGACAACTCTACGCTGAGAATACTGGAGATAAATGTATAAAGTCTCCTCCCAAATACCAAAAATACAGTAAATGTTCTCCTGTAAGACTAAGTGTAGAAAACCAGATCAAAAAGGAAGAAGTGTCACCAAACAATAAGGTAATTTTTATTACAACTAGTCCTCGGACCACTCAAAGTCCAGGGTCACTGTACATCCTCAAAGACGTGAGTACAGTCTTTGCATGTGGCTGCTATATAGTCCTCAGTTCAAAGCAAGGAGGTAATAGAGATAGGTATGTGCAATAATGTAATACATTTACCAACAAGATGCTGCAATGGTGCTATCAGATGTTCTTATGAATACCAGCATTAGTAAGATGCATAGCATTGTCTGCCTTAGTGTTTTAGTTAAATATATAACTGTTTCAGCAATTCACAGTATATTCATACAGCATAGTGTTAGGTGGAGTCGAGATTCTGATCCCAACTCCAGAGACCTTAATGGGAATCTCTATGGCCCACAGAGTAACCTCAGTCTAGTTGTAAGATGGTCCATCACCTCTATATTAGTCCATAGGATAGAAGGATATGAGCAATAGGGGTTACCCAAATATCCCACCACACTTCATGCACAGCATTGATTCAAAGAAAACAACTGCTCTAAGATGTGTGATTGAGCTTTTGTCTTCTTTTCGAAATACACTAAAATTTGCTTTTGCTTATTGCTCGTTTAACCCCCTTAAGGACCAAACTTCTGCAATAAAAGGGAATTATGACATGTCACACATGTCATGTGTCCTTAAGGGGTTAAATATGAGGCTGATGGCTAAAGCTGTAATAGATTTCAATGTTACCATGGGGTTAATATGTTTGACAAAGAATTCTGAAATAAATATGTGATTTCACCCCTACAGATCTCCTGGCATCATAATCACTCCAGTAGCTCCCCTAGAAACCCTGCAGGTATTCGACCAGATATGATGAATAATAGTTTTCAATGGGAACCTTCATCCAGAGGGATAAACACACAGAATGTATCAACAAGAGAGAGAGGTGAGAAAAAACACTTTCAAATAAGCTATACATAAACAGGGTTATTCAAAGTGAATTAAATCTCACTCCAGTAAATAATCCTGATATTACTGTTCTGCTGTGGAATTCCTTTCGATCGGTATGCTGTGTGTTTAAACCCAGCATAGTCACTGCTCTATCTTGTGAGGTTACTGATACATAGTTTTACTGTTGATGTGAACTATTGTATAGTCTAGAACAGGGGTAGGAAACCATTGGCACTTCAGATGTTAAGATGTTGTGGACAACATCTGCCATAATGCTCTTACAGTCACCCTGGCACATCATCATGGGAGATGTGGTCCACTACATCTGGGGTACTAAAGATTGCCTGGTCTGGTCTAGAACATAGAACCCACAGCAGTTTAATATAGAACTTATAACGATCTTCTTTTTCTTTTAAGCTGTTTTCAAGTAGTTTGATGAAGATGGAAATATTTTGCCATCTAAAGCCCAGTCCTCCATTTATCCTCACATAACCTTCCAAAATCCATCCAGCCTTGGGTGACAATAACAAGCTACAAGCACAGGGGAGGTTTGCCCAGAGATGGATTACTGCAGTTTGGTTCTTTGGCTTTTATGCAAGCCTTTACATTCTGTAATTATACGTTTGCAGTGTTGGCTTACGGTGTCTTTTAGTAATTGATATAAAATCTTAATGCTTACTTACAAAGTTCTCTGTTACTGTGCCCCAATCTATATATCCTCACTAATAAGAAGTGTGTCTATACCAAACCTATCCACAATGCCAGCAACCCATGTCTGGCCTCACGTTTGACTTATTGCCCATGATTTACCAGGCGCTGCTCCCTGCCTCCACCAAAGACTCAGAAATTCCAAAATTCTGTTAGCACTCCTGGGCTAAGCCCTGCAATGCTAGGGTCCTGGGGAACAGTGTGTTGGAGCACTGCTGGCAACATAACCATTACAGCATGGTGCTAAAAGTGTTCCACCTTCTTCTCTGGATGTCACAAAACAAGGAGCATATGTAAAGTGTTGCGTTCATTTTAATTTGACCCTTTGTATAAGTACATTGAAGCCATTTTACAGCTATTTCTGCCTTTTATTCCTTTTTGTATCTTTTTGTGCCTTGTTTTTTATTCATTTGAATGCAAGCAGCTGTTTGATTAAACAGAAAACACACACACATTTCCAAAATAGTCATATTATAGCATAAAAAGGACATTCACAAGAATTTTTGTATACATTGACCAAAATAATTAAGAATATAAAAAGTCTGCCAAACTGGTGTTGGTACAAACATATGTTGTAAAGAAATTAAGTCTACACCGATTTATTTATTTTTTGGTTTTTTTATGTGCTGAAAGAGACAAATTTGTAACCAGAAAAAAATATTATAATAAAAATTGACGTATCAAAAAATGACAGGAAAGATAAGGAACAGTTTGGCTTCAATAAGGGAATAAATAGGAGTGAAAAGGAAAAGCACAAAAAAAAAAAAAAAAAAACATATAAAAAGTGAATCCTATTCTTTGCATACTTTATAAAGCAGTACATCTAGTAGTTAGTCTTTCTTCTGGGAAAACCACACTTTTAACTTGCCTACACTGTAACTGCAGTAACATGTTTCCCTATTTCATTTAGAAAAGTTGTGCAAATATGTGAGAGGGTAGAAGTCACCAGTGAAATTAGCCTACTGGTCCAATGGTTTCTATAATGATTGCCCCACTTTTAGTGCTTGCACCATTTTTTCAGAACATAACACTTTAAGAAAGTCTCCCAGAGTGCTTCATATGAGTGAAGATACAAGATATAAACATCCAGGATACGCCTGTTAAATTATAGGCAGTTCATTTCGGCTTACAGGCACGTGAACTGATGTTTGAAAATAAGATTGGGCAAAATGAATGGAATTAAAAATTTTCTAATTTCTAAAAGGGAATATAAATATATAAAAATATGTTGTTGTGTTATTCACAGGTGTTCAGACTGTACAGGACCCACCAACACTGTGTATTAAAAGGGAGTCGAGTCAGCAGACTGAGTAAGTACAGCTAGAAAATACAGGCCGATGTTATCAGTGTCCTAAGGGAGTATAGACTTCTCAAGTAAATGCAAAAAAATGAAAGGTAATCTTTTGGCACTATAATTATTTAATCTCATTGAATTGGTAAGAGTGCTTGCAGCCCCCTGGCGCTACCCGTCCATTCAGTATTAACTATTTTCAAGCGGTAGAACCTGCCTGTCATTTTTAGATGTTTTAAAAGCAGATTTCCTGGTAAATTACTCTTGTATGTAGAACATAGAACAACAGCTATCTGCTGGCCTATTCATTGCCAGCACTTTACAAGATCATCCGCTAAAAATGTTTTTTACATGCAGCAGCATCATAAGAATATATATATATATATATATATATATATATATATATATATATATATATATATATATATATTGAATTTACAATCTACAGTGTGCTGTCAAAATTCTGATTTAATTAACTCTTTTAAAAAAGTAGGATTAAGTACTGCAATAAGGGCATGTAAAAGGTTGATCTAAGCATATTTGTGTGCAGAACATTGCATTAGGGTGCGCAGCCAGAATTTTTTTTACTATTTAACCCCTTAAGGACATGTGACATGTCATAATTCCCTTTTATTCCAGAAGTTTGGTCCTTAAGGGGTTAAAGGGACACTATAGTCACCTGAACAACTTTAGCTTAATGAAGCAGTTTTGGTGTATAGAACATGCCCCTGCAGCCTCACTGCTCAATCCTCTGCCATTTAGGAGTTAAATCCCTTTGTTTATGAACCCTAGTCACACCTCCCTGCATGTGACTTGCACAGCCTTCCATAAACACTTCCTGTAAAGAGAGCCCTATTTAGGCTTTCTTTATTGCAAGTTCTGTTTAATTAGGATTTTCTTATCCCCTGCTATGTTAATAGCTTGCTAGACCCCGCAAGAGCCTCCTGTATGTGATTAAAGTTCAATTTAGAGATTGAGATACAATTATTTAAGGTAAATTACATCTGTTTGAAAGTGAAACCAGTTTTTTTTTCATGCAGGCTCTGTCAATCATAGCCAGGGGAGGTGTGGCTAGGGCTGCATAAACAGAAACAAAGTGATTTAACTCCTAAATGACAGTGAATTGAGCAGTGAAATCGCAGGGGAATGATCTATACACTAAAACTGCTTTATTTAGCTAAAGTAATTTAGGTGACTATAGTGTTCCTTTAATCTTTACTCTAAATATTGTAACCAGTTGTATTCAAGGATAGTCATGGTTTTTTATTTTATTTTTTTTTCCCCAAGTTCCCCAAAACCCATGGAAAAGTTCCCTTAGCAACCAAAACAGGAGACAAGGATTAGGGGGTTGCTTATGCACACCTAACACACGCGTAGGGACATAAGTCATTTTTTTAAATCCGTAATTACAAAGTTTCTATAATGCCAAATTAAGTGCTACCAAAATTAATTTGTGTGAGATAGAATTTCTACCCTGATGAATTAACAGTGTGTTAATTTTTAATGTTTTACAGTAGTTCAGTGACTGTTTTAAATGGGGTAAGTATTGCATTTAGATTCATATACATCTTTATATTTTTTAGAATATGTTTTGCCAGGAAGAATATATTAATAGTTCATTACTTTTCAAGTGTATCTTGATGGCAAGATCAGAAAGTCATATAATGGCAGATTTACATCAAGTATATATGTTCTCTTAAATCTGTGTAATGCCAATCAGCTCTAAAGAATGAACTACGTTTAGATGCAGAAAATTAGAAAGGTATTTGTAGTATTGTCTGTATCTATGGCCTGTCTGGTGTGTTGTAATGTGCATGGGCTGTCTTTGATGTTCAATGTGTATATGTAGGTTGCTCATAGTACTGTATGTGTGGCATGAGCTTTTTGTAACATTGTGGGAGGGGGCTGCTTGTGATATGTATGTGTGGTCTATCTGTAGTGTTTTCTTGGAATTGTGTGTAGGGGAGATATCTGCAGGTGTGTTTTTTTATTTTTTTTATTAACTATAGCTTTTGCCAGGTTTGTGGTTTTCACCTTTGACGGGTGCAGATCTCTTCTGTCTCCATTCTGGCGCTTTTACAATCAGATGGAGTGTTGCCATGGTAACCCCCGGCTATTCTCTGCATTCCCAGGAAGTGTGAGGGAGAGTTCTAGTGGTGCTCCATCACCTGTCTGTGGTGTCTGCACACGCCTCTATTGCGCTCACATTGAGCTGGGGAAATCATCATTTAGCTGAATGGCAGTGAGATTCATTTGAAAAATTCTCTGAATTGCAAATTAAATGTCACCAAATATCCCTGTTGCAAGAAAAGTTAATGTACGAGTAGGTTTTGTAGAGGGATTTAAGATTTCAGATCAAATTACTCGTTTATACCAGGGAAGTTTGATCCACTTAAAGGAATACTGTAGTGCCAGGAATACAAAGCTGAATTGAATTTACCGGGGAGGAGGGCCTCCCCCCTCCCTTGCGCACTCCTCCTCGCGCCTGTTACAATTCCAGAAGCGCCCCCCAGTGGCTGTCTGGTAGACAGCCACTGTGGGCAGACTTAGAGCTGCAATGTAAACATTTACCCAGGTGCTGCAATAGGGGATGTTTGTATATGAAAACATATTCTTAAATATTCCACTCCTGCCACTTCACAAAGAGATGAAGCTGTGAATGAAGTACTGATCACTAGAGATGCTCTATCACAGCACTCACTGTGACATTTATATTAAATTGCAATTTTTATTTATTTGTTTTTGCAAGACATGAACTGGAGCCTCAGTCTATAATGATAATTCTCTCCATTTATATTCATTGAGGATTTAGTGAATGAACAGCACGGCGTATCTTATACTATGTAAAACTGTTCCCAATTGCTTTGCTTGAAAGAAAATATCTCATAACAAATAGGCAGTATAATTATATTTTATTTGAAAGCCCACTCCATGCACCTAATGTGCCGAATTGGATCCAACGTAGCACAAATAAAAATTATTTTAATTTTTTTTTTTTTTTTTTTTAAAGAACCAAAGAATGCTCGGTTTCCCAGTTTCCTTAAGCTACCACTGGGAAGGAGTCCCAAAGGTTCCTGCTCTACACATTAAATGAACACTACAGAGTCAGGAATACAAACATATATATTTCAAATACTATAGTTTTCCTTTACTTATTTAGCTGTCATCCCATAAAGAATATGAAATATTTTTTTAATATTGTAACTGAAACTTTTTAAATCTTCATCTTTCTATGAAACAGAATTATAAAAAAATATGTATAAAAAAAAAAACGCGTAAATGTCCAGCTTTGAAATTAAAATCCATGCTTCCAGCACCATTGTCTGCAGATGGACTCTCCTCTAAAGTGTGATAGACTGGGTTTAGTCCAAGCCGATTACAGTGTGGCGAACTCTCACCATAAATTCCACTGCACTGTAGTAAGCATTGGATTCCAAATAGCAAAGCACACTAAAACATCATAAAATGTGAGTTTCTCTGTCAAGTGAATCTTAATCCAGCCAAGCATGTTGCAGGAGACGGCCCAGCTGGGTATGGGCTCTGTTAACTTTCCATTCTTTTCCAGTAAGGGGTCCTATGGACCCTCACTCAGTTTTTTTAAAACGTCCCTGCTAGTAAGATGAAAGCCCTGGGAGTCACAAACTGCTTTCTAGCAAATTGTGCATAGTTAGTATGATTTAGGTCCCAGAAAATTCTTTCTTTTTTTACAGACGGACTATTAGAGTAGAGCAGGTTAACACAGATTCAGGATAGGGAGAGCTCTTACCTGTACATAGCATCCTGTATACTTTTTATCTTTCTATTAAGAACACTATAGTGTTAGGAATATAAACGTGTATTCCTGGCATTATAGTTCTAATAGCACTATTTAGGGCCCCAACTCCCCTGTCAGCAAGGTTAAAGGTGATTTTACGCAACTCTTTCCAGAGCCACACAGGTCTCCTTGTGGCTGGCTCCGCCTCCTTGGTTGAGATCTTTAAACATGATCATTCCAGCCAATCCAATGCTTTAGGAAAGAAATGGGAGGCTGGCGCGCATGTGCTGCACCAATCAGGTGCTCCTTATAGAGATGCATTGAATCAGAGCGTGGAGACCCTGAATGTTAGTACTGCACATTGTGTGAGTGACTGCCACTAGTGGTGTTCCTAGCCAGTGACAGGCTGGGGACAACAGAACAACTACATTAAGCTGTATTTTTCCCTTCCCTGTAGTTGCTAGTTGTAGTGGTGAGAAGGTGGGGGAGGTCAATCGGGGAATGTTAGCTTGTTAGCTGTACATTATGTTACTAGCACAAAGGTGTCTTAGTGAGTAGCTTTGAATAACAAAACAACCAATTATTTTTATGAAGTTTCCCTCTTTTTCTATTTATCCCTTGATAATGGCATCTACATTGTGACATAAGGAATCTTTTAAAAACAATTGTTATGGACTAGTTGGTTTCCTGTCCAGCTACAGGTCTTTTATCACTACAAAGCAGAAGCCTGTGAGAACATTCACTGTTTGCATCAGCAGTAAAGCATTCTTCCATGTCTTACTGTGTAGGGGGAGGGACACAAAGCAGCTAAAAATACATGGTTATTCACCTAAGTGTGATTTCTCAGAAATTCAAAGTGAATTGCACATCTTTGGCCAAAATAGCCAAACTGAAAAAAACATCCTTGCCTTAGAGACTTTCCAATTCAGCTTGAAATTAACTTTGAATTTAATGAATAACACTTTTTCGCTTCTTAGAGGTTAAGAAAAGTTTTCACATACGTTTGTATAATGTTATAATACATTTCCTAAAAAGCAAAGAGGCTATTTTTTTGTTTTGTTTGTTTTTTACCTAAACCTAAATGCTATTTTTATGTCTTATAAAATCCTATTTTTCAGGAGTTGCTGGAGCTTTCTGAATACCTTGAGGTGAGTTAGTCTATATATAAAGAAAATATAAAATGTGAGTTGATGGTTATTGGCTGCCTGAATAGTAATGGGTGTTATTTTCACACATTTGAAAAGCTATAATCATATCATGTATAATAAGTAGGACAGTAGTAAGGTGACAGGCTAATATCTTATCCAGAAGCACAGTAAAAGAGCTAAATGTTCTAATATTGCAAGCACAGTTTACACAGTATTTGCTTCCCATCACCTTGATTACATAACGAGGAATACACATCTTATATTTTAATTTCCAGCAACCTAGCATTTGTGTATGTTAGGTTTTCAAGATTATTATTATTTTTGCCATTTATATAGCGCCAACAGATCCGTAGCACTTTACAATATTATGAAAGGGGGCATTTAACTATAAATAAGACAATTACAAGAAAACTTACAGGAACAATAGGTTGAAGAGGACCCTGCTCAAGCGAGCTTACATTCTAAGATTAACCTCATAGTTGTGAGACAGGTTTCTTAAAGGTCTCAAGCTGAGCATACTTTTCCCCTCAATATTGAAATGATTTTCCTCTTCAAGAATATTTGCTTTTGTTCCTGTTCACTGGCATATATATTTCTGTAAATGGAGGCACAGCTTTAATATCCTTTTTGGAAAATATATTCGTTGTAGCCACATTCTTAATATTTTAATTTAGGTCATTTATATTTTTATACTGATCAGGTGTTTACAATTTGTGCTTAATTTATACAAGTTATAAATATAAAACAGATGTACACTTGATGGGGAAAACATGTTAAATAATCAGATTCAGTAAGTAATCTGTAGGCAGTCCTTTCTGAATATTCCTTGATAAAATACAGAATTAACTCACAGCCTGTGGGGGATCTCTTACCTTTATTTTATTCCAGCGTCGTGCGTTTGTCCATCTCCTGGCTGACATCATCAGAATTGATGACCTCGTCCAATCCAATGCTTTCTCATAGGTGCTGGCCAATCAGCATCTCCTCAATGCATCTCTATGGGGAAAGTTCAGTAACTCTATGCAGAGCAAGTAGTCGCTCCATGTCAGTACTGTACATTGTGCAGCATTGACCCAGGAAGTACCTCATGTGGGCGTTTGAGTGGCTGTAACTCGAGGTGTTACCAGGCGGTAATTAAAAGGCAGTGTTTACAACAAAAAGCCTACAGGAACATACTGTAGATACCAGAACATTAAGCTGTAGTTGTTCTGGTGCCTGTAGTGTCCCTTTAAATAAGGTGTTCGATGTCTTATGTGAAACTAAATAGAATCAAAACCATAAAAAATGCGAAGAAAGGTGAGTGGAGAGTAGGAAACTGATAGATATAAAAACCAAAGACATTGAAAAAAAAGTTAGACAAAACCAGGGCATGAAACAGAGATGGCTACCTTGGCAAGATATAGTTGAAGGAGGACTTAAAGGGACACATTAGGCACCCACATCAATTCATCTCAATTAAGTGGTCTGGGTGCAGTGTCCCTGTTCCCTTTAGGGATACATATTAGAGTGTTCCTTTAATAGTCAGAATCTTTACGGAGGTACATCAGGGATTGGTCCAGTTTACCTTGCAATACCTGGCATAAAAGCTTGAAGTCTCTTTATGATAATTTCACATAGCATTGTTACTTAGTTTGAAATTACTTTTTTTCATTTCTATTTGCACAGGAAGCTCTACAGAGAGAGCGGAAACTGAAAAAGAAACTGTGTATCCTGCAAGAGCTTCTAAGTGTACTTGTTCAAGCATCTGATAAATCATGGAAGGTGCTCACAAATCTGCTACTTCAAACTTATAATGCATAATACATTGTACTAAGCTGTTGTAGGGACAACTTAATACTCAGCTCTGTGTGTATTGGGAATTGTATTGTCCAAGACTGTGCAGTATGTACACACATTTGTACACCATATGTTGTAGGATGCAGCATAACTATAAATTGAGCTCAATAGTAACTCCAACTGGATAGTTTGACCAGTTATATGAATTCTGAGAGTCAGCTCCCCATAATGATTATATTCTTGTGGCATGAGAAGTACGTTATGCTTTTTTAAATGTATTGAGGTGGTTGCAGCTTGAAGGAACACTATAGTGTTGGGAATACAAACATGTATTCCTAACACTATATAGTTCTGGAATAAATGTTTAGGTGTCCGGTCCCTCTCTCTTTGCAGTAAAAAGGTGATTTTACTTACCTGTTCTGAATCACAACGCTGGTCTGATTGCTGCTGGCCCAGTTCCATCTCCATGGCTGAGATCATCTATCTTGCTGATTTCAGCCAATCAAATGCTTTCCCTTGGGTATGCATTGGAGACTAATGTGCATACACGGCAAAACACCTTGCTGTGCCAATCAGCATCTCCTCATGAGATGCATTGAATCCGTGCATCTCTATGGGGAGCGTTCAGGTTGTCATGCAGAGCATGGAGACACTTAACGTAGGTGTTGCACATTGTGTTGCACTTTTAGCGGCTGTCCGAGTTACAGCACCTAGAGGTGTTATTAGGCACAGTGTAAACACTGCCTTTTCTCTGAAAAGGCAGCATTTATATTGAAAAGCCTGCAGGAACGGGCACCCCAGCTCTACACAATAACACAGATGATAATACCTATACAAGCCCCTAGCTGTATACATTATATAGTATACAAAGATATTTGGATCTATACAAGCCCAGGCTATTAGATGCAGATATTTATGCATTTATTTATTTCTGGATCTATACCAAGATATTTAAAGCTTTATACACAACAGATATTTTAAATTAGACACAGATATAGGGGTATCAAAAATTCAAGTTTATAAAAAGTATTGTTCTTTTTTCAGCTTAATTCTGCCATTACCCAGATTAGTGAACTGCTCTGGAACAATTATGCTGAATTAATTCATGTTTAAAGGGTTACACCAAGCGTAAAAACCAATATGTCACTAAAACACCGTTTGTAGTCAGAGTAACCATTATTGTCCCAGCTGATGCCAGAGAGGATGGGCCTAGGGTAGGACAAAACCAGCACAGGGGAGGTCCTGCCATTGGCGCATGTCTTAATGTCTTACCAAAACCTTTTTCTCTTCATTTGGACTTATTAACAAGATCTAAAGAGAAATCTAGTGATACATTCCATTAATACTGAATTGTAGTGAATTGTAAAATAAATTATAAAATTTAGGTGCAAATAGCCAGTACATGACTACCACTTATGAGTTAGAGCTTTTTCAATAATTTGTACTGCATTTGGATTTCAGTTCCCCACATTTTGATGTTATTGATTCATTCATATTGTTCCTGCTTCCAGCCCTTCGACACTTATGGCCAAGGACCAGAATAAATATATATTATAATGGTTTATGCTAGCTTACTGCAAAAGTTAATGTTTAGTGTTAGTGTATTGTATTTTTGTGATTGTGTAGGAGTTAATAGGGGTTAGTATTATATTGTGTAGTGTGGGTGTAGATGTTAAGGGATTGTGTAGTGTATGGGTTAATATTATATCATGTAGTGTGTGTGTGTTAATGTTAAGTGGCTGTGTAGTATATACGTTAATATTTAATATCAAGTGTTATGGTAGTGTAAGGGTTATAGGAAAGGGCTTTACTGAGAGGGTAGTGCTTGTGATTAGTAGAAGTTAAAGTCCCAGATAATAGTTATTTCAGCTGACATCATTAATATGGCAGTATGTCCTAATCAGGTATGCAACTCCCACTAATATCAGTCATGAAACAGAGATGGCTACACTGGAGACGGAGAAATGTATGTTCCAGGTCTGTCTTGAGTTATGCCCTTAAGACTGCAAGTAGGAGATCTGTGCATTACTGAATTATTGCATGGATGGCATCACTATTTTGCATTATGAGATTCTAAAACATAATCTGCACTATGAAATTATAAGCAGATCATGTAATATAAAAACTCTTTAAAACGTGTCTTTTTTTCAATTTGAAACTTTTTTTATTGGTTTTCAAGGAAGGGGGGGATACAAAAATTAAAAAGGGTGGGCATAAAAGGCAATTTTTCACATACATACAACACCAAATTAAGCTCTTGTGTAAAACGTGTCTTTTATTATGTTTTGTTTGTCCAATAAAGATATGTGACACAGCTACTGCAGCAGAGCTATATGGGATCAGTAAGCTTGACAGAAAAATATAAAGCCTCTGTGGTCACTGACGCTTCCTGTGTGAAACAGTGCGTTAGATAACAGGAGAAAGACAGTGTTCAGCAGTAACAAACAGGAAACTGATTAACATAACCAACAGGCTTGTTTAAGTTTAATTACACGTTAGGAGAACAGGTGGGTGCTCTGATATGTGAAGTTGTTTTGTATCCATTCTGACAGAGAAGTGGTTTAGTAGGTGTCTGTTAATGAACGTATTTCAAACAATACATAGGAGCTGATGGGTTGATATTGCTGAAATAGGTTTTTTTACGCTTCTGCACATTTAACAGCTATACATTTTCTGGAAGGACGTTCCTGTTTGTCCTAAGAAAAGGTGACAAGCTCAACCAATAGGCTGTGTTTAAAAGTATAAAACCACCTTATGCAAATTGCAGTTGTGTTACAAGCTATGTTTGTAACATAATCTTAATTTAGACGGATGCTTTAACTGCTTATTTCTCTTCTATGATGCATGCCATCTTGGTTATATTGTTGACAGATCATAAATAGATATAGATAGTTTATTTTTTATTTACCTGTGTATGTATGGTGGCTGTATATTTTAGTTTCAAATAATTCTGTAACATATTTAGCTGAGAAATGATCTAAGTTTTCCTTCTGTCTTAAAGGTCCAAGTGAATGAAGACCGGCTGAAGTGCAAAGTTTCAAACCTAGAAAATCAACTGTTTCTTTATTCTCAGGTAAACCAAACTGTATGGTGTTTGTTTCAAAATATGAACCTATTACCATGATAGCATATGCAATTTTTTTTTTGGCAATTTGATACTCCAATATTTGAAAATATGTTTAGGCACTATAACATGTCTGAGGTTTGTTAATGTCTAGTTGTGAAACCATTTACTTAAAAAAAATAAAAAAAAAGTTAATATGCATGTTAGTGTGGATATATTGATTATATATTTCTTGTTTCCATCCAGACATATCTGAGAGACCTGCTTAACATTTTTAATCAGACCATTTGCAACATCTACCATTCCAATACTGTTTATATATGTACTTAAATGTCTCTTTGGTCATTATCTGGTAGATCTGCACAGTGTATCCATATGGATACAGCTTCTCTCTAGAGGAACCATTTGGAATAAGTGTCAGCCTGAACAGAACTGGTCGTGAACTGAGACAGAACTTTGTAGAGACCTGGATGGGGATTAAAATAGTTCCCTCCTTTCCTATGTTCCGTCTGTAATCGCTACTTAGCAGCATGAATAATATCAATGCTAAAGAGTAAGATATTTGCATCGTTTTCAAAGTGTAAATAGTTAAATGTGTAGTATGCATATGGCTTCCTGTGTGGCTTCCAGTTACTAGTTAATATGGGGCATTTCTGCGTGTTATATTAATTTCATAGGAATGAAAGGGTATTTCTTGGCTGTCATAGTTATTACTACAGTTCTGAGTCAGTACTTCTATATAGTATACATATAATAATATAAAGAAACCACCTGTACATTTACGTTTGCAAAACTACTAATGCACAATGAAACAACTGTTTTGCCTGATTACTATTTTTGTATTAGATCACTTATATTATGTGTCACGCCATATATTAATGCTTCTACCCTGTGAATAAATTAACAGAACATTCCAAAAACAAGTGTGAAAAAAATATTATTGGAGATGGAGGAACAGAAATACAGATACGAGGAGAAAGCTAACGAATCTCTTCAGAAATTAACAGAAGACAAAATGACGACTGAAAGGCAGCTCCACAAAACTCAGGTTTGTAATGCTTTAAACATTAAAAACCATACTTTTCCTTAAGATTACAATCAGGTGACCAGGCTTAAAGATACACTCTGAGCACCATAACCACAACAGCTTATTGTCATTGTTATGATGCAAGTGATGAGTCTTTGGTTGCTGCAAACATTTTGTCAAACAAACTGTGTACACCTTGCACCCAAATTCCTCTGTTACCTTACACTTAGATGATAAATGTCACACTTTTGCATTATCCATCCAATACCACCAATACCTGCAACGATGGGCTGCGAACACTGGGCTAACCCTCCCCCTTGACGTGCAGCCTATCACTGCCTTCCCAGGACCAACGTCTGGAAATCAGACAATGTCTTACCTGGGATGGCAATGATATGCACGTTTTAGGAATGTGTTTGCCCTGCATCTTGGCTATGGGTTCCAGGAGATCCATGGCTTTTGTCAAATCACTCAAAAATAATAAAAAATTAAACAGAAAAAAGTTTCATGGTGCCAAAGACTATAGAAAAAAACAGTAGTAAATATGGTGCTAGATTTTCCAACTTTAAATATATATTGCAGATACAGTATTGGAATAGAAAGCACCACATGCAATAGATAGGGTAAAACATAATCCATGCCAAGATCACGCAGGCGCCAAACATAGAGTGGTTAAAAAAATGAAAAAAGAAGTCAGTATTTATTGATTTATTAAATATTTTACCAGAAAGGATACATTGAGATTTCTCTCGTTTTAAGTATGTCCTGGGCCCACTAACACTGCATTGCTACAATACGGTACAATATAATATTAATGATAAAAATATATTATTAAAAATATTAATAGGGGGGCGTGGCCTGACCACGGATGGAGTGAGACACACGCTGCCTGTGCTCCTAGGCTTCACCCTGTATAGCCCGTAATAATTAGCATCCAGACTCGTTCAAATCCTGATATTATGAGGAAAACCAAGCGAGCACTAAGTTCTGGGCAGCCCGGTGGGGCTCTGCTACGGTCCCAAACCGGCCCGATGGATGATTACCTTGCTGGGCCGCAGGGCCTGCCGGACGCCATCGACACGTCGATTCCTGCCTCACCCGGCTCAAGCATTGCTGGCTCATCCCGCGGCACCAGTGAGCCGGCGGCCCTGTCCCAAATCTCGCTAGATATAGCCGCTATCTCCTCCAGCATGCTCACTAGGCGAGATAAATCTGAAATGGTGGCCGAGCTGCGAGCGGTGATCAGGGAGGAGATTGCCGCTGTGCGTGCAGATCTCACCGCCCTGGAGCACCGCGTGGATGCCCTGGATGTCGAGCGCCTTCAGAACTCCCAACGGCAGCAAGCTGCGGACCTGGCGACCACCAGGCAGGGGAACCTACTCCTAGACCTCCGCCGTCAGGTCGAAGACCTCGACAATAGAGGTCAGCGGAACAACATCACGCGGCTGACCTATTGGTCTAACAATGTTCATGGGCTTAACATGCCCGAAAAACGATCACAGTTGCTACGGCAGCTCTGGGCTGCAAAAGCTTCCGTGGTGTTCTTGCAAGAGACGCACTTCAAAGGGGGAGATACGCCTAAACTGGAGAATCGTCGATTCCCGTTGGGATTTTACGCTAATCACCAAACTGCCAAAAAAGCTGGGGTGGCGATACTTTTCGCCCAGACGACGCCTTTCCTCCACTTGGCGTCCCAGATGGATCCGATGGGGAGATACCTATTCTTAAAGGGCACCATAGCGGACCATGCGTATACATTCACTTGCATATACTGCCCAAATAGGGGTCAGCACACCTTCCTCTCCCGGACACTGGCCAAATTAGAGAGATTCCGAGAGGGCCTTTTGGTCCTTGGCGGCGACCTCAATATCCCTCTGGATCCCCGGCTGGATACTTCGAGGGGAATGACCGCGGTCTCGGCTACCAGTATCCGGCTGACCCAGCGCGCCCTGCACAAAATTGGATTGGTGGATTGTTGGAGGGCTTGCAATCCGGAAGGGAGAGACTATACCCATTACTCTGCAGCGCACGCACAATACAGCCGCATCGATTATATCTTTCTGGCACAAGAATTTTTAAACCTCTTGCAAGGAGCGGAAATAGGCATCATAAGCCACTCGGATCATGCACCGGTCCTGGCTCATACCAGTTCCCCGCTATTTAAGCCTAGTGAACGACAATGGAAGCTCAATGAAACTATGCTGGATGACTTGGCACTCAGGCAGTCAGCAACCCGCGCCCTGACCGATTACTTTACCACCAACGACAACTCTGATACGACACCTTTAGGGCTTTGGGAGGCGCACAAATGGGTCATTCGGGGCTTCTTCATTTCTGAAAGCACCAGGCCGAAAAAGGACAGACGGTTCGTATTACCAGCTTGACAACGCGCATCGCAGAATTAGAAGGAACTCATAAGCAGTCCCTAGATGAGGGCACTTATCTCCAACTTGTTGAGGCACGTAGGGACCTGAAAAAGATTTTGTCGCAGGGGCTGATGCTCACCGCGAGGAAGGCCTCTAGGTACTTCTACGAACACTCCAATAAGTGTGGGAGGCTGTTAGCTCGAATGCTCCGTGATAAGCGCAGGATGCAACATATCCATAAAATACGCACGGGGAGGGGGGACACTACACGCCTCCCAAATGGCATACTGACTGCGTTCCAGGAGTACTACGCGGCACTTTACGACCAAACGCAACACCGCACAGCATCAGAGGAACGATTACACAAGGAGAGCATAGTGGCGTACCTACAAACCCATGTTACACGCAGACTCACGCCGGAGCAGGAGGCGGAACTGGAGGCTCCTTTGTCGGTGGAGGAACTCGCGGGAGCGCTGAAGGCCACCAAGGCTCATAGGGCGCCAGGGCCGGACGGTTTACCAGCCTCTTATTTACGGACGTTCAGGGATATCCTCCTGCCCCGCCTGGTCACAGGGCTGAACTCCTTGCGGGAGGATGGCTGGTTTCATGAAGATACACTAAGGGCAACGGTCACGATACTCCCAAAGGAGGGCAAAGACCCCATGGACTGTGCCAGTTACAGACCAATTTCATTGCTTAATGCGGACCTTAAAGTGTTTGCTAAAGCACTGGCACTTCGGATGGCTAGGATTTTGCCGGAGCTTGTTCATCCAGATCAGGTCGGATTCATACCCGGCCGTGAGGCCCGTGATAATACCATACGGGCCCTCAACGCTATCCACGTAGCTCAAACCAACGGGAAGGAGATGGTTCTCCTTTCCACTGACGCCGAGAAGGCGTTTGATAGAGTTGACTGGACTTATCTGCAGGAGACCCTGGGGCACATGGGGTTTGGTCCAGGTCTACGGTCATGGGTTGCGGCGCTGTACACCAAACAGACGGCGCGTATACGGGTGAATGGTGCACTCTCGGGTGTGTTCAAGATTTGCAATGGCACGCGCCAGGGCTGCCCGCTGTCCCCCCTCCTGTTTGCCCTCACCCTGGAGCCCTTCCTGGAGGCGGTTCGACGGGACGGGGGCATAGCGGGATGCCAGGTAGGGGGGGAGGAGCATCGGGTGGCGGCATACGCCGATGACAAGCTCTTCCTCCTCGAACAGCCAAGAATCTCCCTACCGAACTTACTAGAGGCCTTCCGACTTTATGGCGCAGTTTCCAACTTGAAGCTCAACCTGGCCAAGTTGGAACTGATGCCCCTCACGCGAGACCCGACCCTTCGTAGACGCACTTCCCCTTCCGGATTTGCTTGACTAAATTGCGGTACCTAGGCATCTGGCTACCGAGTGACCTAGCTCAAGCCTATTCCATGAACTATGCCCCATTACTCACAGCCCTGCAACAAGATATGAAGCGCTGGGCCCCTCAATATATATCCTGGTTCGGACGCATAAATGCCATTAAAATGAATGTTATGCCCCGAATATTGTACCTGTTCCAAACGATCCCGGTCAATGTCCCTCGGAACTTTTTCCAATCTTTGTCGACCGCCTTTAAGCAGTTCGTTTGGAACCAGAAACCCGCCCGCATACGGCAATCGACCCTGTAACGCCCTAGGAGTGAGGGAGGCATGGGTCTGCCTTCAGTCCTCACTTACTACCGGGCTTCACACCTGTTTCGGGTAGTGGATTGGCATGCAGCCCCAAGCGGGAAACAGTGGGTAGACATGGAAAAGCAACAGGCGGGGGGGGGTAAAATCCTGTCCCAGCTATGGCTGGGGGACGCCACGTTTCAGGAACTGCGAACGGGCAACCCGTTGATGTATGCGACTCTGAAGGTCTGGTGCGGCATTCGGTATTCTCAACAATTTACGTCATCGCCGAATCCACTTACGCCCGTGACGCATAACCCAAGACTGGCGGGTGGACTCTCCCCGGGTGATCTGAGGAACTTTGGGGCCACGGATTGGACCTATCTGCACCAGTGGTGCAATGGGCCGGCCCTTAAACCGCTGGCCGCTCTACTCCAAGACCGTGGACCCAGCGCTCTGGACAACTTTCGATACTACCAGCTTACAACCTATGTAACCTCGCTTGCTGGGAAGGCTCACCTTCACCGCCCATTGTCCCACTTCGAACAACTCTGCGCCGCTAGACAGCATCTCATCCATGGCATATCGCACCTATACTCAATGCTGCAGAGTGGTGGGGACCAGGGCCCCTTAGGTTTCACGGTACGGTGGGAAACGGAAGCAGGGGTTGTGCTATCTGCCTCAGAATGGCAAAAGATCTTCCAATTGACGCACAGGGGGACCATCTGTTCCAAATTCCAGGAGTGCAACTACAAGATACTGTCGCGTTGGCATAGAACTCCGGACATCCTTCGTCATGTCCATGAGTCCATCTCCGGGGAGTGCTGGAGGTGTGGAGACGCGGATGGTACTGGGATCCATATCTGGTGGTCGTGCTCACACATTGAACCTTTCTGGCGAGCGATACACCAAGGTATCAAAGACGTTACAGGGACGGACATCCCTTTCCAGCCGTTGCCGATGCTACTGAACCACACGAGCATGCCAATTAACGCCTACAAAAGGGGCCTTTTGATACACCTTCTCACGGCAGCAAAATCTCTCATCCCCACGATGTGGAAAAGCCAGGTGGCCCCCTCACTCCGCCAATGGATAGATAGAGTGGAAATGATTTACAATATGGAATTGATGACTGCGTCTCTGCAGGGACGCTCGGATAAATGTGCTCTAACATGGTTCCCATGGATGGAGTATACGGCCAGGGGGGCCGCGGGGGATGCCCGGACCGGGGACGGGGGTGCTCCCGCACCGGCACAGCCTTCCCCATCCACAACGGACTGACAGATGCCCGTAGTACCTACCAGCTGGGGGGGGGGGGTGCACTTCCCTATCCATGTGACTGCGACTTCCCCTCCCGTTTCCCTCCCCACTTCCCAGACGGACGACAAACTGAGGCGACTACTCGGGAGTAGGCTCACAAGCTCACTCATCCACTAACCTGGCACGCAGTGCGTTTGGGGAACGGGGAGTGGAGCACGGGGCGGGGAATGGGATTAGTCCTCGGAGGCGCAGGGGGATGGAGGGATGGCGGGGCTCTTGAACATCTTAGGGGTGGGTGGGAGGTGTACATGCCGGAGGGGACCCGGCCAGAGGGCGGGAGGCTAACAACGCTTCTCGGGGGTCAGGAAGGAGGCCCTCTGACGCTTTCTGTCCCACGCTCTTGGTTCGCTCTGGGCCTCGGATTCAATAAGTACAATGGCGCCCGATTTGATCCCTAGGGGGCCCCAGCCTATCGCGTTAGGGGATGAGGGGGGGTACGGAGGCGTCGGAGGGCACCCTACAGTTTATAGACATCTCACACACACCACTACACCAGTCAGGCGGGTCAGTGGATACCACTATGACTTCGGGCCATGGGCTAGCCCACTAGGTGGTCGCCAAGAGCATGGTAGTAGATGCTAAAGGTAGATTAGAACTCCCGTTTCATGAGGTAGCATGGCAAGCCGCTCTTCCCACGCCCCGCTTTTCGCATCTATCCCATGTATCTCCGGTTGTCTCGGGATTGCGGCCCTGGTTGTCGCTCAACTGACTCAGTGTTGTCTAAGTCCTAGTTCTATTCATTTGTAAAGATACTGCCAAATATCCTGCTGTATTGTCGGCCTACGTGGATTAATGTGTCCTTCCTTCCTTGCCTGTGTAAAGGCTACTAAACATGTTTGAATTTGTGTGATGTATTAAATAAATGGAAAAATAAAGAATGTCAAAAAAAAAAATATTAATACACAACACATATATTTAACACAGAACAGATAAGGAATATAATCAACCATGATTACAGCTGCATTCTGTTTTGGAGATATGTAGAGAGGGTTCTCTTGAAGGATTTTAGGCTGGGGGTCTGGGCAGTTATTCCATAATTGCAGTGCTCTGTAGTAAGTTATGCCATAATTGCAGTGCTCTGTAGGAAAATGAGGATCGAGCTGGGGAGAGCATTGTACTCGGGTAGGGTGGGAGCTTCCCAGAAAAGCTCTTGGACACAACTAAACTGGCTACTGCTGGAATCCAGACACAAATGAAGGGTGCATCTGGATAGCCAGTTTAGCTCTTTTAACATGTCACAATTGAGAGTCAAGTAATTACATTGTAGTACAAAGCGACAGAATGAGTTATACAATGTAGTAAATTTATGAAGGTGGGTGTGTGGTACAGGTGCATACACTACAACTCCATAATCAATGACTGGCATTAGCATTTGCTGTACAAATAAATATATATATATATATATATGGGCCATCAGTTCTGTGCAGCAAAAGACAGTACCATACGAATGGTAGTGGAATTCCTGCTGTTATGACATTTGCATATGTGCCTAGTAGGGCATAGTGACTGTGCTGCACACATGGGTCCTTGTTGTGAATGGATCAGCAAAATATGCTTTGGATTTCTTTCTTGAGACACCAAAGTGAGATGGACTTATGCCATGATCAATGGTACCATGAGAAGGAGGATCAGAATGTTTTGAGAGTATTGCCATGTCCTTTGCATGATTATCCCATCAGTGACTGCTTTCCAGGAAATCATGAACACACAAATCATTTATGCAACAAATGGATTTAATAATCTAAATATATAAAATAAATCAAGTTTCTGGTCCCATATTTTTAAGTAGATGTAACCCTTTAGTTAGATGAAAAGTGCCAGCTCTTGATTTGGTATCATTCTTATATGATAGTACAGGATCTTGCTTTTGACATTTGTGCTCACATCTTTGCAGATGTCCCTTGCCGTATCGGGGGATGAGTGTGAATTATGGAAGGAAGAATATGAAAAACTGAAAAAAGATTGGAGTGACATCATCAGTGAAAACTCAGAGTTGAGAAATGAACTGAATGTTGTTCAGAGCAAACTGCAGGTAATAACCACTCCATATCCTGTGACTATACAAACTGAACACTACAGTCTTTCCCATAATTTACTGCATTGCTTAAAGAGACCACTTGTTGAAGTAGTCTGGGTGCAATGTCCATGCCCCCCTTAGTTTTAGATTAACTGCAATGTTTGCATTGCAGTACTAAGACTGTCAATTGTGGACCAGGCAGTCCCTAGAGGCACTTCTGGAAGTCAACAGAGTCACCTAAATGACGCTGGATGACCTCACACTCTGCATTAGGAAACGTCAGTGAAATCCGCATAGCAAAGCAGTGAGGAAATGCTTTTCTATGGGGAGGGCCTAATGCGCTTGCCACATGTGCACATTAGGTCCCCCCATTGGATGACGTGGGAGGAGGTGGAGCGCCGATCCAGAGCCGAAGGACATCGCAATGCTTTCCTAAGGGGAGGGCCTAATGCACTCTCTACTCTCACCACATTAGTGGTACTATTAGTATTCATTGACTTCTGTTAGAATTAGTGAGTGCATTCTACAACATCCTACAGACACATCTTTTCCTTTGCCCTTATATACCTTACCTATAGAACCAGTCAATACCTGCCACTTATTTGGCCTTTGAATAAAAACAGTCAAAATAATGCCAAAAAGAATGAACCTCAACCCAGTATTAATAATGCTGCTGTAAACTCTCTAACAGGGGGGAAAAAAAGGGAATTTTTCTACATTTTATGCACATACTACACGAGCATGGCATTCCTGACTTGCTCTAATTAAAAGCGGCACTGTCATGGCCGAGTCCTGTTTTTTTTTTTTTTAACCCCCCTTCCGACTCCACTACATCTAACTGACCCCCTAGTCACCTCCAAATGCTTCTAAACCCCCATATTACCGTTTTTTTAACTTTATTTTGTGTCCGGACCTATGTTCAGGGAGCCGCCATCTTTGTGTGGGTAGAGGAAGTCCCTGTGGAACATGTCATCTGCCCACACTAGATAGCGCTGTGAGATTCCCAGGGGGGAGGACAATAGGTCGTCGTCCCCTCATTATCCTTTAGGGCCCCCACCCGCCGCTCAGGTGTGGGTGCCGGGGGGGGGGAAAATAGGTCCGTCCCCCCTCATTATCCTTTAGGGCCCCCACCCGCCGCTTAGGGTTTTGCCGGCGTTCTGTCAAAGTGACAGGACGTTCGGGAATACTGACAGGATGCATCGAGGGAAAAGGGAGGAAAGCTAAGAATTGTGGGTAAATTTCTCTGATCACCGGAAATTAAGCACACTTTGCTCCTCCGCTGGTCAGAGATGGTCAGGCGTAGGAAACCTCCATAAGACAAGTAGTCCCTACTTTGTCCTATGTTTTAAAGAAAACTAGAGCAGATAGGAAGAAATGAAGAACGGATCCTGAGAGAGGGAGAGAAGATGAATCAAGTAAAGAAAGGTAAGTTCGGCATGACAGTGCCGCTTTAATTGTTTTAGCGCTGCATCAGAGGATGACAAACTGCAGCTCTCAGCGGAAACCACAACCACTGCAATGTGTTGTTGAAGTTATGGTGTATCTTTTATTTCATGATTTTAATAAATAATGAAAGTCTGGTGGGCATCATTGTTAAGTTGCACACAGGGTACCTGAAGGCCTATGGCTGGTTCCAAATATTTATTTATTGGGTGTGTTTCCACAGTGGGTAGAAACACAAGACACACATGTTCAGCAACTTCACGATCATCTGCAAAGTCTGGAGAGAGAGAGAATCGAGCTGAAGTCCCAGAATGAGGTACTACAAGAGGACAATGATCTTCAAAAGCAACAACTTAACTCCATGGAAGGTGTGCAATAGCTCACAGGCAAATACCACACATCATAATTTAGTCTTGGCCTACTTAGCCACCAAGTGGTAGAAAAATATTATTCTTCAATCTGTCTCTTTTTGGTAATTATATTCACTATAAAAATATTGATACTGACAATATAGCATATTGTATATATTATCATCACAGCGTTGCTCATTTTGCTACAGAACTCCACGGATAATGAATGGAGCGAAATATTTATCTAGTGTAAAAGAAATTGGGGGGTTAGAGTGGTTTTTTTACAACCCCATAGTGTACCATTTTTTAACTGAGAACATTAAACAAGAATTTATCCTTTACAGATGGCAGGGGAAAAGGAAATGGCATCTAGCCCAGACAACTAACAATCTATATGTCTTTCAGTCAGATTGAGGAACGCAGAGGAAGAGAAATTGGAAACTCAGCTAAAGATACACAATTTACAAAGTAAGTTTTGTTATAACATTTTGAAACGCATTCAATGAAATGACGCTCACCCACATCTGTAAATGCAGCAACTTTAATATCTCTATATATGATTTTAAATCGGTTGTTTTGCATATTTGTAAATACATTATATAGCAAACCACTACAGCCTGGAATTAATCACCTCCAGTCCCAGCTTCAAGCAAGGAAAATAAGTATTTTGAACAGTACTTAAATTTTTTTTTTTTTTAGAAAATCACACATTTAAAAAGCTACATTGCTAATTGTTTTTTTGTGATTGAATACCAGCAGGTTTGGTAGCAGAGTGTAAAAAAGAGAATGTGAATGCTATGATGCCAAGCTCTTAACAGCAGGGTAAAAAAACAAACAAAAAACACACACACACACCATTAAAAAAATAAAAATCATTGTTTATTGTTTTGCAAGCTAGAATACCAGCAGAATAGGCAGCAGAGGGAAAAGAGAGAATTTGAAGACTGTGAGGGCAAGCTATTACAAGTAGGGTGATAACCCCCCCCATGCACACACGCACAACAAAATAACTTTTTTTAACCCCTTAAGGACCAAGCTTCTGGAATAAAAGGGAATCATGACATGTCACACATACCATGTGTCCTTAAGGGGTTAAAATCATTGTTATAGTTTTTTTTTCTCATGCTAGAATACCAGTAGAATAGCTAGCAGAGGGGCAAAGAGTTGGTGTGAAGGCTGTAATGCCAAGCTTTTACCAGTAGGGTAAAGTACAGGTTTACAGCTCAGCCACCTATAGACACCAGAACCTTCCCATTCTCCAATTATATATAGCCTTTCTAAGCTTCAACATTTGTCGATGAGGGATACAGTAGGACCAGAAATGACATCATCTTCTTTCATTAAAAAAATAAATACCACATCAGAATCAGAGATATATAACTACTACATGTGTGTGTGTGTATATATATATATATATAAACAAATAACAAATGCACATTGGTAATGCCAGGGTAGGAGTTTCTAAGAGACAGGTGGCTGTAGATTGCTGTCTACTGATAAATCCAGCCTTGCACAGGGTCTGTCCCTTTTCTGTTACCTAATCTGCTGGTCATTTATTATGGAAGATGACTTTGAATATTTTTGCTGTGTTTTTTTAGCTTGCATTAGTAGGATTGTTTCACTTTCGCTCGAGCATGATACAGCCAAAATAAAGATAGAGCTCCCAGAGACAGATAAGTCATGATACTTGTTACTTCTGTCGATACTGATTTAGATCATAAGAAACAATTTTGTTTTGATGACATAATTAATTTCCCGATGTATATTCATCGTCTCCATTGTGGTCGCTATTTCTTGGTTTATGGTACCAGCTAGTGTTTGTATATTTATATTTGAGTGTATTTGGTTATGACCTACTTTAAGACTAGTAATATACCTTCTATTATTTATCAGCCTTGTTACGTCTCTGGTAGGAAACTGTCTTATACTAAATGTGTTGGATCTATTTGTTTCCTGACATGACTGAACCCATAGTCAGGATAAGATATTACATGCCTGAGTACTTACCTTTACTGACAAACCACTGAACTGCATGTTGCCTGTTCAGGAAATGTTACCATTGCACAATATCTATGCGGTTATATATATATATTCTTTTGTAGTGTAGGCTTTTACTGGAGGGTTTAGGGTTGTGCTAATTTATTTTTAGAACATGAGATCATAGAAATGGTTAAAAAAAAATAAATAATGCAAATTCCTTAATGCATATTCTTTAAGGCTGCCATGCCTGTGCATGTTTTGTGTAGGATAGTTAAACAAGAAACTTGGAAACGTGTTCAAACTAGATCTACAGCAAGATACTTTTTGATCAAACAGGATAGACAACTAGAATGTCTGAAGCTTAGAACAAAAATGATTAAAAAGGTTTTACTTAGGTGCAGCTTCCTGTAAATCAATGGTATCTTTAGGGAAATATAGGAAATGGGTTAGCATACAATATTGTACAGAAGAAACAAAAATAGCTTATTTTGAATGTGTATTTTCTTGAATGTCTAGATCATTTGAACGCAGATTGCGATATTGAGCTGTAACTTGGCACAACTCGTAGGATCATGCTGCACCTGGTTTTAGGAGTGGCTGATAAGTTCAATGTTTGCCAAGTAGCTTGGAGCTATCAAAAAGTATAGCCCTGCTTCTTTATTTAGGGGTTTCAAAGAGAACTTGTAACATTCACTCTTCTTCCCACGATTCGTAGACACAGTGCCAACAGGCTGGCTTCGCTGACAGCACATCATTATTAGAATGGAGTGATTTGGTATTCTTATTGTCGAGTCCCTCTGAGTTTGATTCAGCATTTCTTAAAGGACCATTATAGGCACCCAGACCACTTCAGCTTAATGAAGTGGCCTGGGTGCCAGGTCCAGCTAGAATTAACCCTTTTTTCTATAAACATAGCAGTTTCAGAGACACAGTTTTTTTTTTTTTAGAAAATCACAGATTTAAAAAGCTACATTGCTAATTGTTTTTCTGTGATTGAATACCAGCAGGTTTGGTAGCAGAGTGTAAAAAAGAGAATGTGAATGCTATGATGCCAAGCTCTTAACAGTAGGGTAAAAAAACAAACAGAGAAACTGCTATGTTTATATTAGGGTTAATTCAGCCTCTAGTGGCTGTGTCGTTGACAGCCGCTAGAGGTGCTTCTCACTGTGAAAATCACAGTGAGATGACGCCAACGTCCATAGGAAAGCATTGAGAATGCTTTCCTATGAGACTGGCTGAATACGCATGCGGCTCCTGCCGCGCATGCGCATTCAGCCGAGGAAGAGGAGAGGAGGAGAGCTCCCCGCCCGGCGCTGGAGAAAGAGGTAAGTTTAACCCCTTCCTCCCCCCTCAGCACCACGGAAGTGGGACCCTGAGGGTGGGGGCACCCTAGGGGCACTATAGTGCCAGGAAAAAGAGTATGTTTTCCTGGCACTATAGTGGTCCTTTAAAGTAAAGGTGCCTTCCATTGCACTCCATAAACCTCGTAAGGATAAAAAGATATATTATAAACATATTACTATTAAGTATATTATCTTTAACCCCTTAAGGACACAACCGTCATGTGTCCTTAAGGGGTTAATGTTAGACGTGTTTCCACTACTAGGGTAGTCTCCTTGGTGCAGCCCCTATACTTCTTCTGAAATCATCAATGCTGATGATCTCAGTCCAATCAGTGCTTCTCGTGGAGAAGAATTGGACGCCTATGGCGCATGTGCAGCAATCTCTTCACTCACCTAGTCTGATGCTTTTCAAAGACAAGCATTGAATTCAATGCTTCCCAGTGAAAAGCATAAACAGAATTTTGCATCATCACGCTGTGAGTGATGACAGAGAACATAATTTTCATTTAATTTTCATTAGAGATGTGGTTTAGTCAGAAATTGCCGTTTTCAAACCTACTTTCATTGATGTACAATCAGCGTTAGATCTGGCTGAGCAGAAATGTATCTCAAAGGGTAAGGTCATCCAAGGCTTTTCTAGTGATATGGACTATTGGGGAATGCTTCACTTTTAAGCAAGGCCAGCTTACAAAAGCTTTTTGAACTCGACATTTAGTCTACTCGTAAAAATGTGAGAGTATTGAGATATTAAGTGATATTTGGTTTGATATCGACATTCCTCTACTTAGATGACTTGTTCTGCTCTGCATTTTGCAGACAATTGCACTTAGGTATACAAAATTAAACATCATCGACACTGCTTCCCACTCATTACATTACATTATATGGTGCTATATTCAGGAAGTTTATCTTTCTTCTGTTTATTCATGTGAGTAGGATCAAAGGATTCTCAAGACTGTCTCTCTGTGATTATTGTGTTTTTATTTTGCAGATCAAATGTTATCCATGAATGAGAGAAACACTCACAGCCCTATCCAAGACATAAAAAATGTACATCGGAGCCACACCTCAAATGAACAGCCACCAAGTGAACAATTACTTCTCGTTACAGAAAACCTAACAGCCAAAGAGAATGAGGTGCAGAAAATATTTACCTTTATATAAAGCCTGTCTAACTTGTCTGTCACTCTGTTGCTTCTCACTATTATCCGGGCCATCCACCTTATCTCTCCATTTCAGTATGTCACAAATGTGTATGCCACTCTTGCAATGTGGCTGGATCTGCTGGCTTTTTATTATTATTATTAGGAGAGAAAATTAAAGGGATTTTAAAGTGTTAGGAATACAAAGTTTTATTCCTTTCACTATAGGTCCCTCCTGCCACTCGCTCCCCCCTCTCCCCGCCTCACGGGGCTAATGCACATGCGCTGTGAGAGCACTAGGCACTTCCCATAAGAAAGCATTGCGTTAATGCATTCCTATGGGGTTTTTACTGGTGCTTGACATCCAACTTTAGTTAGACGACCAAAAGTCGGTAAGCCACCAGGAAGTGCCTCAAGAGCCAGTCTTAGACCTGCAATGTAATAATTGTAGGTTTTTTATAAAACTGCAATGATTTATATTTCAGGACTAAGAGGGACAGGGGCACTGCACCCAGACCACATCAATGAGATAGAGTGGTCTGGTTGACTATAGTGTATCTTTAATATCACTGATGGCTAATGTTGCCATTTCGGAAGTTTCTGACTTGACATTTTCGTAATGCACAGCCAGCCATATGCTTAATTATTCCCCAGTCTTGGCAGATCTAACATAACTTCATTCTACACCCTTGTCATTATTGCATTAGCCATTATTGTTCGTAAAATACCATTCCCATTTTGTAATGTTTCAATGTGGGTGCCATATCGTCTACTGCCTGCCCAATAGCCTTTATGTTCTGCCTTTTGTATTGTCTAATATTTAGTTCTTACTCTCTATGCAAAACACAGCACTTGAGAGAGTTAAATAATGTTAAATAATAATAGACAAGTCTGGTAAAAATTTACCTTTAGAAACACATCCTTAAAGGGTCACTTTAAGTACCAGAACCAGTTTGGTGTTTTGAAGTGGTCATGGTGCACACGCACACAGTATTTATTCATGAGAAAACAAAACTATGGATCTTTGTTTCCACCTGCTGGACTACAGGGCAGTTGATTTTATTAGCCTTTTTGGGGTATTTCCCATCAGCTGTTACTCCCTTTGACAGAATGGAACTGGCATTTTACAATGCCCTATAGACGCCTAAGGTATCTCCTTGAACATTCCCAATAATAGCAAAGGTCTAACAGGGATCCTCTTAAGTCCCCAATTTTGTACTCCCATTCATGATGACCCTGAATCAGAAGATAACAGCTCCAAGAAAGCTTTAGTTAAGTATATTTCCCATCCTCCTCTCCCTCCAGGAACCAGTGTGCCAAAGGATATGTCACTTTGTGGGTGTCTTTTGCAAAAAAATGCAAAGACTTTACATGTGACGGTGCCACTAAAGTGCTTCCTATTTAGCATAATAATGTATTAAAGGACCACTATAGTTGTTTTCCTGGCACTATAGTGCCCTGAGGGTGCCCCCACCCTCAGGGTCCCCCTCCCGCCGGGCTGGATGGAGAGGAAGGGGTTAAACTTACCTCTTTCTCCAGCGCCGGGTGGGGAGCTACTCTCCTCCCTTTTCTCCTCCTCTTCGGCTGAATGCGCATTCAGCCAGTCCATAGGAAAGCATTCACAATGCTTTCCTATGGACGCTGGCGTCTTCTCACTGTGATTTTCACAGTGAGAAACGCAGAAGCCCTCTAGCGGCTGTCAATGAGACAGCCACTAGAGGCTGGATTAACCCTAACATAAACATAGCAGTTTCTCTGAAACTGCTATGTTTATAGAAAAAAGGGTTAACTCTAGATGGACCAGGCACCCAGACCACCTCATTAAGCTGAAGTGGTCTGGGTGCCTATAGTGGTCCTTTAATCATGTTTCCAAGTGTTTACACTTTACACTTCCTTCCCTTATCAATAGCAGGCATGGTTAACAAGATTCAGGTCACATTGACAGAAAGTGCAGTCTCTTTGCTGTTTGTTATTTACACATATACATTGCACATACACATTGACCTGCTTTAAGGTACTTATGGGAACTGCATAGAGTTTCAGTAGTCGACACCCCTACCTCTAACCACATTCATGTTTATTATATAAAAAACAGTGCACACAGTATTTATTCATGAGAAAACAAAACTATGGATCTTTGTTTCCACCTGCTGGAATACAGGGCAGTTGATTTTATTATTCCTAATAATGTACTTGGTCACTATTGAAATGTGCTGGTAAATGGCACCTTATTCATATTTTTCATTTATCAACTGTTTTTACATATTTTCTCCAAATAGTCTGATTTTTATCTCAAGATCTCCCCCAACCCATTTTATAGCCTCAGTCATGGGTATCACACCCAGAAAATGTAGTAGGGCCATGATTAATGGTTGACCCAGAGAAAACACCAACTTGCAAATTGGTAGCTCTTTTTAGTAAAAAGAGGGAATTGGGGGCAACCCCAGAACATGCAATTCTAAGCACTGGTGCTGCCGTAGCGACCAGAATGTATACAAAATACAGATTAAGCAACAGCACACACAAAAAATACAGTTTACATTTTACAAGGCTACTTAAAATCACTTATCTCAGCAAACAAATATGGGGATTATCGTGACAACACCCCGGTGTTAATTCCCCATTGTATCATGGCGTATTGGTGGGCTTAACACAATGTGGCCATATGGTGGAACTGAATCCCTATATTTGTTTGCCAAGATAGGTGGTTTCAAGTAGCCTTATAAAATTGTAAAACTGTATTTTAGTGTGCGCGCTGTTCCTTAATCTGTATTTTGTATTAAAAAGTAGCCATTCCTGTGACAAAACAAATTATGCAAAACTTCTCTAAATATACTTTACTATTATTGATTACTTGTATCCTTTAAATTAATAATGTGGGTTTATGTGAAACCCACAGAACAAATTGTATTTAATATTTAGAATGGAAGCAGCTTGCCAGCACTTATCTATGCGGTTATTACCATAACAAAAATAAAAACACATTTGTGCGAGATCGTAACGATTGTAAATGTGCTGAACATCCAAAAAAATCTGACTGAATCTTGAAGTGTCTCATCTTAGCTCAGATGTCTCTTTTTAGTTTAATACAATTTTTTGGCAGCAGATGTCCAGGCTGTCCTAATATTTTTGTATTTATTCTGTAATTCTGACATTTATCACAAATTAATCATACCTTTAAAGATGTACTTGGTGTCACTCTAAGCATCAAAGTCAAAGTAACTCCAGGGATAATGAACTTTGGAACATGTAGCTCCACACTCCCACCTATCAATCAAACAGCTCCATGATATGTCTTCCTGCCCACGAGGGTCAGTTTTGACCAAGTTGTGCCTTCTTTTTTTAATGCATAATGCATTACAGAATAAGCTGTCATTTTGACCGTGTTGTCCCCCTTTAGTGAAAAAGCTTAAACATTTTGCTGTATTTAATATTAATATTGAGAAAGCTGAAACTAACATTACTACATGTGGCTGTTACAGATTATCAGAGTCAGGAAGGGATGCTCTCTCCATCATCTCTGCAGCAGCATGCTGTCACATTGCCAACAAATACAAAATATTGTAAAATATGGGCTGAGCACTACAGTCTACATTTTTTTTGTTACACCCATAGCAAGGCCCAGACTGGCCATCAGGCAAACTGGGAAAATGCCTACTGGGCACAATGGTCATGGATGAGTTCACACTGGGCAAGGTCCAAGCCAGACCTGTTTGGAAGGCTGAAATATTACTGGGCAAACACAGATTTAGCATTTTCTCTGTGGCCAATTGTTGGAATCAATATGTAGGTTTGTAGAGGCCTCTGCTGCTTCATACACTTACTCTGATAATTAACTTCCAATGAAAACTTCAGAAAGCAACACGGGCTTCTACAGTCTCACACATTCCAGTATGAGCTTAGACATGCTGTTCTGCACCAAATGATGCCCAGGATGGTTAAATGGTTGTTGCCATAACATGCATTTGTTGTGAGTGCCACTGAATAAAACAACAATGTAGAATCCAAACACCACAGCAGGCACACAGCCAGGGAGGGCAACAAGGCACTTGCCGATATTACTGAAGTCTTAGTTTGTCAATGCAAAATATAGTAAATTAGTAAGTGAATCATAGGCAGGACTGGCACCATAAGTTTAGAAATTGCCTTTCCTTGTTGCCAGCATCTGAATGATTTGGGGCTAGGGCTGCAACTACTTTAATTTATGTGTCTGGCCACACACACTAGTAGCTACCCCTACTGATTCCCATTATCAGCAGTTGGCTGCAGTGCAGTGTAGTGCATTCCCTCACCAACTAAACTTTGCGGAGGCCACCAGACCATACTCTCATGCTGTGTGTTCTATGACTTTGTAGCGGCAAGTGTCACTTATTAGTTAAATGTCAAGCAGAGAGTACTCATTTTTGTGTCATGGCAATAAATGAAAGCCCATTTGTCAGAGTGGTAATTGGAGCTAATTACATTCTTGCCAACAAAACTCATGTTCTCACACCTTCCCTGCATGTGACCTATACAGTCTCCCTACACGTATCTGTAAAGAGAGATCTACTGTTTAAATGTCCTTTATTACACAGTGTGTTCATTTTTTAATTTCTTACCTCCTACTAAAGTCTGCAGATGCCTCCTCAATTAAAGTTCAATTTACAGAGCAGGAGATATCTTCGAAAGTAAACACACTGCACTTGAAAATAAAACCATTTTTTCATGTAGGCTTTGTGAGCCACCAAGAGAGGTGGGACTAGGGCTGCATAAACAGAAATAAAAGTGATAAATGGCAGAAAATTGAACTGTGAGACTGCAGGAGCATGGTGTAAACACCCAAACTGCTTAATTAAGCTAAAGTTTTAGCCCACTCCAAACAGACCTGCGCTGGCTCATTCCTGCTCCAGCTACCCTGGAGAGTGAGACTGCACTAGTAATAAAATACATACTACATATATTCATATTCATTCTCACACATAGTCAAAGACACATTATACACACATATACTGTACACATGCAGTCACATACACCCAGACATATACATTTGCACAAATATGCACACAATTTACATACCTGTAAGGGGCATGTTAAACTAATGGAGCACTTTTATTTTCAGAGTGAGTTCTGCAAGGGCAACAAAAATGTTACATACAAAAATGTTACAAACATTACTGTTTATTACTACTAAATGTAGCAGATAGAAACAAACCAATTCAAAGGTATAATAAAGTATTTTCAAATTGTGCATAGTCACTAACACCAAGCCCTTATTAACAATGGCTTTTCAAATCTGCCAGCTTGCGAAACTGAAAATAGAGATGGAGTCACTGGCTTTGGAGTACAAGTCATGTAAAGACACGCTGCAGCTCTGCCGGGAGAATCTAAAGGGAATTCCCAAGCAGAAACCAAAGGTACGAGATTTGTGAAAGAAATGACGAAAGATTGGAAATTATCCACCGAAAATAAAATAGTTTACATGGTTTAATACATAGGGCCTTTTTTACATCTCATTTTGTGATTCAAAGAACTAGAACAATCAGATATCTAATAGTGACATTATGTAAATTAGCATGTGGGTGGAAACATTATGGTAAAAGAATCATGGGAGACAATGATGGGAGACAATGATGGGGAACTACTGGTGGTTTACCCATGCCTCAGGGAATGAGGCTTTATTATTGGTACAACTTACAGTACAGACCATGTGAGTAAAGTGTCCCAGGTTCAGACCCTCTTAAGTGGTAAATGCTTCCCTCCTCACCACCTCTCCCCAACCTGAGATGAAGCTTTGGCTAAATAGATTCAATTTAACTGGCGAGTTAATGTACAAAGGGAGCTGTATCCATTGCAATGTTGTAAGTTGTATGTGGTGCAAGACTGCCACTTAAAGAGACTCTATAGGCACCCAGATCACTTCATCTCATTGAAGTGGTATGGCTGCCATGGCCCTGTAATATTAACTCTAAATCTGAAAACATTGCTGTTTACATAGCAGGGCTAATATGATTCTAGTGGTGGTCTCCCTAACAACCACATGAGAGTTAAATTTGGCTATTCAATCAGATGGTCTCATATAGACCACTTAATTGGTGCATCATGTGGATTTGCCGCGCATGCTCACTAGACTCCTAGTGTTTTCCTGGGGGGAAACATTGGATTGGCTGAGATCATCTACACAGATGAACTCCGGCAAAGAGGCTTAGTATAGCATTATGAATACATGTTTGTATTCCTGACGCTATATACTGTTTCATTAAGCTAGCTCATATTATCAGTTAATATACATTAAAAGTAGAGATATTAAGTCAATAACCACTATAATGATGACAAAAATGACTATATAAAAGTTGTGACTATTTCTGAGATACATGGAAGGTGAAATGTAATTTCACAACATTTCTTAATCCAAAGGTAATATGTTCCCATTGGATACTAATCATTTTTTTTTTTTTTTTCTTCTTCTTTCCAGAGTGGTACGTCTTGCTGGGCCTCGGTTCTGGTACTTTTTGTGGCAGTCCTCACCATGATTATTATCTCTGCCAACATGGAATATTTGATAGACTAAGATCTTACTACCTCAAGATTTCATACTGACTGAATCGGCTGTTTGAGCATTTGTAGTTGTTTATTTTATAATATATCTAAGTTTGATACAAAATAACAAAAACACAAAAATATATATTTTATGCTTCAGTGTTAATTATTTGCATTCTTCACACTGAGATATTATACACAGAACAATGAGTTATGATTTAATGATCTTTTACATAATCGTGGTCACTAATTAAGAATACGTCTAGTTATTTTTACAATGCTTCACAAATGGTGGGAAAATACAAATATCTTTCACAGCATTTTTCTCTCACTTGGAAAATGTATGCTTCAATTTGAAGCAGACGGGCTCCAGCCGCAATAGAGACACTATTACATTCATAATAGGTCAATTAGATGCTAACTAGGTTACCTACTAACAGCCAGTGATAGAGGTATACACTTGTATATATTATGTACTTTTGAATTCTAGCCCAAGGCTTAACATATTCCGCTTGAATTTAGGAGACACAAACAAAAGTCAGAAGCAATTAAAAGTGTTCATTAACAACAAACACTCAATTAGTCATTGTTTCACTGGAATCTGCTAGTACTTGCCTGGAAGGTATGGTAAGAACATACTGGACACAACTAGATAAACAGGAAATGTCTGGTACAGATATGGGAATGTAGTAACATGGACAATGTTGTATGGACTTGTAGGCATTGCTTGACTTGTAGTATTTCTCTGATGGCAGGGATTCATGCTTGGAATCTTGTGATAGATGTAAATTAAGAGAAATACTATATATTGATGTGGGGGTAACTTACCCCACGTGATCTTGTAAAAATCTTAAACTTGTGGTACATATAGGAGATAAAACGAGCACAATATAGTGCAGATGTTATTTAAAATCAACTAAAATTAATGTAGGTAAGTAGGAACATTCACATTTGAAGGAGTGTGTGTGTGTGTATATATATATATATATATATATATATATATATATATATATATATATATATATATATATATATATATATATATATATATATATATATATATATTCTCCATAGAGGTGGCAGCACTCATGGAATATAAAAGTTCAAATCTTTATTAGGTCATATTAAAAGTTACGATCAACGTTTCAGTCCTCTATATGGGACTTTCCTCAGGATCAATATGGTATTGGTATTGATCTTTGGATACTTGGATAACCAAGCCCTGGCTGAGCACCCGGCAAACAAGGGATTCCTATAGCGTGAGTGCAAGAATTTTTTGTTATATATATATATATATATTCACCAAAAATGTGATGGTGGGGAAACAATTTTGATTGAAAACCCCTTCCACCTGAAGTCTGTGAATAGTTAATACAATGTTAAACAAAAATCTGCGCACCAGTCAAGCCATTAGACTTGCTTTTCCTACAGAAATCACAAGTCCACCATAACCTTTTTGGTTTTTGCTTCCCAAGCATTACCAAGCCTCAATAGCAAACCAGTAACAAACTTCATGCTGATGATTATCATTAACAATGAAACAGCTTTCCATGAGTGGTTCACTGGTTTTGCATCTTTTCCTAAGTTGTATTTCAAAGCTGTTGTATACAGCAACCACAGACTCAAAGGAATCCATGTTTAAAATGAAATGAGGCAAAAATGTGATTCTTTGTTAAACAAAAAATCTAAAAAAGCCCCCTATATGGAGAATATCCAAACAGGGGTGGTCAGTACGAGTGGTTTCTATCCACTCTGGGCATGAACCCTACTACTAATGTGTGAAACAAAAATTAGGGACAATCTCTCTTGAGAAAAATGTATTTTGTATGAAGTCATTTGCTACTCTTATCTTTATAATACATAGATTATAACAGGCCATGTATTTCACTATGTCTCCCTATATTGGGATAATGCCATCTGAAGGGTTAATTGTTGGCATCAATTTTGGTGATGACGTTGACTGTGAAACTTGACGGCAAGTAACCACCCACAAGGCGGATCTCAACATTTCTACCTGAGAGGCTGCAGCTGATCGAAGGTGGGACTAATCACCATTATACACCTATATATACTGGAAACTTTCATTATGGAAGTTTTCTCCCCTGACGAAGGTGCCTCTCTGAGCACCGAAACGCGTGTCAGGATTTATTTATTTTAAATCACTTCACTATGCACTGATTTATTTTTCCACTTAGTTATTTTTTCTCTTTATGAGTAGGAGGGGGTTTATTTGGTTATTGGGGGATGTATTTCTGTTAACGGAGTGACTCTACATTATTAAGTCCGTGAGTGCTGCTACCTCTTTGGATACGTGGATAACCAATACTTGCAGAGACATTTAATCTAATCGGCACCCATGAAGGTGCTATAGGGAGAGTGTAATAGTTTGCCAGCAGATTGTAGTGATACTATGAGTGTACAATTATATGGATAGAACTAATGTTATATGGCTGTTGTAATTTTTTTAATTGATTATCTTTAATGTGACTGTGACTGACTTCACACGTGTCTATATAGAGCTTATCAATTGAGCAATAATCTACTTGACGTTGGCAGGCGGGCATCCCCTTCAGTGGCCATTGGAGTAACTAAATGACCTCCATTTGTTTAAATATACATAGAGATTAAGGAGAGAGCGCAGGTAACTTTTTTTTTCTTCTAAAGGTGAGCATTATACCTATTCCACCTTTTTACAGGAGCTCCCTGTATCCTTGGCTGGGTACCTCCGCCAAGGACCACTTCCTAGCTGGAACAGGGGACAAACCGAGGCACTTCTGCCCACAGTCGCCGTAGCTTGACTGGGGCCCTGGAACCGCTCTCTCCAGGAATTTGTTCTGTCAACCCCTAGGCACTGGACGACACTCAGTCCTGGGAGTGCTAGTCCTGGAACCACTCCCTCCTGGAACCGCATGGGTTTGCTCTAAACACCCCCAGGCACTGGATGACACTCTACAAGGACTTTCCCTGTTGAATCCTCCACACTGGAACAGTGACTAAAGAATAGCCCTTTCCCCTCCTAGTAACCAGACAGCACATAGTTCTAGAAATACAAGCTGAAATACATTTAATGGCAGCCACAACTGGCCTTATATGCAGGTCCCCATGCAAGGGGCACTGAAACCAGAGCGTAGACTACAGTAAAAACATATATACGATTACATTGGCTCTCAGGGCCAGGACATACAAAACAGAATAATCCCTCCCCTGTGCCTGGGAGATAATTGAGTCAAGCACTGTATTAGACAGTTATGTCCAAGCACAGAAAACACACATTTCCCAAAAGTACCTTAAAAATACATAAAACCCCACAAAAGTTACATCCCCTGATAGCCCCGATCTGGGTGACCAACATATCCAAAAATCCCCCAGATCGGTTCAGGATTTTCCTGGAAGTCATAATTTGACCGACCGCACGCACGGTCCCCTAGTCGAAAATAATTCCATAGAATCGTGGCTAAGTGCCGCTGGAGACCAACCAGAAACCGCAAAGGCTTCATGCTGAACTAGTTCCAGGGCTTTCGCAGCTAAGTCTCCCTAAAGTCTATAAGCGGTTTTGGTCCATGCGAACGGCCGCCAGGGAACTAGTGTTTGGTTCTATGCGCACTACTGCACAGTGCCGAACCAGGAGGAATAAAATATAGGCCTTTACAGTTGCTGACCTGGCCCATAGTCGGTGGGCAGGAGGCTGGCAAGCAGGCTCCTCCAGAAGCTCGTGGCAAACTCACGAGGACAGGGGAGTTTGTCACACATAAGTTTAAGATTTTAGCAAGATCATGTGGGGTAAGTTACTCCCCACATCAATATATTTTATATTAAGCACTCCACTTACAGATGTAGATTTAAAGGGACACTATAGTCACCAGAACAACTACAGCTTATTGCATTTGTTCTGGTGAATAGAATCATTACCTTCAGGCTTTTTGCTGTGAACATTGTTTTTTCAGAGAAAATGCAGTGTTTACATTACAGCTTACTGGTAACTTCACTGGCTACTCCTCAGATAGCTGTTAGAGATCCTTCCCGGGTAATGGCTGCCTAAAATGCATCCAAACATTCAGTGTCTCCACCCTCTGCACGCAGACACTGAACCTTCATCATAGAGATTCATTGATTTAATTAATTTCTATGAGGAGATGCTGATTGGTCAGGGCCATGATTGAATTGTGCTGGCTCTGCCCCTGATCTGCCTCTTTGTCAGTCTCAGCCACTCCTATGGGGAAGCATTGTGATTGGCTCAGGCTACCACTTCTGCTGATGTCAGCAGGCAGGTCTAAAGGAAACAGGGACACACCCCGAAGCTTCAATCTTGAATACAGGTAAGATTTTACTATTTTTAGGGAGGCATGAGGGGACCAGGGTGGCTAGATGGTGGTTTTAACCCTATAGGGTCAGGAATACATGTTTGTATCCTATAGTGCATCTTTAACCTACACCACCCTACACACCCTGCAAATTTTGGGTGTGGGTAAGACAGTATTCCACCAAAGTGTATAGAGCTCTTGTTTTTATTCACTTGAGCACTTTTTGTATACATCCCTCCCCCCCACCCCTAAAAGGAGGTGTATTCTTTTTGAAGTAAGAGATATACTACAACAGGGTAGTAAACAGTTGGAATTTTAATTCACTTTCTATAAATAGTTTTGCCGAACAATATTTCCCTGTTTGATGTATAAGCAGCTTTAAATCACCTTCTTCCCTCCGTCCTCATGGCCCACCAACAATCCAGGATTTATTTATTTCCATTTTTTATTCCAATAGAGATACTGACAACATCTGGATTGTTTGTGGGTCATGAGGACTGGTTTGGGAAACACTAGTCTAGAAGTTTTACACTGTCTACATGAATTTAGTCATGCCTGCATCTGGATTTCAAAATTCTCTAACCTGAGACTTTCCACCAGATTCCTTAGCATCAAATATTATTGAGAACCCCTTTCATTGCAAGACATATCAGCTTTCATCTTAAAAAAACCCCAACACAAAACCTCCAAGCACTATAACCACTGCATTGCGCTGGTGTGGTTAAGGTGCAAGGAGTGCCCTGGCTCCTTCCCAGGGTAAGTTGTCAAACCAATTGAAAACAATTTGACAACTAACCTGGGGTCCACGGGGTGCCGGCCACATCCATTGGTGCAGGAATCTAGGTGCCCTGAGATGCACAGACAAACATGCATAGATTCCCACTATCAGACACACATGAACAATGTGAGACACACACACACACAGTCAGACATGCACACACATACATCTCAAAACTCTTCCCTCCAAAGTAAGAAGCAAATATAGCCCTTTCCCCTATCCTCTACTCCAACCTTTTATTATGCAGTCCTACCATACCTTGCAATCCAATGTGTGGAGGCGCAGTGTGGGAACCAGAGGGTGGCAGTATGATGATTTGCCATATCCCCACACAATGTCTAGTGTCTGAACCCTGAGCTGCTAGTGTTACAGAAGCTAGATAGTAATGCTGGGAGGAAGTGACGGCCACCCATGAGGTAGCTGTGCAGGTGTTTTATCAAATTTCCCTACCCGTGAAAATCCCCTACCCTTGTCACTTCCGGTGAGGGGAATCAGCTGGATCCTGTGCTGCACATGCGTGCTAGCACTCCTGCTACTCCTCCACAGCAAGGTCCTGGAAGGTAAGTAAAGCTAGTTTTACACTTTCATTATAGTTAGTGCATTCACTAAGCTTAGGCACACAGGACATTTAGGGTTAAGTGAGGGTACAAATTAGGGTTAGGTGAGTTATTTTAACCTCTGTCACACTCTATTCTTACCCTAACCCTTGGGGTAAGGGTTAAAATAAAGTGTGAAAAATCACTATTTATAGATTTTCCCCTACTGTGAAATATCACTAAATATAAACAAGTCCCTAAGCCTAACCCTAATTTGAACCCTAACATTAACCCTAAATGTCCCATGTCCTAAGCTTAGTGAATGCACTAACTATAATGAAAGTGTTAAACTAGTTTTACTTACCTTCCAGGACCTTGCTGTGGAGGAGTAGCAGGAGTGCTAGCACACATGTGCAGCACAGGAGCCAGCTGATTCCCCTCACCGGAAGTGACGAGGGTAGGGGATTTTCACGGGTAGGGGCATTTGATAGAACACCGGCTCCCATCTGATCTGAATACTAACACTGCTGGACAGCGATATATTTATCTGCCCAACCGCCAAGTGCTACAGGGCCCTAAGCTGGTCCGGGCCCCTTACAAGGGTACTGCCTGTATCCCCCTGATGGCGGCCCTGCACGGAGGAGCTAAGTGGAGGAGAGTGCTCAGCTGACACTCTCAGCCAGTAAACCAGTCCTAGTGTAATGGTTTTAAATCCAGCAGAGAAATAAAATGGTTGCTCCCAAGAATGCTGGATCAAAAGATTACAGGTGAACACAAGAACAATTACAAGAGAGACACGTCATATTTTACAAAGTCACAGATTTTTTAATGGGAGGATGTAATTACATTTTACATAAAATAATACAATATTATAGTTCAGAAATGTCTTCAAAGTGTAACAGCTTTAAGAGTCACAGTATTGACAGCAATTTCAAGGTCTGTGAAATCACTTTGTCCAAGAAATGTCTGTTTCAGCTTATCAATCCATTCCTGTAAGTGCTTCTGTAGACCATCATACACAGACTCAGGAATACTGAACGAATAGATCTGGGCTTTTGTGAGGCCTATGGTAGAGCAACTGGCATGGACAGTAAAATGTCTCAGCGGTATCATAGACAAGCAATTTTCAAAGCCACTTGATGTATCAAACCAATAAACTGCAGGGAAATGTAAAATAAATCCAAATATAGTGCACAGGTTCCACTGCGGAGACTCAATGTCACTCAAAGATACAGTAGCAGGTTGTTCATTTTGATAAGGTGTTAGATGGTCCAAGAGCTGGGTGACTTGAGTACGAATCACTGAGACATGATTGCAGCTGAGCATTGCTGGTTGATCAAGGGAGGCAGAAACATTTATTAAATGTAAATCTTCACTGTGAAGTAATGAATCCAAATATAACATGGTTTTGGGTACATTAATAATGAGAATATTATCAGCAATGTTGAGGGTATGCATGTGCCCCTTTATAAAGCCAATACGCTGCAGTTCTTGGAGGTAGCTCTGAATTTGGTGAACACGCACACCACTATAATCATACAGAAAACATGGCTTCAGCCCACAGTCTACAGACAGGAGTTCAGCAGCCAGATTCAAAGAGGATGTAGTTGACCATGACCTCTTTTTACGCTCTTTAAGGTGACGTTTGGAAGCTAAATGGAGTTCTGCCTGAATTGACAGATTCATGACTCCAATGTAAAAGGCTGGATGTACTTCAGTGCCAAGTCAAATGCATCTTTTGATGTTTAACCTGAAACAAAACAACAGCTAATAGTTATGACATGTCAATCATCTTAAATCTTACAAAAGGGTTACTGATGAATTAAACCCACCACCTCTTCCCTAAAAAAGAAAAAAAAAAAGAATGTGCTGTAGTAAAAAGTGAAGCAGTTCTGCAATGTTAATATGAAAAAGTTGTCCAAAACTGACCCTCCACTTTTTAAATACATTGAAATATACATGTATATATTTATGCATATGTATTTACGATGCCAATAAAGGGTTACTCCAAGCCTTTTCTGCAGTCCTTTAGGCAATTTAGGAGAAGATAATTATGTTCACTGCCAGTGTGCTCTGACGACTGACGTAGTTTTGGCACAGAATTTACATTTAGCAGTCCAGAACGGAGTTCTGGGCTACCAGGATCATGTGTGCCGAGTCACACGAGTGCAAATATATTAGTATGTGCAACGTTTATACCAACTCCTATCACCATGATCACTTCTAAAAGCAGAAGTGGTTGTGGTGGTTAGAGCAAAACTTTTTAAGGAACCTGATGCTACTGCCCTTGCACCACAAGTGTCAGTTGATCCCTTCCTCTCCATGAATGGTTTATGAGATTAAGTAGTTGACATAATATCAGTTGAACTGCATCAACTAATAGCAACCATGGCTGCTATCAGTTTGTACATATTACAGTTCACAGTTTTGTGAGCCAGGCTGTATGTAGCAGGCTGCATGTGTAAGCCACAGTCATTGACAGTGGATACTATGTACACCATAAAATTTGCAATCATAGAGGATTAAATGCATATTCTCTTGGGATTAACAAGCATGTGGGTGGGTAAAAGTACTTGACCATATTTTATATTCCTAATTTAATGACAAAGGAACACATGACAGGACAGAATGTTTTTATAACTTCCAATGGCATTTTTTTTTTAAATTTCCCCTTCAAGGGCCACTCAAAAAAACCATAAACACTACAGCCTGTTTCCATTCAGTTTAGTCCAAATTTGGCATTGCTAATGCAAATGAAGGCGTGAGTTGCAAGCTCCTGTTGGAACTTCAGTGTGTGGACACTCAAGACCCCTAGAGCAGTTCAGCTTGCTGAAAAGCTTTCTATGTGTGAAGAGTGTTGTTTTTTTAATTTTACAAAAAGTGCAGATTTAAATAGAAATTGACTATTTTCTAAATCAACCTTGTTACACCCCCGGCTGTCAATAAGGTAAACAGTCCTATTTTTGACTGGTTGTTTAGTTCAATTGAGGCAGCAATTGCCCAGAGCACCTGTCTTGTAAAGACTTCTCATTGAGCTATATGGGGAAAACTGTGATTGGACAGCCACAGAAAGTATGGGAGTGGTTAGAAGGGGAGGGTTTGCAAAGGTAGCAGACAAGAAATCTTCAGCTTTTCCAAGCTGTTTTTAGATATAGTCCTAATAAAAACAAAAATAAATGTATAATTGAATGCTTGTTTTGTTTTTGTTTTTTGGGGTGGTGGGAGGGGTGGTTGGGGTTATATCTACTAAACAGCATTTTATTTTTTATTTGGGCAGTGGCGTAGCCCTTAAAAGGATCACTATAGACACCCAGACCTCTTCATCTCAATTAAGTGGTCTGGTTACAGTAACTCTTTAGTTTTAATGCTGCAATTTATCCCCTGGGTTGACTCTGTTTTTTACTGTCACCATCCTCATGTGCATTCTCTAGTTGGTATCTAGGGGCGATCCTGATTGGCTAAGAGTGGTCAACTGACGCTCTATGTCATGGGTCCTCAAACTCCGGCCCCCCAGATGTTGCTGAACTACAAATCCCATGATTTTCTGGCTATGTAATTCAAAGAATCATGGGAGTTGTAGTTCAGCAACATCTGGGTGGCCAGAGTTTGAGGACCCCTGCTCTAATAGACTAGTACGATTTTTCCAACTGTGGTATGATATTTCTTGCTGGGTATCTACCAGTAATATGGAGTTGAAAGTGAGAATCCTTCCTGAGAGTTTGCAGTTCCAAAATTCTGGTAGTACAATAAAAAAAAATTACAAGATATTGAGATTGGTTAGTTTACGCCTATCTGTAATATGGTTGGTCATACCGACAGCCACCTGCGGTAGAATAATACTTACATGAAGTTCTGCAGCAGCTAATCTATGTATATAAGCCAACCCTTAATATAAAATAAAATTAATATGCAAGATGTGCTGTGAGTTCATCATTGCAGAAACCTTTATAAAGATGAAACAGATGTGAGCAGCATGCAGGTACATTATGACACATTTCAGACAGGCTGTGAAATCCACTGTGCAGGAAAAACACATGAATGTACATTCAGCATGAGGCTTATTCAACTTACTCAGACATTGAGAATCAACACGCTTTCATCTTCTTCCTGGTTCCTGATCACCAGATCACATGACCTGCCTAGTCACTCCCTGTTAAAAGGACAGTTTCAGGAGAGGCTAGTACAGAAGCCTATTCCATACAGTTATTGTATCGGTTATCTCTACAACTTCCCACAGTCAATGCTGGCCTAAAACATACATGTATCTGATATACTGTGTGTGATAGAAAGATGGGGTGCTTTTTAGTGAAAGAAGACAGATTTTAAAAGGACCCATTAAAAGCAATAGTATATACAAATCTTCTACTGTTTGCTCTCAATCAGTTTTCATTATTTGCTGGGTGAATCCAATACTGTCATATTACCATATGGAATAGGTGGGAGATTTAGCATAAAAGCGTTTTATTGGGGAAAGTATACCAGTTATAACAGTGCAATATTTACATGTCACCTTATTAGCCCCTTAAGGACACAGCTTCAGAAATAAAAGGGAATTGTGATGGACAATTTTAGGCTTGTGTCCTTAAGGGGTTAAACCACAGTTCTGTGTGTGTATTCTATATTTGCTGCCGCAAAACATCACAGCACACCACAAACACATGCAATCACACAAGCAGCACACTGCATACAATACACACTTCATTCACTACACTACTACAGACATTGCAATCATTAGACACACTACATTGACTATAAAAAACACACACACTGCATCAACTTTACTTATTTTTGTGGGGGACTCAGTGGTGGGCATGCACAAGGCTCTTTCTTGGCCCTTTTGCCCTCTGGTATCCCACTTTTGCAGACACCAGAGACAAGTCACAAGCAAACACAGTGCAAGCATGTTATTAACCCCTTAAGGACTGAGTCAGTTGTACAAGTTGTGATCAAAACAAAACGTAAACAAAACCTTGAATTTCAGGTGTAATTCACCTCTTTCGTATTAAATGCACCCACACTTATTATATATAATTTTGCTCAGGAGAAACAGGACTTCCCTGTCACACCAAATATTTATATATTAAACACAATTTAATATGAATAAAATGTAAAAAAAAAAAAAAAAAAGTTTTAGTTCTACGTGGCATTTTAACTGTGAATGTCATATTACTGTTAGCTGTTACTGCAATAAAATGCACAAGTACAGGTTGAATCTACACCTTTGAATCTTTCTCACTGTAGAGTGAGTAGACTTTAAATTGTTTGGAATTGGTCTTATAACCCTTTCCAGTTTGATGGGCAGCAATATTTGATTATCTAAGATTATTGCTGATGTCTTTCCTCCTTGGCATTGTATTAACATACACTTGCATGCTCCAGACCAGCAAACTGCTAAAAATTCAGGTGGTCCCACTTTCTGACGAACGATTATTCAAGGGCATCTGATTAGCAGCACCTGTCTGCTACTTAGCCTTTTACTTCCTACGGAAGCAGTAAGGGTGTGCTTTGTTTTTCAAACATGGCTTATCCATTTTGGTTTATTGTTGCTAGATTAATCATGACACGGTGTAATATGTCATGTGTTCTTCCGAAGTTGTATTCACCCAATTTTAAAACCTGCTAAGGAGCAGCTGATTGTTATTGTGTCATGATATGTAAAACCATAGAATTCAAAGAGGGTGTGCTTTCTTTTTCCCATGACTGTATCTGCTTGTCTGCAGACCGAATGCAGAGCTTGCTCTTATCCAATTGGAGGTTAAGCTTTTGTGTGGGTTTGGTAAGGAGCATGGTGACATCAGACATCACGTCACTGCTCTGTGGCACTTTTTCTCAGCAGGTCAGCCTTATCTCCGAGCAGCATCAGAGAGATTAGGAAAAATAATAATAATCATTAACTGCAGAGTAGCATTGGTCAGATTAAGAAAAAAATGCTGATCTGCTTACTAAATTAATAGTGTGCCTTACATTGTGACTGCTTCGTAAATTAATACTGTGACTTATATTATTACAACATTCATTTGTTGGTCGTCTGGTACGGGAGCTCCATTGTCTGCAACAATATCAGGTATGGACCACTTTATGAGCATCCTCACGGTTCTTGTGTTCAGTCAATGTCAATGAAGAGTGTCCTGTGTCATCCAAAAGTGCTGGTGACCACAAGAGTACTCCCTCAGTAAAGTGAGAAGGCACATGACCATGCAGGGAGAAGATTTGATCTCCCTGTAAACTCAAGGAGGGCCTGCTCTGTGCAAAAGCTCCAAACCCAGACAGTGGCCCACTAGGCTTTTTTTCTGATCCTGGACAATAGGCAGCTGCCTTGGATGCCTATTAGGTATCTGGGAACCTGACCTCTGTATCTCCTAGTACTAATAAATACAGTTCTTTTGACAATTGTTAACCCTATACCATTCTAATGCTAACATGTCATATGAGGTGTAACAGTGTATATTACTCTGAATTAATGAGTTATGATACCACATCTCTAAATTAATTCAGAGTATTATACATTTATCAGGCACAACATTAAAACCACTGACAGGTGAAATTAATAACATTGATCATATTATTACAATTGCACCTGTCAAGAGGTGGGATATATTAGGAAGCAAGTGATCAGTCAGTTCTTGAATTCCATGTGTTGGAAGCAGTTAAAATGGGCATGCGAATAGTTCTGAATGACGTTGACTAGGGCGAAATAGTGATGCCTAGTGGGGAGTTTCTGGTATGCAGTGGTTTACTACCTACCAAAATTTGTGCAAGAAAGGACAACTGGTGAACTGACCTCAGAGTCATGGGTGCCCAGCAATCACTGATGCAAATGAAACAAAGGCGAACCATCTGGTCCGATCACACAGAAGAGCTACTATAGCTCAAATCGATGAAATATTTAATGCTGGTCATGATAGAAAGGTGTCAGCACACACAGTGCGTCAGTTTTCTGCGTAAGGGCTGTGTACCCACAGACTGGTCAGAGTGCCCATGATGACCCCAGTCCACTCCCAAAAGTGCCTTCAATGGGGACGTTGGCATCCAAACTAGATCAAGGAAGGAGGTTGTCTGTTCTGATGAATCATGTTTTCTTTTAGATCAGGTGTATGGCCAGGTTTGCACCCAGAACAGGTTTGTCCATTAGCATCCCTCCATTTTTTTTAATTATAAAACTGCAGGCACAATATGCACTACAATTTGCCTGCTGTAAAGATATGTGCATACCAGGAACAAATATGACATTGCACTTAGAACCATCTTTGGAAAATCAGCATGGAGATGGTTTTTTTTTTTTTTTTTTTTTAAAGGACTCAATTATACAGCACATGCATTCTCTGCCTTGGATAAATCACCTTCAAGACAAACTGATGTCCATATATTTACAATACAACAGGTCTATGCTTTACAGTTATATTATTTAACAGAATGCTTATGCTTTGTCCATACCGATTGCTGTATATCTTGATTATAGACATACCCAAACAAAACAGTTAGATGTACCTATTCAACATTCTCACCGTTTCTGACACTGCCTTTAGACCTAGGGCAGGGGAGGGCAATCTGCAGCCCTCCAGATGTTTTGGACAACATCTCACATAATGCCCTTAGGGTCATAATGTTGGCAAAGCATCAAGGGAGATTTAGTCCAAAACATCTGGAGGGCCGCAGATTGCCCACCCCTGGACTAGGGTAATCCACAAAGATGAAAATACTAATTTAAGGTCAAATGTGCCAAACTGGAAAAATTCTCTAAGTCAGCTATGGTTTCAGTTTAGCTAATCTGGCCTAAAATTTGAAATTCAATTTTAATTCTCACTTTGGTAAAGAAACATGATATTCTAAAAAGCTACAACATACATAGTTACTGGAAACCATTGATAAGGCTATTTAAAGACTGGATAAGTGGGACTGTTTCGATGTTAATGAGGTAATATACTAAATAAACTACTTCATTAGGCCGAAAAATTAACAACTGGTACTCAAAGGGAGTTTCAGATTTTAGACCAAACAGCTGAATTGGAAGAATTTCAAATGTTTTAAATTCTAAATTAAAGGGACACTATAGTCCCCAAAACAGCTTTAGCTTAATGAAGTAGTTTTGGTGTATAGAACATTCCCCTCCAGCCTCACTGCTCAGTTCTCTGCCATTTAGGAGTTACCGTATATACTTGAGTATAAGTCAACCCGAATATAAGTCGAGACCCCTAATTTTACCCCCCAAAACTGGGAAAACTTACTGACTCGACTATAAGACTAGGGTGGTACTATTGGTAAATTTTGAAATAAAATTAGATCCCCCCAATAAATTATATTAATTAAATATTTATTTACAGTGTGTATATATAATGAATGTAGTGTGTGTGTGTATATGTGATGCAGGGCTTTGGTGGGGGGGGTATTTTTTTTTATATATATATATATATATATATATTTTTATTTATTTATTTTTTAAATTAATTTTTATATTATTTAAATTTTTATTTATTTATTTTCGTCGTCCCCCCCCTCCCTGCTTGAAACATAACCAGGGAGGGGGGGCTCTCATTCCCTGGTGGTCCAGTGGATGGGCTGTGTAGGAGGGGGGCAGGCAGAGAGCTGTAACTTACCTTTCCTGCAGCTCCCTTCTATCTCCTCCGTTCCGGTCAGCTCCCTTCTCCTCCTCCGGTCTGAGTGCCGCGGAGCATTGCCACGGTAACCCGTGGCAACACTCTGACCCCGCAGCTCTCACGAGATTTACCGTGGAGCTGACCGGAACAGAGGAGAGCAGACAGGAGCTGCAGTACAGGTAAGTTACAGCTTGCTGCCAGCCCCCAACAGGACCGCCGGGCTTGTAATGAGCCCGGCGGTCCTGGTCTGTATTATGGTAATGTAAGTTCCCATAATACAGACATTGACTCGAGTATAAGTCGAGTGGGGGTTTTTCAGCACAAAAAATGTGATGAAAAACTCTACTTCTACTCGAGTGTATACGGTAAATCCCTTTATGAACCCTAGTGACACCTCCCTGCATGTGACTTGCACAGCCTTCCTAAACACTTCCTGTAAAGAGTCATCCAAAGCTTATCTTTTCATTATTGCAAGTTGTGTTTAATTTAGATTTTCTTATCCCCTGCTAGGTTAAGAGCTTGCTAGATCCTGCAAGAGTCTCCTGTATGTGATTAAAGTTCAATTTACAGAGGAAGAGATAAAATTGTTTAAGGTAAAGTACATTTGATTGAAAGTGAAACCAGTTTTTTTTCATGCAGGCTGTGTCAATCATAGCCAGGCAAGGTGTAGCAAGGGATACATAAACAGAAACAAAGTGATTTAACTCCTCAATGGCAGTGAATTGAGCATTAAAACCTGAGAGTGTATCCACGGCGGTAAGTGGGATAAAGTGCAAAACAGTGCAGGCTAGCCACTCAAATTAGGGGGATAAAAAAAACATACCAGTGAAGGCGCCACAGTAACAAACGTGCGTGTATAGTTAGTAAAAACAAAGAACGTTACCTGTGCTCTGGCCTAAATCCCTATGTACATTTAAACAAAATGGAGACTCTAGTTTTATTCCAATGGCCATTTGAATATAAGCTCACCTGCCATGTCAAGGCAAGCCCCAAAAGGTGAGTCCTACTCTAGCCATTAGATTTGCTGATATCAGCCAAGAATCTGAGACAAGAAGGGGTATTTTATAAACCCTTTCACATCCCTCTCAAGAGGTCTATTACTTGTTCGTTTCCAATCTCTTGAGATGAAGTATGAGAGTGAATAAGGTTGATAGATCAGGCAGGTACAGGCTGTAGGGCAGACTTCTTTGGGGATACCTCTAGCTTTATTCTGCTCAACGCGTTTCGTCTGATGACTTTATTCTGCTTTATTCTGATGAGTGGAACAAAGCTAGAGGTATCATATGGTAAATATACACGCACGTTTGTGACTGTGGCGCCCTCACTTGTATATATGTTTTTTAAACAATACTACTCGCCTACTTTTTTTTTTTTTTTTTAACCTGAGAGGCATGATATAAAAACCACTATAAAACTGCTTCATTAAGCTAAAGTTGTTTAGGTGACTATAGTGTTCCTTTAACTTTGAATTCCTGAAAATCTCACTTTAGTGAATAATTTTTTGGCCTCCTATGTGTCTTACTAGTATAAGGACAGTCATTTCTAATAATTAAAATTCAATATTCTGCAGAGAACCAGTAGTTCTTAACATTTTCTGCCAGTGACCATTCTTTAATCAAATCATTAACTTGATTCTGGAAAATGAACTCAACATAGGGGTTAAGAATCATTGGTTTAAACCTATTCCTGCACTTGCACAACACATGTGGGAAAAAATAAATAAAAATCATTGTGTTTAAATTAGATCAGATTTTTCCTATTTTCTATTAAATGGTTGCTTATTGTCAAGATATACATATGTAAACGTGAGAAACAACAATCTATTGAGTATCAGAATAAAATAAAGGGCAAAAAAAAATAAAAAATACATGATTGCACTTTTTTTACTTTATATATATATATATATACACTGTTTTTGAAATGTAGAAATGTTACATGCATAATGAAGACCAGAACTCATGTAGGCCAAAATGTATTTAACAACTCTGATTATTTTATTTGGGAATAGTCCCCAACCCCTCTGATTTCATTGTAGAATGATATATACAGTGTTTTTGCTGTATTAAAAAATAAATAGCTATGTAGGAGGAGTAAAAAATGTGGGTCTTAATTATTATTGCATAGGCCACAGAAAAGCCAGCTCTTTCTAGGCACTTAATGATAAACGGCAATGCTTATTAAAAACAAAAACAAACTAAAAAAGAAAATTGGTCATCATGAATAAAGACATAAGGGAAAGAAATTGAAGATGAGAATAACATCTCTCCATAAACAGATTTCAGCATATCCAGATTTAACTACTCAAACAGTTCCATACTTTCATCTTCCAAAAGCAGACAAAAATTTTTCCATATTTGAAAAGGACTTCATCTTCTAAAATGTCACCTATAGGACAGGACTTTAAGCAGATCACAGCTTCTGCTTAGGAATTGATTGAAAGTTATACTACTTGGAATCCTTGTTTATTTTAGACAAACATTCCAAATCTAAGCCATCAGCACTGCTCACTGGGCCTGTAAAGCTGGGGCCATGTGCATGTTTTGTTGCTGCAGTAAAGGCCATCCCTCTGGTCCTTGGTGATTCTGTAGAAGGCGATAGAGCTGCTTTAGATGTGTGACAATGTTGTCTTTGATGTCAGGTACTGAAATTTGCAGTCGCACACTGCCGCTGTCAAAGGAGCGCATAGTATCTCCCGAAAACATCTCAAGAATCATACGAGCAACCACTGGAATGATCTAGGAAGTGAAAAAAAAAAACAATGTAAATTGATGTGATTTGTTTTTCAAATTACCTTGAAAAAAAATGTCTCAATCTCTTATATTGAGTATACGAGTATTGGCTACATTTAAGACAACTCATTTATTAGCTTCAAGGGCATACAATGCAGCAATTAAGCATATGCCTGACACCGGTTTATCCCTACTCGTTTTGGATTGTTCACATTTACTTTCAGACATGAGCCATCAATCCAATCCAAACATGAATGCTCTGGAGCATTATCCTTAGAACATGGTGATAATCTGTGCTATAGATACCAGCATTTTGCAGGACAGCTTGATATATTAGTATATGAAGCCTTACCATCAACTATCTTACTGTGCAACAAAAATGCAAATGTGGGGTAAATATATTGTATTATTCAGCGTTCTTTACCGCCAACATCAACTGCCATAATAGCAATGTGTACACTGAATTTATACACTGACTAACTTTCTTTGGACAGAGCAGTGCCTAAACTAGAAAAATGGCTTGAACTTATTGTGGAAAAATAAACGTGTTTAGTGTAGGGATTTCTTTTTTAATAGTTTATAAAAAATAAAAAAAATTAAAAAAAAAGTTTAATGGGGAACTATAGGTTTATTTTAGTCTTCCAGCATCAAAATAATCAGCAATCTGACAGATTTCACTTTAGTTTGTATGTTTTTTTTTTGTTTTTTTTAGACTGGTTAAAAGAAAACAGCAATCATGCCAATTCTGGTCTTGGTGTTCTGCTAATATACTTGTGATTAATGTTTAGTTAATTCTATGATACACACCTGTACAATTATCAGCTTTCTCTCCCTGGGTTTGCCATCTGGCCACTCTTCACCAAAGCACAAGTTGATTTCATAGGCTGGCTGTTTGATGGGACCACCCTTTTGGTGATTAAGGAGTTCTGAAACAAACAAAAACACAACACAGAGTGCCTTTTAATGACAGAATGTTTGTGTATAACCCCCTTCTATGAAGATGCGTGTCCTTGTCTATTTGTACCACACTTTGCATGTCTGGAGTGGTTTCCATACAGTTTTCAAATTCAGAGAGCATTGAAACAGACAAGATCTTGGCTGAAGTCTAACATCTAATTTAAGGTCCATGCACTTCATATGATCGCGACATACTGTACAAAAGATTACAGGGATATGGTTAAATGTGTGAAATGTAGCCCTTTTGTGCTATATGGTTGCAATGTTTATGCAGTCACAATTATGATGAACACATGTTTCAAGGGACAACTTTAATGCATTTGATTGATTTTGGTCTCATTAATATGCTTTATTTTTACATGCTCAAATCTTTATAGTTTTTGCAAAAAAAGGTATTAAAAAAAATGATTTGCAGAATGACTGCCTCCTTAGCAACACCTTCTCACTACAAAACTAAGATTTAGTTATCATATGTATGCACACAGTCTCTGTCCCAACAGCACTGAGTGAGCTGCTTTTAATTTACAAATTGACTGCAGACAATCAGAGAAACTATAAACTGGTAGAGATATCCATATGTTATGTGCCCCTCTGCTTCTAATGCAGGTTGTGTTGTAGTCCAGATCATTCAGTACTGACAGTGGCTGAAACTGTGTGTACATACATTTGATTAGGAAGTCTTTCTAGTATGAAGTGTTGTGGCTAAAGAGGCTGGCTTATGGTGCAGTCTTCTGCAAAACATTTATTTTATGAAAAAAAAAAAATCTAAGGATTTGCACATGCAAATACACATTATCAATAAGGCCTATTAAATGCATTAAAGTTGTATTGGTGCCCTCAGTGTCCCATTATACCTAATAGAGTGTAGGCAATACCACCATCACCTAGACTTTCACCTTATTCCTCTCACCCTGCCTTTCAGCTAGCTGACAATGGATATTACCTCTGAAGTACATTATTAATAATGACAATTTGTTTGGAGAAAAACTGTAAAATACAGGTGGATGGTAACACCATAAATGGATACTAGTAATGAATGAGATTAGTAAAATTGCCAATATTTGTATTCCAGAATACACCTGCACGTGAATTATCAAGTAGGTTCATATAGCCTTAAATAATAAAATTTCACATACACTTCACAAATAATATTGTAGAACTGAACACTCACCACTCAAGAATGTCTCCAAACAGAAGAGCTTAACTCTCTTCTGCCTCTCAATAAGATTTGGCATGTTTGGAGAAGGAGCGCAGGGTCCACTCCAATAAACTTTGCATTGGCAAAGTCTAACTGCATAGATGGCATGCCCACTGACTTCTAGTATAAGACCTCTGTCCATGACATCCAAGAGGCGGCCCGTGAAAATCTTCTGTTTTTCGTTCACTATCTGCTCTGTACCAGGGAACCGGACCTGCTCAAGGCTAATTGGTCCAAATAGCTCTTCCTGGTTGGGCATTGGTCCAAGATCACCATAGAAAAGTCTACAGCCTTGAGGATTGCTAACAGTCATAGTCTGGCCCACCTCTTTTCCTCTGTACAGAAACTGGATATCCAAGTCTGTCACTGAAAAGAAAACAGCATTAAATAATTAGACTGGATTCAAACTGCAAAATATTCAAAAAAATACATAGCTACATACCATAAATTAGGTACAGTACAAATATACAGTATTAGCAGAAAATGCCACAAAGTAGGTTTTGACCCCGGTTTACCAACCAAAGGAAAAGTAATTATTTATATTGTAAATATTTATAGTTTGTCCAATGTTAAGTATATGCAGTCACAAGTGAGTGGCTTTTTTGTTTTTTGAGAGAGAAAGGGGCCAATTATATTAGTATGTTAAGCAATAGAACAAAACGGTTACCAGTCAGGAAAGGTGTTAATTCTTATGACTTTGTCCTAGAGACAAACTGTGCTCTCTAAACTTTCTTATAGGTTCCATGCTTGTTGGCAAGTAGTAAATAGAACGGAAACAAAAAGTACACCTGACCAGACACCCCTATTCATAAAACAAATAAGGTAAATTAAAACAAATTCCTACTAAGTAAATCGGAATACTCACTTGGTAGAGAATTTATCCACAACTCAGGAGAGCTAAAAAACTCTGCAGGGCCAGGAGCTGGAGGTACCTCCATGTCCAATGGTTCAGATTTTGGCCACGTCTGTTCAGGGGTGCAGCTGCCCACACTGGAAGGACCCATAGGAGAATTAGCTGAAAGTGATAAATATAAACATTTTAAAGAAACTATTAACCAGCCGAGGACTCGAACAATGCATCCTTGTTGTGCAGTTTTCAATTTAAAGAGAGGGTAGAATATGGTAAAAGTTATTCTACTTCCAGATATATCGCTCAGACGTTATCTGAATATTAGCAGATCCATCCCACTCTTCCACAAGAGCTATATTTCAATATAGTTAATTTCTACTGCAAGGTTTGGTCTCCTGGATATCCCAGTTTGTGTGTTTTTAGTACTGACCAGCTCAGTTATCACAAACACAGGACAAACCACAAATGGTGTAGGTCGGTCTGCAAAGGGAAATTTAGTGTGACTGTAAGCCTGACTGGACTGTCCAACATTAAAGGGACAACTTCAACTTAATGTAGTTGTTCTGGTGTCTACTTCCTGTCCCTGCAGGCTTTTTAAGGTAAACACTGCCTTATCTGTAAAAAGGCAGTGTTTACTTTACTGCCTAGGAATACCTCTAGTGGCAGTCACTCAGAAGGCCTCTTGAAGTGCTTCCTAATCCAGTGCTACTGACGTTCAGCATCTCCATGCCCCGCAGTATCAGGAATTCATACACTATGGTGTTCCTTTAAGGTGACCTGGTTATCCTTCATGGTAATATTATTAAGGAGTAAAAATCAGGAATTTAGAATATTGATCTATACTTGAAACGAGCTCATTTGACAAACTCTTTAAAATGTGCCAGATCAAGCCCATTTATCATTTATATAGAACAAACATTCTGCAGTGCTTTACAATAATTCACTGGGGATATTAAACAAGTACAGACATACAAAGTGGTGTTGAAAAAGACAAGAGCTGCAGAGGGCCCTGCTCAAATGAGTTCACAATCTAAAAGCAATTGAAAATTTGCATTGGAGAAGATGGGATAGTTACCTTTAAATAAACTATAATAAGTAACAATTTTCCAAATTCTTAATTTTCACAGGCAAGCTAAAACAATATGGTCTTTATTTACATACTATCTGGGAAAAAGTTTTTTTGTTATACTAAAACATTTAAAACTCAGTGGAAGCACATATGTGAAATACCTATAAAAAGAAAGAATGTTGTACTAAGGAAGAAGTATGTATTTATAGAAGTTAGGTAGGAATAGATTCACTAGTTCTTATCTGTCACCATAATTATCTTTCAATATAAGAAAAAGAAATATTTCCATATAGTCATTTGAAACTGTTGAAACAAAATGTTAGAGACCTTAGGTGGGGGTTCAACCCAAAATACGGGAGAACCAACCACCCAAGGGATCCAAAAGACACCTTGATAGACACTCCAGTAAATGTCCTGGGGCTTAACCCCTTAACAGAAAAAAAAAAATAGAAGAAAAAAAAACCCAAAACACCGGAAGTATTCCTGTGTTTTGGGTTTAAACTGGAATTGAATTATGAATGTACGATCTGTGAGCATATGGTGTTAACCATAATAATGTTACAAAATTGCCTACTTATCCCAGACCCTAGAAACATCCAAAGTGAAGTGATAGTAACTAAGCCTTTCGGCTAAACCTCTCATTGATCCGCCGTGTCAAAGACCCTCAGACTCCTGACTTTATTAATAACTCGATATGTCACAGTCTGCATAGTCAATGTAGATCTAAACTAGTGAAGTCATGGAGGGCATTCCAAATCTCTAATAAAGTGACCTTAAATGTTAAAGGCAACCAGACAACTGTATAATAACAGTAGAAGACCATTTGAACCTTAAGGTCTCACTATCCGTTATACAAAATAATAATTGCTCGTGTTACCAACGCGTATCAGGTCAACTAAAGAAAATGTATCTAAATAAAGTGAATACAAAATATCTAGTAGTATTGCGGTTTTACAATCACGCATAGGAAGGGGTTAATCGTAAGAGCTGCTGATTGCATCAGCTCTGATTGGTTCGTTTGAATCTCAATGAACTAACTAAAACGCCCACTCTCCCTTGGCGCGAAAATAACGGATAGGTATGCACTTCTGATTGGTTCATTAATAGTTATGAAAGTACAACCATAGGATATAAAAATAAGACCGTTTGGAAACATAATTCTAACCCCTGACGAAGGTGCATGCTCTAAGCACTGAAACACGCGTCGGGTTTTCTGTCTTTCACTCACACTCTGACACTGGGCACTTTACACTATGTGCAGGTAACCAACATTCCAAGTATGGTTCTGCACTTTAGCACTATTTAATAATTTTTTTTCTACTTCTCTTCTATTTTCCAATCCTGTATCTATTAGTTACGAGTAGGAGATACATTAGTAGCAGAGATTGACTCTATCCTGGCTTTACAGACACGCTCTCCTACTAGATATTTTGTATTCACTTTATTTAGATACATTTTCTTTAGCTGACCTGATACGTGTTGGTAACACGTGCAATTATTATTTTGTATAACGGATAGTGTTTTGGTTTTTTTTTTTTATATATTTTTCATTTGAAACTGTATTCTAGGAAGGAAGTAGTTATTTTTCTATCATATTTGTTTTTTTTTTCCCCTTTCTTTAAATGCAAAAACAGTTTTATATGCAAGCCTCCAGGTTTCTGTAGTATGAATAAGGTATACATACAAGAGTTCACATATTTGAAGCACAAGTCTCATTCCATAACCCTGGCAGACTGGATGGCCAGCATTACTACACTTTAAAAATATGCATCATGTTCTACAACTGAGTTTAAACAAAGGTCTCTTTGTACTGTAAAGGGATGAATTCTTAAAGACAACCTTAGAAACTAGCGTCATACATCATACAGAGGAAAACATTAACATAATTAGGTTATTAAAAATAATAATTCAAACAGTTTACCTAGACTGCACCCATCTCTGTAGAAAAAAATATTTGCAACCCACAACCTATGTTCAATTCACATTTGTAGAGACACACTTTTCAGGACCAGTATGCTCTGTTTAAATTCTTTAATTTGGCCTTGTAAAAATAATACAGATTATGTTTAGTAAACAAGAAAAAATAAAGTCACATGGCTTGCAATGGAAAATGACACTATAGTCATAAAAACAAAAAACAAACAAACAAAAACAAAATTTAGTTTAATTAAGCTATTTTGGTGATTTTACAGATCATGCCCCTGCAGTTTCACTACCCAATTCACTGCCATTTAGGAGTTAGATCACTTTTGTTTCTGTAAGTGCAGCCCTAGCCACGCCTACCATGGCTGTGACTGACACAGCCTGCATGAAAACAAAATAGTTTCATTTTCAAATCTGATGTAACTTACTTTAAAAGTTTTTATCTCCTGCTATGTAAAATTGCAAGCTATTAATAGCACAGGAGATAAGAAATTCTAAATTAAACAGAATTTAAAATAAAGTGTAAAATTAGATGATTCTTTACTGGAAGTGTTTAATAAGGCTGTGTAAGTCACATGCAGGGAGGTGTGACTAAAGCTGCATAAAACAGTGATTAAACGTCTAAATGGCAGAAAATTGAGCAGTGAGACCGCAGGGGCATGACCTATACACCAAAACTGCTTTGTTAAGTTATAGTTTTGGTGCCTATAGTGTCTCTTTAAAAAGCTTACTGCCAGTTTACCTGTGAATTATTCTTAAAGTTAGGTAAAGTTGAAATGTATAGTACACCTGCCAGTTAATTACGGCAAGTAAGTGGGCAGTTTCCAGGTTTTAATTGGAGTTTCAGGATATCATTCGAATGGCGTTTAAATGTTACTTTACATAGAAAAATAAAATAATTTACAGGCCTGGATAATCTTCTTGAATTTATTAGGGTTCTGCTCCTTTGTTTTGTCCAGAACATTGTGATATAGGAATTCGGTTTGCTGTTCTGAACAGCATGCGAGAGAGTACAGCATTGAGGTCTTTGGAGGATCCCGTGAGAAGCTGGATCCTCCATAGACAGAGCCAATTCCCTGCAGCCATCACTGATTTCTGCTGTCAGGGTTGACACTATAGCTCCACCCAGAGTCTAGAGGGAAGAAAGATACAGAGACAAAGTAGTCCTTACCTTGTCTCAGTATAGCTCGTGACTGGGTTGGAATTTCAGTGAAATTCCAAACACAATCATAATTAGCATTTCACAAAGATTCAATTTTCCACGGGTTAAAGTGCTACTTTAACATCAGTAGAAGAGATTTCAAACAGTGTGCACGTATGGGAAGTAACAATACAGCAGATTAAGATAGAAAGCTGGAGTAATTGGCAGCTTACAACATATATTTAGAAGGTTAGTGTATTCAGATAGGATCATCATGTCACCAAGTGTATACTGCAGAATATATGGTGCACTGGCATCAGTAAAGTACAGTAAATAGACAATTGTGTACATGAATATACTGACCATTAATGTTTAAACAGTTGAAAGGCTCTTGGATGGGTACATTATGTTGAGACTGAGGCATCTCTTCCTCGTCATATTCATCGTCATCCCAAAGAGACCCAGTGGAACCTGCCACAGAAGGGGGATAAAAAGGGAGTTAGAGTGATCATCTGAAATTAAAACAAATCCATATAGCTGAGGCATGCGAGAAAGAAAAAAAGAATACATGTGAACATTAACGAAAATAATAAAGATTGAAATAGTGTGCATGTCAAAAGTCGAAGTCACTGATCTTTTCGACTGCCCATTTTTTCTGCTTCAAACACATGAAATTTAAGAACTGACTGTTCACTTACTGCTTAATATATCCTACCCCTTGGCGGGTGCCATTGTAACAATATAATCAATGTTATTATAGTCCCTGTGATTTGCAACTTTTTTGATGCTACAAGAATTATTACACTTAACAAAAATCATAGGAAAGCTACCAGCTACCACAGAACTATGTAACTAAGGTGCTCTGGCATTGTGATTCTGTGATACGTGAAAATATGGCTTTAAGTCATAGAAAACAGGAAAACAAATTCACAAAATCAGGCAAAATTTGTTTCCAATTATACGAATTTCTACAGTAGCACACAAAGCCGACACTTCGGCGTTGTTTACTTTGTACGTGGATAAAATTGAAATTTGTGGTTTTCCTTCGATGTGACTCTTCAAGTCTGTTTTACCTAGAATGACTCCTTGAAATCAGTAAGCATCTGAAAGCTAATTTGTTTTTGTTCCCAGTCCTTTAAGGGGATTAGTATAGAGGCAGCTTGCATGGACACCTGTTCCTGCAATGTGATTGCAGAAGTTGGGGAATATAAACTTATCCTGTACCTTGCTAAAGATCATTCACATCTGTCAGCTTTCATTACAAAATGTTTCTTTTACAAGCAGGGACAGAATGTCCACAACTCATTCTATTTTAAAATAATTTCAAAACGGATTGGGATTTTCGAAACTACATCAATACCTTTGCAATCTGTCCAGACATTGTAAAGGGTTTAATTAATTATACGCCCCTCCTCAAATCATACAGATGTGTCAATTAAGCCGCAATAAATAAATAAATAAATAAATAAATGCTTTTCACACATTGTGGAAGATTATTCACAAAAGTTCAACTACAAAATCCAATACAGACATTGTTCACAAAATGTTAAATAAGCAAGGATCTAAAGGAGCAAGAATCTGGTCCATATTTTAGTCTGACTGAAGTTTATAATTCAGATCTAAACATACCAGGATTAATATATAAAAAATAATAAATAAAAAATATCTGACCAGTATCGTAAGAATAGAAACTATTTGTCATTCGGCAGTCATGGCATATCCACCGCCCTCTAATCATATTAATATACCCCCACTAAAAGCATGTCCCTCCCATGTACCATGCATGAAGGGGGCTGCGTTTTGCAATACCACCATTAAATCTGCACATAAAGTATCTGTAATCAAAACTTTAATGGGTGTTCTCCCTTAAGTGCCTAAATACTGGGCTGGCAATATCATATCCTCTCCTATTATTTAATATCACCCAACTGGGTGTTTGGCCCGGTCATGTTCCCATATTGTATGAATTAATAGTCACCACTCATCTTCCATTAAGGTGGTAAGAGGTAAGGGGCCATTGGGGACAACAATGGCATGTCCCCAAGTGTCACTTTAGCCCCAATCCTCGATGCCTATTGTGGGGAGAAACCATTACTAGGACCCCTCCTGGTTAGTGCTAAAACCATCTCACTTCCTAGGGCAGGTGTAGGCAACCTTTGGCATACCATTTCAGATGGAAGAATAAAATAGTAATTGTTCCTTCGTATGGTAATATGGAGGTCAATTGGACACCCATATGCCTTTTTAAAAAATAAATATAAAAGGTTTATAACACGAATATTAAAAAACAGACGCATTAAGTTAGAAATGTACAAAGCAAATAACTAGTGAAACCAGTAGAACTCTTTGATTCACATCTACTAATAGCAAGAGATAAACATGTACATGTCCTAACTACCCTGACATACACTTGGCACACACTTTATTTACAAATACCTTACCAAACATCCCCAATCACATGTAAAACCAGCCCAATGCAAAGCAACTTAAAAACTATTGTGTGTGTGCTCACCTGGGTTAACAATGGACCCTTGAGACTGGGGTATATCACAGACTTCATATATTTTTATGGGATTCATTGGAACCTCCTTAGTCCCATCATACATTAGTTTAAACTCTCGACTTTTATTAAGCGCACAACGCAGCTGGGCTTTCCATTTTGCTGGGTCTGGATCATCAGAACCTTCTTGATATTTACCGGTCTCCACTGCCCAGGCCTGCACAAAAATAAAAACACATAAGATTTCCAAAGAACCAAAACACTACACAACCGACAAGCAGCAATTAAAAAATAATACATTTTATAAATCTATTTAAAATGAAAGCACAAAAGGCCACAGTAGCAAGCTATGGAAATGTTGTAATATTCCTAAACTGGGTATAATGGATGTGATAAAAAACATTTTTTGTAGGGTTATTCACTGAAGTGAGAATTCAAAGTGAATTTCAAATTTAAAGTCAAAATAGACAAACAGGAAAATCTGTCTAAGTCAGCCATGTTTTCATTTCAGCTTCTCTGGCCTTAAATTTGAAATACACTTTGAAATTGCACTTTGGTAACCCTTCTGTCAGTGTTAACGCAGTCACGGTTTTTGATGACAAGTGAAATTCAGCCATCTTTAGGAATAATACAATGACAGAAAACAATTAAATGTATGATCTAGAGCTATGCAACAAGTAGGTTAATATGCAAGCAAGGACCAAAATGCAGGACAGGTTGGTCACCTAAGTTGCAGAGAGATTAGAGCATTTTGTGCATTTAAAAATCTGAATGTAATGTAGGATTACTTGGCAATGCCTCCAAAGAACATAGTTAATGCCAGTGCCTACTGTATCGCAAATCTGCAAGGGATCAAGGTATTGAGGTGGGGTATTCCCTGAAAAGGAGTGAACTTTTGTCTACTTTAATAAATAAATTCAAAATTACAAAAAAATGCATTGCAAGTCTTTCAGAATAATTTTTCAATTTAGTACAAGAAAACCATCTATACAGCATTGCTTCAAATTTTGAGCTTTTTGGCAACAATAGAATGATAAAATACATATAAATCATGGTTTTTGTCATGCAATTGTTATCAATTACCCTTTGTCCCACTAGCTTTTGTTACAGAGTAAAATGTGATAAATATACTAAGGGCAAACAATAAATGATGTCTGAGTAAACACCACAAATATGAGAATTCAACTACTCCCTTGTAACAGCTCACGTTACCTTACAAATAGGCAGAAAAATTTATACCTCTCACTTTGATAAATACACCAAGCTAATTATTCTGTGTCATTGGAAAGAGCATAAAGTTAAATCTATACATTGTGCTAGCAGTTCTGCGAGCAAACATATATTGAGACAAAACCCCACCTTTTCTCCCGTCAATCATTTCTTTGACATAGACTATGCTGAAGAACTATTTGACAGAGTGCGCAGAAGACACCTCCCCAGGATGTACTTCTGCTCTTCACCCATGGCGACCACAGCGCATCCGCTGTGATTGCTATAGTAATTCCATAGCCGTTGCTTCTAGCTCAGGCTAGTGAGTATAAGAATAAAGTGACACGTTCAGACGCTGGCATGCAGGCAACTAAGCCTCCATATTGTAGTCATGGAGGTTTGCTTTGGGCAGCTAAAGGAGGTTGCTACAGAAGTGTAACATCCACCTCTGTAAGGAGATCACAGTCGGGGAGCGGATAGTCAGGTCAAGCGCCCGACTATCAGCTCCCATTTAACATTGTGAAGTTGCTTATTAAAGGGCTGACATCAGCCACGTTTACTATTGTTACATTGAAGTATACAAGATAGCACAAAGTACACAAGCATCCCCTTGCTCACCTTAAAGATTGTGTTCTCTTCCTCCTGTTGGGGACTATGCCGAGTCGCATGCTTCCAAGGGATCTGGAATCTCTTAGCATCTCTGTTCAACCACACAAGTCCTGGGTATATCCCACTATCTACTTGTGCAACCAACCATGGCTTTAGCCGAACGCGTCGAGGGTGCAGAGCCATGATCTGTAACAAAGAAACCATAATGAAACAGAGACATGGATATTGACCAGCAAGGATTTCAAGAACCCTGGAAAATACTCATATAAAAGAGTTATATGGTAGTTTATACTACGGTCAGTTAACAAGGATGTCTACATCATATAGTTCCATATAGTTCTTGGTCAATGATGTAGTGGTTACTTAATAAGCAATTGAGGTCACCCAAAAATAGAATAGTGGTACATTCCATTCCACATATCAAGTTATTGCTAAAACTGGGTGTGGCATACAATGCAACTTCCCTATAAAACTTTCAGCTTGATCAACACACAAATATTTAGCTCAAACATTCCAGGATACACACAGTAACATTCAAATCAATCCACCAAATAAATTATATATAAACTATAATTTAGCTGGAACAATAGGAGGGGCAGCAGGTAAACTGGGACCTACTAGACATTTAAATGGCTTTCTTTAAGATCTCATATATACTCTCTACTTCTCTCTTTCTTTGCCTTAATTCACCAGATATAATGTAAACCGATATTTAGAGAAGGTACAAACCGTGGCTTGATTGATTTTGGAAATACCTCAGCTAATAATCCAGTTTATGTACTATCGATCATATGCTCTAACTAGCTGTGTTGGATTGTCTCTGCAGCACTGAGGTTGGTTTTAAGGAGGGACATATATCTGCTTTTAAAGGAAGTTAAATAAAGATTAACAAAAATATATAATTTTTACTTTTACCAAAATGTATATTGAACAATTGTTTTCGTATCTGGGTCTGTTAAGTGAACAATGTCAACATGCATTTTATTATGCTATATATCTGGAGGATCTTAAAACACAAACAAAAATGAAGAATTGTTAAATGTGACATCTCCCAGACTCTTCTTCATTTTATTGCACCATATTTATACAGTCAGGTCATACAAACACCTTAGACTCCTTAAATAGAAAACCAAAAATAAATTAATGATATTGACAGACAGACACACACTTTTTTTTTAACTGAATAGTACAAAGTTTAGTTTTTTTTTTATTCCCCCTAACCCTGTTCTTTCAAAACCATTGCAATGTTGCTCAAGTGGAAGAAAACAAAACAAAAACACACACACACACACACACACACACACACACACACCAGGTGTATAAAATACTATAAATGCATCTTCAGAAACAACTATGCAAAAAGAATAAAATAATGGAAGAAACACGCAACATAAAGGACCTAAAAGTAGCTGGGATAACCTATGACATCAGTACGGCTTCAATCCTTCCTGGAATGCAGTCAAACAAGTTCTGAATTAAGTGTAGTGGGATATTGCACGAGTGCTCAAGACATAAAACAGCAGTTGTTTGAGGGATAAAAGAGGTGGCAATCAAACTTTATTTGCACGTAAAGGGACACTATAGGCACCCAGCTTATTGAAGTGGTCTGGGTGGACTGTCCCCTGTCCATTTAATCCTGCAGTGGTAATTAATGTAGTTATGGAGAAACTGCAATAATTACATAGCAGGGTTAACTCCACCTCTAGTGGTGGTCTACCAAACAGCCACTAGTGGTGCTTCCGGGTCATCAGGTGACTTTTGGTTGCAAAACACAATACAACATCCAAATGCCCGTCAATCTGCCCTAGATAGCCATGAACATAACAGATAAAAATCACAAAGCAAATAATTGCTTGCAGGTTTACACCTTTGTTCCCAATTTGCACTGTTATCTTCAGTTTATTATTACCAGTGCACACTTAAATAATCCTTTAGTTAACTTTGAAGAAAAAATAAATACCTGCACACTGCACCAAATCCCTATGCACATTAACTATGAAAATAACTTTCACCAAAAAAAAATTAAAAATTATTTTTTGATAGTTCAACGTGTATTTTAAGAGAGACAGATGTCTTTGCTTACATGCACACAAGATGGTGTTCCACATTCCACGCACTAGACTTGGGCATTCATTTCGATTGAACATGTTTTCGTCACAATTTTTTGCAATTTATTCGAAAGATGAATCGACGAATAGAAATTACAATGAATGACACTAACAAATTGCTAGTTGGACAAAATTTAATCCATGCAATTCATTTTTGTTGTTTATTTAATGTGTTCGGAAGAAACAAACATTTTGGTGATGCCCAAGTCTACCATGCACACAGCCACATATTAATGGGGAACTCTCACTTCTCAGGTTTTTCATAATATATGTTTATATATATTTAACAAATATATATTTGTAAAGTGTGAAGAATACGAAGGAGAAATTAAACATTGTTTTCATTTCTTTGCTTCATTTGCAATTTGTGCCATGGCTTTACCTCATTTTGCAATTATGACTGACTTATGATGAAATTCTATAAATCTTCAAAAAGAATTTGAAATAATAATCGAAAATCTCACCAGAAAAAAAATAAATAAAATTAACACAAGTTATAGGTGCTTTCCAATGGTGTAAATTCCCAAGAAGTAGCAGTTCCCCATGAAGCATTGTGGGGTCCAGCAGTCAACATAGATGGGTGCTTGGAGGATGTGGGAGTATAGAGGTCTTTTTTAATCTCTTAATTCGCATGAACAATGAAAAGGTTATATTTGTAACGCTATCTGAACAAGGCTTTTTCATCCACACATTTTGTGAATGGCAAGTCATCTTTAAAGACTAAAGATGGCTAAATACAAAAATACAGAATCTTACATAATCGAGGTAGCAGCAGACAGTACCAACAGAAGTCAACTTTAATATAAAACAGTTTTAACACAATTACTATATGTGACAAATACTGCTTTCCACAGCAGTTTGCCATGGATTCCTGGAGGAGTGTGGAAGCTGGCCTCCTTCCCACCGACTATGGGCCAGGTCAGCGACTGTAAAGACCCATATTTTATTCCCCCTGGTTCGGCACTTCCCATTTGTGCGCATAGAACTGAACTGTGAGTGGTGCTGTTCTAATAAATTTTAGATGACAACAATTTATGCAACTAAAATGCAATTTAGAATATGAACAATGTATGTTATTAACACAGACTGTTTTCAAAACACATGTATTGTAAATTATAGACACATTACTGTATTATTCCTGTGCAGCTATGTTATACACTCAGACATTCCAACAATATGGAGTTTCTAGAAAATTGGGGCGTTAGGGAAGAAAGTAAGACAAAAGGGATTTGGGTCCAAAATAGGGATGGTCCCTCCTAAACAGGAACACTTAGGAGGTATGCTACGGTCTTTGTATAATCAGCTTTTCACTTTAAGACATTTCTAACCAAATATCCAATTGGGATTAATTCTCTTTATGAACTCTTTTGTTGATGGACAATAAGGTGGTCAGGTGTGATTCCTATCCTCTAGTCATACTTTTCAGATATCTTTTTCTCTCCATTAAAGTGTGAATCTGATTTAGGGGGATGTCTTCACCCTGAAAAGGAATCTACTAACTACAGTAAAACAGATCTACGATAACCAGATGCATTTCCCTGAGTTAAAAATGTCCTCTTCCCATTGAGTCGATTTAAAGAAAATGACCAATCATATTTACCCAGCACACTCTCCCTTATGCTTCCAAGTGCATAGGCAAGAGAGTACTTAAGAAGAGCAAATGGCCACTATGTGTCCTCTTCTTCAGCCTTTATGGAAACAAGGATTCCAGAATACTGGTGCTGCCATAGAGTTGAATCAGGACACTGGACCGTGGTCAGCTTTTTTTTTTGTTTGTGTTACTTGTAAAATTAAATAAAAATGCAATTGCAAAAGTAAAAGATAATCTAAAGATAAACTAATCCTAGGTGGGCACTCTCCATATCTCATATTCTGGACTTACACTTTATAACAATGGTGGCTAAAAATAACATGTGCAGCTTATACATGAAACACGCTATAGATCTACATGATATCAACTGTGTGGAAAGAGAAAAATTAACTGAAAATAACAGCTCCTGGATTTCACACATGTTACAGGGTGCATGCGTATTACATAAAGTAGATTTGCTAATGCTATCGCCAAAACAAAAATAAAAGTATTGAAAAAGCCTCATGTTCTGCACAGTTGTTTCCTAAATTTTAAAAATGAAAAGAAACTTAAAATGTACTGGAAAGTTTCTCAGTAAAATAGGAGAAATATAGCCTTGTTTCAGTGTCACTATAGCAACTATAGCACATGCAAAAGTGTTTGCAGGAAATGGTGAACTAACAGGGAGCCACAATTAGCAAACACAGAGCAGGCTTTGAAATGGAGAAGCAAAAGATAATTGCACGGTCCAAAACACACAAATTAGGTCCAAAGCAGATTCACCACTAGACTAGACTACCTAGTAGATAAGATAAAAAAAGATAATTGCAGGGCTCACCCATCTCATACTGTGAATATTCACTTTCCTACAAATATTATTCCAAAGTGGGCTAGGATTTCTTACTTGTGATATAATAAATGTGATTTTAAAAGTAAAACAAAAGCAATTCTTTGATAAATATTAAACAAGTAAGATAACAGATTAACGAATGTAATAGAAGCTGACTGTAGAAATTCTGTTAAAATATTCAACGCTTATTTAAATATCCAATCCCGCTTTGCTAGAGGCAATGCGCATGCAAATTTGACTATTACCATAAAGTAGCAACTTCAATTCAGGGTGATTTTGGTGGTAAAGAAGGATGCTAAATGTCTGTACAAAAAAAAACAAAAAAAAAAAAAAACAAACAAACAAAAAAACATGTGTTTATCAACATCTGAATTGAAGGTTAACTACCCAAACTTTGCTAACGTGAGAATTTCCCCAGGACGACCTTCCACTTTCCATGTGTGTGGGGGGAAGAGAGATAGAGATACACACACACACACACACATGCTACTATACTATACATACACCTATGCTACTAGCCATGCCTTAAAGGTTTATCTAAACTGCCATAGTATACTCACCAAAGGTGAATTTCTACTTGCCAGTGCTGAATGGCAGATCACTGGCCTTACACCATAATGGGTTAAAACTATATATCAGAGGGTGCTTAAACCCACTGCATATCTGCTTAAGATGTCATTTGCCCATCAGGGGGGAAAGATTGGACACAGGCAAGCCATAGGAGGTCATACTGCCTGGCCCACTCTGGATAATGGTTCCTCCGTATATTGCATTTAGGGGGAACACAAAGCATTCCACACACAGAGTAGAGGAAAGAGAAAACCAGGAAGTCTTAGCTCTCATTATTATTATTAGATAGCAATTCACAAATTCCTAGTCTTATTATATCTCTGTATCTGCTGACTATTTGATTAGCCAGCTTTCTACTTTTTTATTATGACTACTTTGGAAATCTGTATTATCAATTCAGCAGTTAGTAAATATAGGTGTCTATTCACTAAGCAGCAACTGTGGTAAATGGAGAACCAGCTTGACAGAATTATATTGTAAAGCGCTACGGAATCTGTTGGCGCTATATTAATGGCAATAATAATTAAGCCAAAATAGTGGTTTTCTTAAAGGACCACAATAGGCACCCAGACCACTTCAGCTTAATTAAGTGGTCTGGGTGCCAGGTCCAGCTAGGGTTAACCCCACCCCTTTTTTTTTTAATAAACATAGCAGTTTCAGAGAAACTGCTATGTTTATAAATGGGTTAATCCAGCCTCTAGTGGCTGTCTCTTGACAGCCGCTAGAGGCGCTTGCGTGCTTCTCACTAATAATCACAGTGAGAAGACGCCAGCATCGATAGGAAAGCATTGTGAATGCTTTCCTATGGACTGGCTGAATGCGCGTGCGGCTCCTGCCGCGCATGCGCATTCAGCCGAAGAGGAGGAGAAGAGGGAGGAGAGCTCCCCTCCCGGCGCTGGAGAAAGAGGTAAGTTTAACCCCTTCCTCTATCCAGAGCCCGGCGGGAGGGGGTCCCAGAGGGTGGGGACACCCTCAGGGCACTATAGTGCCAGGAAAACGAGTATGTTTTCCTGGCACTATAGTGGCCCTTTAAATTCAAACCTGCTAGACTTTTTTCCACCCAAATTGGCTGCTGTTCTAAAGTTTGCTGTTTGTCATAACCTATTGTTTAATGTGTTTCAGCAACATCTGTTAAAATAGATACACACAATTGTGTTGTGTTCTGGGTTACAAGAGCGAGCATGTGTCACAGCATAGGTAAATTAAAAATTCACTTTGCAAAATAAATAACAGTCCATGATCAACCATGGTTCAAAAGAACACTGAACCACAAAAAGGTGTATCAAACATGCTTACAAGACAATTCCAGCAGTTCTTAGTTTGTTTTACACAAAACACAGAAGTTATCTGTCCAGTCAATATTGTTAATACACATCACACACACACACAAAACACCAGATTTTAGTATTATACCTATGAATATATACGTAAACACCAGTGGTTAGAGTGTTATAGCTAGGTATACACATACACAAATGCCAGCATCTAGAGTGTTATAGTTAGGTATACATATACACAAACCCCAGTGGATAGTAGATTATAGTTAGGCATACACACAAACACACACCAGTGACTAGAGTTTTATAGTTACGCATACACAAACCAGTGACTAGAAAGTGTTTGTTATTTACACACAAGCAGGACTCAACAGCTAGACAAGTGTTCTAGTAATTTATACATACCAACACATATAGCTAGTGTTATAGTTATTTATGAACAAACAATAGTGGCTAGAGTGTTGTCGTCATGTATATACAAGCAAACAGTGTTCTAGTTATGTATATACAAACACACTAGTGGCTAGAGACCTATTGTTATCTATATACATATACTTGCAGCTGTAGTTTTAGATTCATATATGCAAATGTACACTAACTACTAAATAGATAAATGGATGTGTTGAGCACATATACTGGACAATTGAATGTCCAGTTACTCCCAAAGTTATCAATAAGGACTGCATTTCAACCTTCCATGCTTGTATAGAATCCACACATTGGAGATGGACACACTGGTAAATCCATTTAGTAAAGTAGGTGGAGTGTAGCCATTAAGGTAGGTGGGCATACTTTAACCAATAAGGTATCCATGGGGATAGTATTGTAGGTAAGATAGATGGGCATACTGTAGCCAATAAGGTAGATATGGGCATACTATGGTCAGTAAGGTAGGCATACTATGGTCAGTAAGGTAGGCATACTATGGTCAGTAAGGTAGATATGGGCATACTATGGTCAGTAAGGTATATATGGGCATACTATGGTCAGTAAGGTAGGTGGGCATACTATGGTCAGTAAGGTAGGTGGGCATACTATCTATGGTCAATAAGGTAGGCGGGCATACTATCTATAGTCAGTACTATACCTGTCGCCCTAGCGATATCAATGTATGAGAGCACACCGCCCGCTAACACAGCGCTCTCCCTCCCTGGCAGGAAATGCAGTCAGCACCACCCATCCTCCCCGCTCCTACCTGCCTCCACCTGGGCTCCCAGGACGCTCTCCGGGCCGTGGATTAGAGCTCCCTCCTCCGCCGCCCGCTGGGTACACTGTCCGGAGCGCTCTCCTCCTCCCGCACTCTCCCTCTGCCTGCTCAGCACTGGGCTAATGGCCGGCTCTGCTCCCTTTCCTGCCTGGCTCAGGTATCCGTGACGTCACCTGGCTCAAGGCAACAGGACACACCTTAGTGGGAGCCGAGCTCAGCTCTGCCAGCTGCTGCCTGTCTGTGTGCTGTGTGCTGTGTAATGCTACCTGCTCAGCATGACTCCATGGGGAAACACAGTGTGAGAGTGTGAATAAACATGTGTCAGTGTGTGTGTGTAATGGCATCTATCACCTCGGATATGGCTAACACTATAACTAAAGAGCCCTGACTGCCCACAGCCCCTCTAATCCCTTATTATACATATGCAGATTCTGCATTAACATGGGATTGTAACCTACCAGCACTATGTATGACCTTTGTTTACACTGTCTGTGTTTGGCCTAGCTAAGGTTAACCCCTTAAGGGCGGTGGCAATTGTACACTTTCTGATCAAAACAAATCCTGGAAGTTGAGCTTTATGTCTGTTCAGCCATAGTTCACCCCTTTATATTAAGTGCACTCACACACGTCATATGTATAGTTTTGTTCAGGAGAAACAGGGCTTTCATTTTACATCAAATATTTTTTTTATATGAAACTGAATTTAATCTGAATTAAAGGGACACTATAGCCACCAGAACAACTACAGCTTAAGGACTGAGCCAAATGTACACGTTGTGATCAAAACAAAATCTGTTATTAGACTATGTCTGTTCAACCGTAATTCACCTCTTTCATATTAAGTGCACCCACACTAAGTGATCACATGGCCCAGGAGGGCCGGAACTGCAGCAAGGAGACTCCCTGGGATGCCAGGTGTGTCCCCCCATCGCGATCGCCAGTAAGCATGTAAGTACATAGAACAGCGGGTACGTCATAGCACACCTGCCGTCCTTAAGGGTTAGTCATTATATGCAGGCATTTTCACGCAAACACTATCTTTTCAGAGAAAAGGCAGTGTTTACATTGCCCCTAGGGACACCCTCAAGTGGCCACTCCTTGGATGGCCACTGGAGGGGCTTCCTTGCTCAGTGCTGCTTTGAGACGCTGAATTTTCCTCATAGAGGAATGGGAAAGCATTAGATTGGCTAAAAATCGGCAATTCTGATGATGTCACAAAGGGGACGGGCCAGTACCAGCAGACCCGTACGGCGCTGGAAATAAGGAGAGTTTTTTTATGCTTTTACGGGAAGCAAGACATCTTAATGGTGGGTTTTGCACTATAGGGTCAGAAATACATGTTTGTGTTCCGGACCCTATAGTGTTCCTTTAAATCTAAAAAAAAAAGTTTTAGAAATTTAAAATGTTTGTTATTCTAACTGTGCATGTCATAATACTGTTACTGTTTACTACAATATATACACATATTTGTATGCTATCAAGTCCCACAAGTACAACAATGCCCCCCTGTGTACAGGTTTTGTGATGTTTTGTAAAGTTACAGTGTCAAAGATTGATTTGCGGGCCTATACTGCATGGCAATGAAAATTACTGCATAATGGCATACCATATGCAAAATTAGACAACCCGGGGTAATTATATATTACACACACACACACTTAGAATAATAAAATTTTTTATATATATATATATATATATATATATATATATATATAATATTCTCTGTGTACATTTCTGCATAATGATATTCTTTTATCAATTATAAGCTGTGGGATCTACCTGACAACCAACAACCTCAGTTGTCAGGCAGTTCCCCCGATCGGGATCACTGCAGAAGGTAAGTATACAGGCGGGTAAGGTGGCGATCATTGGGGCGTGCTATAATGACCTAACGACACTAAAGTCCTCATTTTGCACGATGGCATAGTACGCTCTAGCGACGCTAAGGGGCTAATAATTACATGGACAGGTTTATTTGTTCATGTCTGGGTTGAGGAAAATCAAAAGTGAATTTCATATTCCATTTTATCTGGTACATTTTGAGTAACCATGCAAAAAAAGACTCTATAAATGCTAGAACTACTATAACCCCCTGTAGTGCTTACAGAGCCAGGTGTTCCCTGGAACTGTTACCTGTAAAAAGTAGCTGACTCTCTCAGCCAATGAATGCTATTAAAATCTGTCCAAAATTGACATTGAAATTAGAGAGAACACATGCTTTAGTTGTATCATGGAGCACATAAGGGTTATGGGTTCCCGGGGGGCTCAAAACATTCACAAATGCTTTCACTCCTTAGTATGAGGTTAATGCCTTTGAGAGTTTAGTATTTTAAACTTTAGTCACTGACTGCCATTAAAAATTTGCAGCGTTATTCACTAAAGTGTGTGTTATCAGATTCAAAGTGAAAACATAGTTGACTTGAATTTTTTTTATTTTGCCTTTTTTGGACTAAATTTTATAAATGTTGGGATTCCTGATAACACCCACTTAAGTGAATAGCCATTCCCATTGTACAGCGCTGCGGAGTTTGCTGGCGCTATATAAATAATAAAATAATAATGGTGTGCATGTTCTCCTTATTTTGGATTTTTTCACTGTACTCTAAATTGTTTTTATATTAAAATCCAAAAGGTAAAAGTTAAGCAAAAAAAGCTCCTTTGGAAAAAAAAAATATCACTCCACTACCGACACACCTACATTATTTCAGCCTGAATTTTGTAATTTTGGATTTTGTCTACCACTTTAATAATTATTATTATTTTTTTTTTTAAATGTGACCTTTGAAAGTCCATTTCGAACAAACATACATCAGGGCGACTTGTTGTAGATATCTGTTGATTTTAATACTCATCACGAGTGCTCATTTGCAAAGTACAATTATCTTAAAATTCACATTTCCAAAATGGTGGTAGTATTGCTTAAGGATTCTTTCAGAAGCAATCACAGACAAACAGTACAGTCATTATCATGTAAGAAGTGAGCTATACACAATATTTTTTATTTATTGCATGCATTATATAGATTTTATTTTAATATTCTTCCTTAGGTACTAAACCTGGTTGAGTGGTTAAAGCATGTCACCCAATCCTATAATAAAAATAAATTTATATATAATAAATATATAATTCAGCACTTGACAGATTTTTTTTTCCCCCATTAAAAACCATGAACTGCTAAGCAAGTTAACAGAAGACTTTTTTCCTTCCTTCCATGTATGTATGTATATATGTATTCCCTCCCAATTCTGTCCATGCTTGTCCCTCTCAATGTGTCCACTTGTGGGTATCCCGCATTGCGTGACTCTCTCTGTGCCCCTTTTGCCTCTCCCTCAATGCCTTTCTCAAGCCTTTATGTGTCAGATACCATGCCAGACCTGTGTGCCCTTCTCTGCTCACTTTTTTGTGTCTGTGACGAAAGCAACTTCGCCACTGGTTTTTGGAGGGGCCTATGGTCCCTGTGATAACCCATGTTCAAAAGTACTGCTTCTGCCACTTGGACTTTTAAACTGGAACAGATTCCAACATGTGGTGGCAGCCATCTTAAATTGGCCAGTAGTGTTTTGTCGTCGAGTGTATGGAACTGTTTTGGGCATGGGACCATGTGCACGGTGGGGCAAAAATAAGACTTCCAGGAAGTTCCTGAACCAATCTGGTTGTTCACCCAGATCCGGGCTATCAGGGGATATGTTTTATTTGGGGGTACTTTTTGGGGATGTAAAATTTTTTTTTCTGCTTAGAGTTAATTGAGTTAGTCCGTTGTCTTCGTTAATTACATCACAGGCAGAGGGGAGGGATTGTGCACACTGTATGGGAGTGTCTGAATGTAAACATCTGTTTTTGTATGTTTTGTATTCAGTGCCCAACTAGGTCCACCTGGGCGTCACCTTTGCTGTAAAACTTGTATAAAAAGACCAATGTGTGCCATTAAACTTTCTGTTCCCGATTTACCCTCAATCTAGAGTCTTGTCTCTTATTGGGGGAAACTGCTGCAAGGGATTGCTATGCTCTTCATACTCCCTTGAATAATCACTAGCTCTTGTAAGAGCTCTTCCTGCTTCACTCTCTGGAGGAAGAGAGGTTCACCCTCTGGAACCTGGAGCCTTGTCGTAGGTCCGAGGTAGGTAGGAGACGGCGAGACCCCAACTAAGCTGCGGTGGTTCGTGGGGTCTGCGGTGGTTATGGTGTCTAGTGGAATGCTTGGAGCCCTTGGGAAGCACTAGGAGCATCCGTCAACGGAGGTACCCAGTTGGGGTGCCAGGAGATCTGTTACAGTGCCCATCTCCAGGCTCTTCTGTCCTCAAATGAGTGCCTTTCTCCATATTCTACATCTATGTCCAACTTCAAGCAACTGTGCCCATTTCCATACTCTCCTTCTGTGCCCATGTACAAACCCCTTGTGTGTCTCTAACCTTTTTCCCCACTTCTTGTAGAGTGGTCAGGCTGGCCCTGCCTCTACTAAGACAGCCTTCTTCAGAGATCAGTGCAATACCTCCCAAGTGTCCCTATTTAGGATGGACAGTCCCATTTTCTGGGGCCAAATTTCTCTGTCCCTCTCTTCTAGGAGCTCCATATTGTGTCTGAGTGTATAACAGAGCTCCACAGCAATAATATTCACAGTAACGCGTCTTTAAACTGCAATAAATGGGTTTAGAAATTAGTCTGTGTAAAAAGACGCATTGTACTGGTTTTGAATTACAATTTCAATGGCATGAATTGTTACTTATAAGTCATCTAAAATTTCCTGAACCAGCCCTGCCCCTGGGCACACTCCCACCCACAAAATCGTGGTGTCCCTCTTTGTCCATTTGAAATGTTGGGAGGTATGCATGCATTGCGGAATACTTTTGTCTAGCTGTGTCTGTGTACAGCAGCGCCCCTATGACTGCTCGTCATGTGATATCGCACCGGTTGGACGGACACTCCTAAGCATTAATCTTTTTTGCATTTATTCATAGTGTAACATTTCTTTGGATTATTATATTCAAGTTCAAATTTTTTGAGGATAAGGGATTATCAATATTAAATAAGTACTTGGTTACTACTTGCATAATGTATTTGTTTATTGTGTTGTTTTAGAGATATACCAAGGTTGTTAACAAATACAAATTACAATACATGATCAGTCATCTCTGATGAGAAGTTGATGATTCATCAACCCAATGCCATATTTTTTACTGGCACTTACTTGCAATGTTGGCATCATCATTATATGTCCGCCTTGAATATCACATCCTGGCACAGTGAAAACAAATCTTTTAATACACACCCATTGCTTTTCTTTTAATGG